TTCGCCGCAAATTTTATTGATTTGCACGGAAAACAAAGATTCACCCTGGTTTCTATTCTAATATTACTTCTGATTACAATTTTCGGAACAATTTTTCAAATTCATGGATTAGCCGAGAATAAGTGTATAACATTTTTCAATTTTGAGAAACTTCAATGGATCTCACAGCCTACTGATTGCTATCAAGCAGATTATCTCATTTTTGGTTATCAGACTAGTTTTGGTCTAATTATTATATTTAATATTCTGTGTTATATTAGAATTTTTAAACTTTATGGAAAACACAAAGAAAATATTTTGAAGAAGCGGAAAAATCTGATATTACTTATCCAAAGTACAATTCAAGATTCTCTTTTGATTTTTGTGTTTGTGACTTCTTTCAAAGTGGTTAATATTTATGACGTGGATATTTGGAACTTCTTTTTCAACACGCTGATTTATTATATATTTTATGCGATGGATGGGGGTATTATGCTGATTTTCAGCAGGAAACATCGCAAAAATTCGACCAATTTTCAAGTTGTTAGTAGTGTTCGAGTTATGCCAAATTGAAAATTTTTTGATAAAAAATTATTTTCGGTCTAATTGTTTTTCTGCTTTATTAAGAATATTTGTAGTTTGGAGGTGGTGTAGGGAGGAAAAATGAGTCACCTTGAAATGTTCAAAAAAAAAAATTGGAAGGTGCAGTAGAGCGCACTTGCATCTGGAATTTTTCATTTTTCAAAATTTATCCTCATTCTCCCAATTAGCATTAGAGCACATTTGAAAATTCCTATTGAAATATTTGAACTTGAAAATTTGTAATCTACAAAATTTGGATTTCTTTGGCATAATTTTTCTGAAAAATTAGCATTAGAGCGCACTTGAATTTTTCTGTCATATTTTTTTTCAAATGTTTTAAATTGTGATCTAAAAAAAATCCAGAATTTCAAATTTCTTACCTCTCCCTCTTAATTAGCAATAGAGCGCACTTGAATTTTTCTATCCTATTTTTTTCAAATTTTTAAAATTCTGATTTAAAAAATCCAAAATTTCGAATTTCCTAAAACTCCCTCCTGATTCGCATTAGAGCGCACTTGAACTTTTCTATATATTTTTTCTCTACTCAAATCCCCCCTCACCTTTCCAAATAGAATTAATTACCACCTTCACCCAATAACCACCCGGTGTCAAAAAAAATTCAAATTCAAAAGAGGATCCTCTTCTATTATTTGCCCTCCTCCCCTCTTCATCCCTCTATCCATAATTATTAATTATTATATAAGGACCAACCAACCTGGTGACCCCTTTTCTGTGTATTCAAAAATTTTCGGGTGGTCCGTTCGTGTCAAATAAAGGACCAGCCGGTGTGTATGTGCACATTTTTATACATACCTATTCAAAAATGGGTGAGGGGGGATAGATATATGGAGAGGGTGAGAGGTCAGATTTCTCTGCGTCTCTTTGATCTTTGACTATCTCGAAAAAATGGTTTAGATGGGCGGGCAAATCAAAGAAAGTCAAGCAAATAATAAAACTTTTTTGGAGAGCCTCTCAAGGTCTCTAAACCTTTTTTTTTGAATTAGAAACTTTTTTGGGTAGATCAAGAAATTTTAGTTTTGAAAAAATGGCAAGCGCGCTCTATTGTACAATTTTTCAAATCCCATTTTCTGTAGATCAAAATTTGAAATTTGCAAGTGCGCGCCATTGACACAGAGCTCTTCCTCATCAGCTTTTTCAAATCCAAAAATATTCAAAAATCCAAAGCTTTCCGCGCTGTCAGCTGTCGTTTCTATCTCTCGCCACCCTCCGTCTCTCACCACACTCTCTCGCCCCCTAATTATCTCTGCACTCTCTTCAAATCCCATACTTTCTCGCAGCAAACGCAAGCGGAGAGCTTCTTATGATCGATTGCATAACCGATTTTTTTCTGCACCAGACACCCTTGCTGTCCATTTTTTTTTTGAATTTTATTTTTGAGCTAGGCTCTTGGAGAATTTTTTTTAGCTTTTGGGAGTACTGTAGCAGAGCCTGGGGAGTACTGTAGATAATTTTGTAGATCCAAAATATTTGTGTTATTTTTTGGAACTTTTTTTTGGATTTCGGGAAACTTTAGTAGATTTAGAAGAGTACTGTAGCACTTTAATGAAAGCTACCGTAGTTTTCCAATGGAATACTGTAGTTCCAATAATTTTTTTATTTTTCATCGAGAAATTTTTTAAAATAATTTTTGTTAGGAATTTTTTTCAGGAAAATATTGGATTACTGTAAAGTTCCTAGGATTACTGTAGTTCTAGAAGATTACTGTAGTTATAGAAAATTACTGTAGTTCTATAAGCTTTCTGTAAACTGGTACAGTAATCTTCTCAAGAATCTCGAAATCCAAAGCGAAAGTTTTTTGAAAGTATTGTATAAATTTTTCAAATATCTATTTTTGTCAAAAATCATGCCAGGATACTGTAGAACCTCTACCGTAACCCGATAGCCATTTTTTCGAGTGTGTATATTTTTGCGGCTTATTTGAAATTGGGCTTAAGGATATTGCGAACACTCTGGCATATTGTGTAACTTGATATGGTTAGAGCGTTACTGTAGGGGTTTGGAATTTTTTTTGAAAAATCTAGATAAAAAAAAATCTTTAGAATTTTTTTGAAGAAAAACTCTAAAATCTGAAAATGAGCCTGAACCTAGACCCTAACTTAAGGTTAATGCTAACCTAAGGTTAGACTTTAACTTTAACTTTGTTTTGCTAATTGTAAGCTTAAGCCCTAAGCCCACTCCTAACCTCATTCTGGCCCTGACCCAATTCTTTCTCAAAAAAATTTGCACAATTTTGACCCTAGCCATCTTCTCGAAACAAAATTTGCATAACCCACTTTCACTTATCTCCCCCTCCGTTCATTTTCTGTGTTTTTGGGTTTGTCTCATTAATTATTTTTGTGACCGCTTTGTACATTTATTATGTATATGTCTATCGGAATTAGACATGAAATCGAAAAACAGACCATCTGCGTCTTTTTTTGAACGGTTTTTGCTGGGTTTCTATGGATTTGAGCTTTGTCATTTGAAAAAAAAAACAAAAACGTTTGCCTCCAAGCGGGATTGAACCCATGACCTAAAAATTGAAAGGTCTGCGTGTTAACCACTCGACCATAAAAAAGTTCAATTTTTTCAGATTTTTTTCAAATATAAAAACAGATTTTCAAAAATTTGGAACAACATTTGTTTTCATTTTCATTTTTATTTGATTTTTAGGTGAAACCTATTTTTTACGAGATTTTTTTGTTGGAAAATTAGATCAATGTGATTTTTTCAATTAACAACTTTTTGATGCGAAATTCTGTGAACTTTTAAAGCAAGAAAAAAAAGCTCAAGGCTCCTAAGCCTAAGATTAGCCCTAAGTTTAACGCTTTAAGCCTGAAGCTAGGCCTAGGCCTAATCTCTGTTTCAGGCTCAAAAATCTCAACCCCAAAAATACATCTAAGCCTAACCTCATTCTGCACCTGACCCAATTCCTTTTGAAAAAAGAAAACTCCCCCCAAAAAATTGACGCAACAACCCGGCTTGCGCCATGCGGTCTTTCTTTTGTCCAACAAAATCTTGCGCAATTTTTTTTTCATCTGGAAGTTTTGAGGTCCGCGAGTACTGTAGAGTCTGTGATGCAAAAATTTTCGAAATAAATACATTGTATTTTATTTTCAGAATCAGAATTACAAATACTGTATATTGTGGAAGAGTTACGCCATGCAAGAATTAAAATTAAAGGGTCTAGGAAGGATTTTCTGAGCCCGGATAAAGTTATTTGCTCAGCAAAGTGTGCCGAAGTGGCGCAATTTTTTTACGTGGCGAGACATTTTTTTTCTGGGACCTCAATAATGTCTTGCGTCAGATATCTGTTGGCGAGTATTGTTTTTCAGATGAATGCGTTTAGGGAGGAAGCAGATGGATGATGGAGTGGGATTGCGTGAGCTCCAGATTTGAACATATAGCTAGTGGGGGGATGCATTTTTAATTAGTTTGGAGACTCCTTGTCCAACCAGGAGTGATTAGGAAGATTTTGAAACATTTTAGGAAACTTTTTCAGCCTGAACTAATTTCAGAACTTTTTTTCGGAGTGCATAAATTAATTAGTAAATTTTCTCAAGTGATTTTGGTTTCACAAAAAGTTTCACCACAATTTTGAAAAATTTTTAAAAATATAAAATTTGAAAATTCTGAATTCAAGAAGGTGGAATGTATTTTTTCACATTTTCAAAATTTTTTTGGTTTATCACTTTTTTTTAGAAATTTTTTTTTAATTTTTGGAAAAAATTTTCAGGTGAATTTCGAAATCCCGTCTTGTTTTTATTTAATAATTTTTTGAAACCTATTTTTACGGGGCTTTTTTTTTCATTTTTCTCATAAATTTCTGGAGAATACGTTTACCTTCCGTTGAATTTCGAAACCCCGTCTTGTTATTATTTTATAATTTTTTGAAACCTATTTTTTACGGGGCTTTTTTTGAATATATTTTTTTTCCAATTCCCCTTTTTTTCAGATTTTTAAAATCCAATTTTTCAAAAAAAAAATTTCAGTGTCTCAACCTGACGAGCCGAAATCCAGGCATCAGGTCAAGCTAGCTCCAATTTCAGAATTTTTTCCTTTTTTCTTCTCATTTTTTTCTGAAAACCTTCTTATTTAATTATTTTAGGTCTCGAACTTCTCTAACCTAAATTCCCCCGAAAAAAATTCAAAAATTCACCCAAATTCTATTGATCTTCTCCCATCAAATGTGCATTATTATTATAATGAATATATCTCAAATAATCCGCCATCTCTCTGCCTCTCTCTCTCAATTTCTCACACTCTCTAATCATGTCTAGGTCAATGTCTCTTGTTTATCTTTGTTCTTTCGTTGTCCCGTTTTTTTGTTTTACAGAAAAAAAAAACCAAATTTGAATTTTCCAGGTTTGCCACTTCGAGCTTGGCCTCTAGTCAATTTGCTTTAATAAAACGGACTAATTCAAAATTAGCTAATAAATATGGAAAATAGGAAAATTTTGGGCAATTTCAATGTGCCGAGATCAGGTAAGTCAATCTTATCAGATTTTTGTTTCTTCTAATTTCTACGAGTTTTTGGGGATGAGATAATCCGATAATATGTTAGCCAAGACTATAAAGACGATAATAACCATAAAAATTTGATTATGATGAGAAAAAAGAAAAATTTTGGAGAAAAATGGTTAGAACCCGTGATTGCGCAGTTTTTGGAGAGAGCCGATGTGACGCAACATTTTCATTACCGACAGCGCAATCGAGGCCAATTGCGATACACTCATTTCTCTTTTTCTCTCTGGTTTATTCAAAAATTATGAGTTTGTTTGAAAAAAAACAAAAAAATAAATGTTTGAATTCCCACGCGCACATGTGCGCTCCGCCGAACCCGCGAACAATTTTGAATTCAAACCAAACAGATTTATTTTTTCATTTTTTCGCATTTCTCATTTTTCCTCCTCATTTCCTGATTTTCAAAACATAACCCAGTTTTCGTAACTTATCGCAACTCGTAATCTGACCTCAACACAAAGTTTGTTTCTCTAACTAATTGAAGGTGTGAAGTAGCCAAGCCCAAAACGAGATAGTAATCGTAAAATAGATAGCCTGGCACCAGAATGGGAATTTTTTCAAACTGTTTCGGTGTGAGGTGCAAAATCAGCACCTTTTCTGATTTTCTAGACAAAAAAAATCGATTTTCGGTGCGAAAATATTCAAATCATCCCGCCATAAAACCATAAATATGTGTGTTTTCCCGAAAATTGTCGTTTTATGGTCGCATATCAATTAACCTTTGACACTTATTACCTTCTCAATCAAAACATTGGGGTTTTTGAAAAATTGGGAATCGTGAGAAGACTGGATTCACTAGGTTTTCACTTGAAATAAAAATTCAAAAGAGGTCACGCTGAGAATTTTGATTTTTGAAAATTCTCCGTGAATGAATAGTGTTCGCTAGAGCGTATGTGCTTTTTTCTGCGCTATGGCTTAGAATTTGAGATATTTTTTATGTAATTTCCGAAGTTTCTCTTGGTTTTATTGATGTTTGCGTAATTTTTGGTTTGAAAATGCAGTTCTCACCAAATTTCGATCAAGTTCTGTTAGTTTTCAGGGCTTGTCATAAATTTCTTCGGTTTTCAGTAGGCTTTTCCATGTTTTAGCGCGAAATCCGCCGAAAATCTGCATTTTTTGTCATATTTCGTGTTATTCGTAGAAAAAATTTTGAATTTTGGAGAAAAATTACGTTTTGTTCGAAGGAGCGCACTTAGGTCAAAATTCCGAGAGCCTATTTTTTCCGAAAATCCAACTGGATGTTTGAATTTTCCATAGAATTCAATTTTGGTCTAAAAACCATGAAAATCTCTAATTTCGTCTGGAAAATCAGGAAATCAATAGGTAGTTATCGATTTTCTGCAAACACAACCAAGATTTTCTGTTTTTCCCGCCAAAACTCCATAATTAACACCAACTGGTCAACAGCCATAGCCAAACAAGTCTTCTTCACGCTCTTTCAAAAAAGCTATGTATGTATAGGTATTAGGTCCTACAGAACACCTGCCTTCCCAAAACCCGCCATCCAAATTCAAATAAATACGGGCACTGCGCGAGAAGGGGGTGGGACCATCGAAAACACGGTGTCCTTCCTTCTTCCAAATAGTCTTATTCAGTATTCATTTTCTCCTTCCTTTTTTGGTGGTTTTTGTCTACACACAAATAGTGGGCGTATTTTTATAATACATACATATTACACGAAGAGGGAGGAGAAAATAATGGTTGCGCCATTTTTTCGTGTTCTCTTGGGTTTTGGGTGGTGGTGGTTTTTTTGGAGTAGGGTTTTCTGTTTCCGGGGGAATTTTTTGAGAGATTTTTGGATAGTTATCTGAAATTTACTAGATTTTCAGAAATTTTCGTTTGAATTTTTTTTCTGGATGTTTGAACTGGAATTTTCAGAGAAAATTACGTTTTCCCATGAAAATTTCATGAAGTTCTAGCTGGAATTATTCATGAGCTCTTGAAATTTTACTAACCGTTATTCTGAAAGTTTCAGAGTTTTTTTAGATATTTTTTAGCATCACCAGATTTTTCTCCGAATTGTTGTCTAAAAATAGTCTCATCAGAAGTTCTGCTATCAAAATTCTGGCTTGAAATTCTAGATTCTTCAAGCTAAATACTGCATTTTTAGCTGGAATCTAGGTTATTATTGATTTTTGATCTGAAAATTTCAGATTTTGCTCAGAATTTCTGTCAAAAAATTGTCTGAAATGGAGTTATAGCATTTTTCAAGATGAAATCAGGTCATTTTTGGCTTCGCTCCAAGTTGAACTGACAATTCTCGGCGAAAACTTGAGCCTAAATTTTTCCAGCCATTTTTTCTAGCTGAAACTCTTTACGAATTGGACGAAAACGTCCGGAATCATTCGGGTTTTCTCGAAAATCTATGGTTTTCTGTAATTTTGCATCATTTTCGGATAAAAAATCACCCAATCCTAGTCCAAACTGCATATAATATTCTCCCCAAAATTCTCGGTTTTTCCCGATTTCCAGTCTTCCCAAATTTTGTTGTTGTTGTTTACCATAAAAACCAAAATCCGCGCACCTGGAGGAATCCCATGGTGTGTTTCACACATTTTGTTTACCCTTGTTTATTTTTCACACCATCCGCCGACACTTTATTAGTAGTGGGAGGGGACAAAGATCCTTTCAAGCCGTCGATTTTCACACCCATATAATTTGGGCGGGGCTTGAAAAAGTTGTGAATTTATTTTTCGTTGGCTATCATTATATTTTATTATTTTATATCAGTTTGTTCAGTTTTGTTAGGCTAATTTGTTAGGTTAACTAGAGATTTTCTAAACTAACTTACCTTGAAACCTATAAAGTTAGGCATTATTGATGTTACCCCAAAATTTACCCTGATTTATTTTCAAAATGTTTTATCTTGTGGTTGAATTGCCTGGCAACCCAAAAATAAACATGGTCTAAAATGAAAGATATTCATCTCTAGATTGTCCGAATTGTCCGAAAAAAGCTTTCTCGATTTTATGGATCCCGAGAAAAGGCTTTTGAGAAATGGATCCTAGTTTCTCCATTTCACAAAGGCTTCTCGGGCTCCATAAAATCGAGAAAGCTTTTTTGCAACTTTTTATCTATATTTGGACAATTTAGAGATAAATATCTATCAGACCATGTTTTGTTTATTTTTGGGTTGCCGGACCATTCAAATTAAAATTCTATGCTTCTCGATCAAAATCCTCACGAAAAATCCCCCCATTTCCAGGTGCAAAAATGATGACAATGTCGATGATGTCATCATCAACATCAACATCAATGGTTTGCGACGAGGATTCGAGAGATTCGGGATGTTGTGATATGGAAGTCGACGAATTGATGAAGACCACCTTTCCGATGATGAATGAGATTCAGCATTTTCAGAATGTTAGTCGGGGTTTTCGAGATTTTTCCAATTTGGCGTCGATTTTCAGAATTTCTGAAGATTTTCACGTCATTCTGCAAAACGCGCTGCGATTTCCCCACGGATCATGTGCAATTTTGCGTAAGATTCGATGATTTTGGCGAAATTTTCAAGAAAACCTGCATTTTTGCCTCAAATTCTCGCGGCTCTTCATTTTTGCGTCATTTCCCATGTTTTTCGGTGAAAATGACGTGGATTTTCATTTTCATACAATTTTTGTCGGCGAAATTTTCGAAAAATCTGCAGTTTTGCGTCAAATACAGTGCAAATCCACGTGGCTCTGCATTTTTTCGTAGAAGATGACGAAAAAATGGACAAACACGTGGATTTTCACTGAATATGAGGAAATTACATTATATTTTATCGAAAAAGTCTTGCGCAAATTAATTTTCCCCGCCGAATTCTATCACTTCTACAAAAAACCCACTCTTTTCCAGCTTCAAAGTCTGAAAGACGACGAAGACGAGGATTCGCTATGCGAAGAGTTGATGAAGCTCGTCGACACGGAAGATCGCGAAAATCGCGCACCACAACGCATCTATGACGAGTCGCCAAAGTCGCGAGCGCTATTCGCCCGACCCGTTTTGGCGATGCGAAAGAATTGCAATTTTCAATCGCAGCCACAGCAGCAGCAGAAGAAGGAGGTTTTTTCGCGAAAACGGACATTTGCTGGATTTGAGCAGGTTTGCAAGAAGATCAAAATCGAGAACAGTGATTTCGAGCAACCTTCAACATCTGCTAGAATTCTGACGACTTCTATGAAGTTTCAAAGAACCCATTCTTCTTCGATTCTTGAGACACGTTCACAACAACACAAATCAAGTGATTTCGAATTCCCTGCGACGAATTATCGATTGAAAACTATTACCACAAATTGTTCGAATGCTTTCCGTCGAATCGCCGCCGCAACTCTTTGCGAATTACTCGTCGAAAGCGATTTTGCCGCGCGATTCATGTTGATCGATTGTCGCTATCCCTATGAATTCAATGGTGGACATATTCGTGGCGCGAGAAATGTTTACGACCCGGAAAACCTGGCGGAAATCTTCTACACTGCGCAAAAAGAGCAACGAGTCCCGATTTTCTATTGTGAATATAGTCAGAAGCGCGGGCCATCGATGGCTTATGCGTTGCGACGTATGGATCGACAACGGAATGAGTTGCGCTATCCGCATTGCGATTATCAGGAGATGTATGTTTTGGATAAGGGATATCGCAATTTTTATTATGAGCAACGCAATTCTTGTGGAGAGGTGAGTTATTGATTGTTGGAGCCTAAAATTCACCAAAAGCTGTTCTTCCCAGTTTTTCTGTTAGAAATGCAATTCCTTTTCAAAATTTCCTCATTTTTCCAGACCTTCTGTGAACCGGACAACTACATTCAAATGGACGATTCGAGATTTAGTGGAGAGTTGAAGAAGTGGAATTTCCACAAAAAATCCGCAATCGGAACTTCTGTTCGAGTTGTTGAGTGAGTTTTTTTGAAGTTTGCCTGCCGGAAAATTCATTTTGATAGAATTTTTATCAGAAAATAATTTGTAAGACAGATGCCGTTAGGACGCGTTGCTGTCAAGCCGTTTTTTGAATTTTTATTCTGAAAATGAGAAATTTTTGAAAATGAAACACGCGGCGCGTGACCGCAACGCATCCAACGACAGTTGGACTGTGAAAAAAAAATCAAAAGGGCTAAAATTGTCGAAAAAACATGTTCAAAATTAGCTTTTCGAGTTTTTCAGCCAAAAAAAATGACAAATCGAGGTTTTTCAAGCTTCTGGAGTGATTTCTGATGAATACTGACCTTGGAATCCACTTTCAAAAGTTTTTGCTGATTTTACGAAATTCATCAAAATTGGAAATTGTTTATTTTACGAAAAATCAGCAAAAAATTCTGAAAAGTGAATTCCAAGGTCAATTTTCATCAGAAATCACCCGAGAAGCTTCAAAAACCTCGATTTGTCATCATTTTGGCTGAAAAACTCGAAAAACAATTTTTTCGATCTACAATGTTTTTTCGGAGTTTTTTGACTTTTCATGAATTGATCTTTAAAATTATTTTCTGATAAAAATTCCTTCAAAATTAATTTTTTCCACGTGGCAGCTGATCTTCGATATTAAAAAACATTTTTTCATTTGTGAATCAGCCCTAAAATTAGAAGCAAGTTCGTTTCAACCCCATCTTTCTTCCAGATCCCGCTCTCGAACCCTTCTCCGCCAACAATCCGCCGACTCCCACTTCTCCTTCAGCTCCACCACCACCCAAATCACTTCCCGCTCGACTTCCCGCCGCCCACTATTCACCCAAAATCTCTCGTCGCCCACCTCGCTCTCTTCTATCACCGAAGTACGAACACCGTCACCCGACTTCATCTCACAACAACCCCTCAAAAATCCAACCTTCTCCTAATTTTTTGACTCAAAATCTTCCATGTATTTTTACCCTGCACCCGCTGCGCTTTCCCTGCCCGCTTGCTCGCTGCCCGCTGCCCGCTTTCCCCAAGCGAAACCCGGTTTGGCGCAAGTCATCTTTTCTTCAAATTTGGCGTCAAAACTTGTTAGGCTTCTAGGGCTTCTTTGCGGCGCTCGTTTCTCTTGTATTCGGATCTACTGTTTGTAAAATTATACTGTAATCTAATATTTTCTCTGACAATTTTTTCTCCTATATTTCTTCTCACACTTATTTTGGATATATTTGGCGCCAGATTTTTATTGTAAATATTTATACTAACTTCTTATTAAAAACAATAAAATTGCTTTTTTTTCAAATTTTTTTTTCTGTTTTTTTTGTTGTTGAAACGGGTTTTGACCCGGTGAATATTTTTTTTTTCAGATTTTGGCGCTGAAAATTATGCCACGTGGATTTCCCTAATTCCAAAAATGATTTCATAAAATTAAATTCTGCAAAATTACAAAAACGTGAACTTTCCACGTGGAAAATTATTTTCATTTCCCAAAAAAATGTGTTTTCCACGTGGCAACACATTTTCATTTTCAATTCCAAAAAAATCGCTAAAATTCGAACCTTTATCAATCATTGCTCATACTAAGCTTCACCTGGTCCCTTCTTCTTCTTAGTCTTTGGTTTTTTCTTCAAGAAGAATTGTTCGAGATGCGATTCCTTGTTGTCACACGCCGCCTTCTTTTCTTTTGCTTTTCGAGTATTTGGACGACAATCGAAGCCCTCGTTTTTTAGCATTGTCATTCTGTGAGAAGAAATTATTGTGAATTAGGCTAAGTTAGGGTCTCGTGTGAAAATCTTGTTTTTCAGCTTGCAATCGAGGTTTTGAAGAAAATTCCTGGTTTCTAGAAGTTTTTTTTGCAAATCTCAACTTCTAACATGTGTTATGACGTGGCAAAGTTGGAAGATTTCGACTTTAGGAAGTGAAAACTCTCTTTCAAAGTGGTTTTCATCAAAATTTGGTTGGAACTTGACGCTATTCTATGAGATTTTGATGAAAATCATTTTGAAAGCGAAGTTTGACCTCCTAAAGTCGCAATTTTCCAATTTGCCACGTCATAATTCATGTTAGAAGTTTAGATTTGCAATTTTCGGTCGAAAACTACTAGAAAACATAAATTTCATTCGAAATTGCAGGTTGAAACGTGGAAAAATCAGGATTTTCGGTTTCAAAAAACAAAATTCACCTCTTGGCCATATGTCTCCAACTGCTCTCATCAAACCCGAATCGTTTCTTCTGCGCCCACTGATAAGCGCCAATTTGATCGTTCAAATTGCGAACCTGATTTACGAACTCGGCTTGAACCTTCGGATCTTTGGTTGCCGCATTTTCGATGAGAAATTGCAATGCCTCGTTGGTTTCGTCTAATTTTATCTCTTTTTCTGTCTGAGGAAAAAAACAACAATGATTTTGAGCTATGAGCATTGCTCATGTTAGACAACTCACTTCCATTTTTATTCGAATATATTTCTTCGCAGGCTAAGTATCTATCAGAAATAAACAATGAGCTGGGGGATTTTGAGCCGCCCTATTTTTTTTTTCGAAAATTTTTTTAAGGTCACGTGAAAATTTTTATTATGCTAATATACAAAAATCAATTTTTGTTCTCAAAAAAAAAATCATTTTCTACAGTAGTCTTTCGAACGTGGTTTTCGTGGATTTCGGCAGCAATTTTTTGGCAATCGGTTTCTCGACAGATCTCTGAAAAAAACCTCATAGGTTGCCTGCCACGTGGCAAAACTTGAACTTACACTGTAAATAAACGCCGGTTTCCTCTCCTCATTTTCATTTTCAATTGTAGAAGTCAATTTTGAAATTCGCGTTTTCCTTGGGTCCGCAAAAGCGCGTACGGTGTACTCGGAAGTTTCGATCAGGAAACTATCGACACCGTATTCACCCAATAGTTGGTGCAATTTTTCATTGAGGCCAGCCGCTTTTCTAACAGGGCTTCGTCTTCGGTTAACTCGAGAGATTGGAAGTTTTCGAGCTCGTCGAAGTTTCTTCGAAACCAATGATTTTCTTCTGATTCGCTTCTGATCTTGTTCAATGGTCTTCATTGCTTTCTCAAACATCGCTTGTGAAATCTTGCGATTTTTTCGAATCGGTGATCGACGAATATCTTTCTTCTCCACCTTCACCAATTCTTCGCCGGAATTCAACGTCGAAAAATAGGCCAACTTCGATGGTTCCAATGGTTGACGATATAAAGGCGCATCTGCTGCAACATCTATGAGCACCGAGTTTTGACGGAATTCGCCGAGAGCTGGAGCGTCGCGACGGAATTCACCGACATGCAAAGTTTTTTGGGGAGGAGGCTTGGTTTTGGTGAAGTCGAGTTTGAGCTGTTTTTCGATGCGTTGGGCGGCGGTCGAGTAGATCATCTGGAAACTTGAGAATCGAAATCTAAAAATCCACGTTTTCGGAAATTGGTAAAAAATTATTGAAAATTTTGGATTTTGAAAATTATTTTCAGAATTTTTTCAGAAATAAAACGTTGTCTTTGATTTTTAGCTAATTAGAAATGAGTTTTATTTTTTTCCCACAATGAAATTTCCAAAATTCTCAAAAATCAACCTGATTTTTTAAAAAATTCATAAATCCTAGACCCCCCGCAAAAATTTGAATAGTGTAGATCACGCGGGATTTCAACAATTTTTCGTTGTTCTTTATCGATTGGCAAAACATTTTTGATTGTGAAATGATTTTTTTTATTTTTTGTCGAAAAACGTGTTGACATTATCATTTTTCGAAAAAAAATCACGCTAGATCTCTTGTTTTCAGGTTGGACGCTCATTTCTTGAGTTATTTTATTTTGTATTCGGCCTGTCTTCGATGAAAGCTCTCAATTAAAGGTAAGATCGAGTTTATTTTTCTTTCTAAATATGACCCAGAGAAATTCCAGATTTGCTTTGAGAATTCGGAATTCAGTGAGCCCCGATGTTGGTTCAATTTCAATGATGCAAAACAAAATGCATTTGTGGATTTGGTTTGAGGATACAACTGCAACTCATGTCAGGTTAGTTTAATGGGTTTTGGGTTTGGTTTTGGGTGAAAGAAAACACAGTGATTTGTGTTAAATTAAATTATATCAGGTAAGTTTGGGGTAGAATCACACCTGGCGTGAAATTTTGAATTCTTTGAAAATTGTCATCAAAAACCGCTGAAAATCAATGAAAACTACACTATTCCTGAAAAAATGTACAGTGTGGCTTTTGAAAATTTTTGTACAGTGTCCATTTTGGACACGTCTTGTCAGGTGCCGTATAATGTATCTCAGTTGCTCACAAGCCAAGACTTGTGGAAAAAGAGGAAAATCCGTTTAAATTTTTTTCATTTTTTTCATTTTTTCTATTATTTTTATATTTTTTTTCAATATTCCACATTCCTATTTGTTTTCAACTAGCTCTTCAACTTCTATCTAATGCCACGTGGATTTTATCCTCAAAAATTTTCTAATTTCTACTCGAAACCCCAAAAGCTCCCAGAAGCTATGAAAAATTCCCTAACTCGCCACGTGGCAATTCCACACTCACATTTTCCACAAAATCCAAAAATTGCTCAAAAGCCACCTTGGCTTTGGGATTGAAAATGCTCTGAGTCTCGTGAACTTTTCTCAACACCAAATCCAATAGTTGTTGAGGTCCGAATTTTTCCAAATATTTCTTGGTGTCCATCTCCAATTTCAGGCGTTTTGTCGAATTATTGAGCGAGGAGAGGATTTGAGAGGGTGCTGAAAATTATATTTTGTTATATCTGAAATTTTTTTGACTTCTTACATTGGACTTCAAATGGATCTTGAATATCATCTAAATCTTCAACTCTTCTTTGAATATTCAATGTTTTTACGGGTTGAAATGCAGTGCAAATCATGAAATTAATAATAAGGGAAAAAACTAGTAGAAATCGCATGACTTAGCCTAACTAAGTTACCAAATAAAATTAAAGTGAAAATATAATTAACACATTTTCTAATTAAGGCGGGGACCCCAGCCCCCGATTTTCATCTTTTTGGGTTATCTTGTGGTTTAGATCTCCTCAAAGTCGTGGTTTTTATTATTACTTTCGTTTGGGGCAAACAATTTTTTGTTTTCACCTTTTTTTGTGTTGTTTTTGCGAAAAGATTCCGGATTTGATTAGAATAGTGAAAGTATAGGAATAATTTGAGTTCTAGATATTCAGATTCTAAAGTTTTTACAGTATTCTGTATCCAACAAAAATCGATATCGAAAATATTGATCTGTGAAGACGACTGAATTTTGATTTTGGTCTTTGAACTGCGCTCAAGATCAATTGACATATAAAAAAGTGCGATGCTACATTCACCGCTTCGATGAACATCAAGAATTGGTTGTTTCACTGGAATATGTATAAATATTGTGTAGTCAGAATTTTGAACTAGTCTAGTCAGAAACACTTTTGAATCAGTAACAATTCCACGTCATCAATCTCATAAAAGGACCCATGATCAAAACCCAAAGCTAAAAATAAAATAATAGTGCGAAACCAGTGACGTGCAAATGATTCTCTCATTACTTATGTACTTGTCAAAAAAACCAAGATCTAATGTTTTGGACGTTATTTTATTCAACTCTAGTGTTTCTTTGCATTTTTGGAACTTTTTCCCATAGTTTATTCCTCAAATATTCAGTTCTAAATGGATCGATAAATATTTTCGGAAGGATTCAGTTGTTTCTCCTATCTTCTGGCTATATTTTGATTCTTGTTTCGTATTTGGGAATTAGTGGAATTTGTTTGATTGGTTATGGGTCTTTTTATGAGATTGATGCGTGTCGAGAAGGTTTGTCAGAAAAGTTATGACGTGGGATTGCTACTGATTCAAAAGTGTTTCTGACTAGACTAGCTCAAAATTCTGACTACACAATATTTATACATATTTCAGCAAAACAACCAATTCTTGATGTTCATCGAAGCGGTGAATGTAGCATCGCAGTTTTTCATATGTTAATTAATCTTGAGCGACTTCACACAGTTCAAAGACCAAAATCAAAATTCAGTCGTCTTCACAAATCAATATTTTCGTTATCGATTTTTGTGGGATACATTATTGTACTCATCTATGTGATAGTTTCAAAGCGTAGGAGATTTTTTTTTTGGAAAAAATGGGATTTTATGTAGTATTTTTCTAGAATCTAATACAATTGTGCCAGATATTTCGGGACTTCTTATAATTCTGATAACAAATTTGTGTAGCTTGGTGGTAAATTTATCAAAATTTTTCGAATTTTGAAATTTCAAAGTTAATTTTTTCTACAGCTTGAGATTTACCTCTTCAGTCTATCGAAAACAATGTTTCAAAAAACCAAAGGTTTAATCGATCTTCGAAAACGATATGAAATATTTTCATCTATCAAAATCACAAAATCATTTCTACCCGCCTCAATATCTAGCATATTTTTTCATTCAAGTGTAATAGCTTTATTGTATGGAGCTAGATTCATTACTGATCCAAATGTTCCTGGCCCATATTTTTTGGTTGTGAATTTATGTTGGAATTTAGACGCAGCATTGTTCCCGTGGTTTTTCATTTCAACGAATTCGAAGTTTAGGAAGCAGGTGACTATTAATTTTGTGAAAAATTTAAGAATTTCAAATTTATGAAGCTTTGCCAGAATCGTCAATCAACTCCTGTGATTATAATTCGACATGAGCAGAATGATTATTTTCGACAATTTCAATCATCTTGGAAGCTATGAGATATTTTTTGTTTTTTTTAATGAGCAATGAGCGTTAATTAATGAATGAATGGAGTATTTGATCATTGAAACAACCTATAATTATAGTCTTTGTTCGTTTCTAATTTTAAAAATTTCTCAGAAGCCATGTTAAAAGCTCTATTTGCCTAGTGACTTGAAGCCTACGATGTTTGCAACTCTATTCTTCTCTATACTTATATTTTTCTGCATTTTCGGAACGTTTTCACATAGTTTATTCCTGAAATATTCAGTTCTAAATGGATCGATAAATATCTTCGGAAGGATTCATTTGTTCCTCCTATCTTTTGGCTATATTTTAATTCTTGTTTCGTATTTAGGAATTGCAGGAATATGTCTTTTCGGTTTTGGAACCATTTTTGAGAGTGAAGATTGTCGAGAAGGTATGACCTGCTAGGGGAAATTTTTTACCATATGTCTAATATAGCATTTTGATTCAGCAAAACAGCCAATTCTTGACATCCATCGGAGTGGTGAATGTAGTATTGCAGTTTTTCATTTTCTAATTAATCTCGAGCGATTTCACACAGTCCGAAAACCAAAATCAAAATTCAGTCGATTTCATAAAGTGATATTTTCTTTTTCTATTATTTTAGGATGGATTATTGCGATTATTTATGTTATTGTTTCAAAGCGTAAATTTTTACATTATCTTAGTTTCCATCTGATTTTATCTGATAAATTTCAGAAGCGAATACAAATGTACCAGATGTTTCTGGATTGATTCTAATTTTGATTATAAATTTGTGTAGTTTGCTGGTATGTAAATTGATCGAATCATTCGAATTTCAATGTTTTTTCTTCACAGCTTGAGATTTATCTCTTCAGTCTATCAAAAACAATGTTTCAAAGCCTTCCTAAATGCTTGGTCCCTTTGACCAATTTTGCCCTGGTCCGCATATTTGACCAATTGGCCTTTTACGGAAGGAGGCGTTTGCATCAGGTATGGTGGTGGGAGGTTAGATAACCACCACAAATTTTCTTTCACTTCAAGGTCTGAGTCATTCTAATTTTTTTTTCTCTTTTCTTTTATCTTCTACAACATCCCATCAAAATCCCTCTCTATAAATTATTTATATTACATATCATCCCCAATTATTAATTTTACTACCCACCTCATCCTTTTTTTTTTCTCTTTCTAACACCCTTTCTTCCCCACAATTTATTCTAATACACATTCCAAAATGGCCCACTTCGTCTCTTTTCTGGACCAACGGGTCTTTCTTTTATTTATTGTCATCCACTACGTGTGAAAAATTTGTCATTCTCTCTTCTCTTCCTCTTACTATTATTATATGTAGTCGCTTGATTCAATAAATGTATATATATATTAAAAAACCAAAGGTTTAATCAATCTTGGAAAACGATATGAAATATTCTCATCAATCAAAATCATACGATCTTTTCTACCAGCTTCTATTCTCTCTATATTTTTTCATTCAAGTGTGATATCTTTGTTATATGGAGCTAGATTCATCACTGATCCAAATGTGAATGGACCATATTTTCTTCTAGTGAATTTCTGCTGGATTCTAGACGCTGCGATATTTCCATGGTTTTTCTTGTTTTCTAGTTCAACGTTCAAAAAAGTGGTAGAGTTTTTCGTCAAAATGATAAGAAGAAATATTTAATTTCTGAAGCTTTGCCAGAATCGTCAACCAACTCCTGTGATTATAATTCGACATGGGCAGAATGATCATTTTCAACAATTTCAATCAGCTTGGAAATTGTGAAGTTAGGATTCTGTCAGCCACAATATTCAAATAAAACTTTAGAAATTACTTAAAAAATTTTCAACAAATCCAGAACATGTTTAGTTTTTGGTCAAAATTTGTAAAATGTTCGCATTTTGAGAAATCGTAAGCCACTTCAAACTTCCTTATCTACCTCAATATTTTATTTTTGATCTGTCTGTGTGCATTCAAATTCTAGTTCCTGTTACAACAATTTTTTTATTGGCTCCATTAGATTTGATTACTACATACAATCAAAAAAATCAACTGTGAGTCGTGATCGAACTTGATTAATTAATGATTAATTAATTTTTTCAAAATAATTTTTCGAGGCTCCAGAAGATTTGCTAAGATATGAACCACTGATTTTAAACCTTCAAACTTCAATAAAAAAAGATCAAAAATCAAATGACACAAGCAATAAACCAATTGCCTATAATTGAATTTATTTTCTTATGTGCTCACATATTTTCTCATTCTCTACCCCACATTCTAACACTAAACAAATCTATCGATGTCAACTTTTTTGCTCAAATCGAACATTTCTCGACACATCCGAATTCATGACAATGTTCTCGTATCTCGGAAGTTTTGTCTCAATACCAATCGATGTTTTTGGCCTCTATTTGATCTATTTCAAAACGCCACGTGGCATGAAAACGTTGAAGTGGACGATTTTCAATGCACATTTTTGGGGTTTTTTGAGTGATGTTTTGATTGGCTCACTAACAATTCCCTATTTATTTGTTCCATTGATTATGGGATTTCCACTTGGATTATTATCGATTTTGGGAATCTCGCCAGTTATTCAAGTTTATGCCGCATTTTCGTGTGTTGCAGGTAAAATACCCACGCTTCTACGCAAATTGAAATCAAACTTTCAATTGAATTAACCAAATGAGGTTTTCTAGAAGTGGCGTGTGCGATTACATTTTTGTTCGAAAATCGGCAGAATAACATGGTACAAAATTGGTTTAAGATCGAAAGATCAACAACGAGATATGTATTTTATGCGGTGAATTTGGTTATCCCGTTTCTTTTCATGATTCCCGCCTTTTTTGGATATTCCCGAGCAAGAACAATCGAAGAAGCGGGGAGCAAAGGTGAGCTTTTTCCTCTCTGCTACTTTGGTATAGTGGTTAGCGCGCTCGATTTTGCTTCATAAGGTCGCAGAATTTTTTTGTCTTGTGAGACTTTGGTTTTAATGCCTCAACGGCTCTTATAGGACTCCAAAATTTCAGAAATTTCCCTGTGTGACTCAAGAATTCTATCGAGATGATAATTTTGTGTTAGTCGTGAACACAGCTTTGGTCAGTATACCATTGTCAATAACACTAGCATATTTCATCCTACAAATATTCGTTTTCTTCCTCCAATGTCTCTGCCAATTATTCAAAGCATCCGCAGTTTCTGCTCGAACTCGAAGCCTTCAACGCCAGTATTTCCTGTCAGTCTGCACACAAATCTTAGTTCCTGTGATCACCATTTGCTCACCAGTTATATATTTTATTTTTGCGATTCAATTTGATTACTACAATCAATCAATCAATAATATTTGCTGTATTGTAATTTCAATGTATGGATGTATTTCAACAATTGGGACAATTATCATTTATGAACCTTATCGATTATTCACATTGAATCGAATTTTTGGTCAACAAATGAAACCGAGCCGGAACTTGATTCAGGATTCCGGTAAAAGTGTGATAGTTTTAGAATAATTTTGTTTAGCTTTAGAATAAGACCTGCTCAAATTTCATAAACGGTTTTGCAGTTTTTTTTTAATTTTCAAATTTTGACTTTTTCACAGACAAAATTTTAGAAAATTTTCAGTTTTGATTTCTACTCAACATGAGAAAAACTCCCCCAAAAACCTCCATAAGCAAAAAAAAAACAACTTTGATAATTACATATTTTTGTTCATTCCGCTTATATAAAAACAAGAAAACAAGAAAAGATTTCATTATTCTATTCAAAGCATGTCTAGCAATATAGATTTATTTTTTCCAAACTTCAACAATAAAATTCGCAATATTCTATTCGATATTCTCATCTTCTTCGATGTAAATGATGAATATTTAAGTGATTTCAAGCTATACTTTTCGATCTTCGCAATCCCAATCTTGATTTGCCATTTAATAGTTCTCACTAGAAAATCGATGCGCTACACTTCGATAAATGTGATTTTGGCAGCATTGGCAATGTCGGATATTGTTATGATGTTTTGTAATTGTTTTGAATATTATAGATATACAACTACAAAATATTTGAGATGTGAGAATTTTGATGGGCTAATTATTGTACTCATGACCATGATTCACGAGGTTGTTGACTCATTTGTGATTCGATTGTCTACTTGGCTAGCTGTTGGTCTACCGTTTCTTTTGGACAGTTATTATCAAGTTTGGTGTCAAGTACAGTTCTCTAAAAACTTCCAAAGTCGGTTTTACTCTTATAATCTGTTTGATTCTACTAGCCACACCGTTTGAAATTGCTGGTGCAATTACATATACAGTTGTGATTGTTGAGAATGATGTGCCTGATGAACGATGTAATTTAGACTCTAATTTTACCTATACTTCTTATGAACTTGGATATCGCGAGTGGGCAAAATCGAATAATTTTGAGTATTTTCGCCACTATGTTTTTATTGATGCTATTTTTACCAAACATATTCCCGCATTGCTATCACCAGTTTCAACAGTAATTTTGATTCAAGAAATTGGGAGGTTGAAGAAAAAACGGAATGAATTGGTGGGAAGTGAAAGGTAATTTGGATGTGACTCCCAGAACCTTATTGTTAGCTCCCTTTTCAGATCGCAAAATAGGCAGACTACCCGTCTCGTCCTTTTTATGACCATAGTTTTTGTCCTTATCAACACACCTTTGGGGATTTTTAAACTTTTGCAAGTTTTCTTTATCGAAGAACGTGGAATATTGTGAGTTACAAACAGTTTGTATACCACAATCAATTTCGTCTTTCAGAATGCTTCTTTATAATTTTTCGCGGGTTTTTGAAGTGTTTGGTGTTTTCATTGCTGTATCGCATTGTTTTTTCTTCTTCTTGATGTCGAGAAAATATAGGCTCACAGTTTTTAATTTACTTTTAGGGTCTGAGAAACGAATAGCTGTTCAGAAATAATAAATTAGTTTGCTTGACGCTTTCTTGTAACACGGAATATTTTTTTTTAGCTCTGAAACTTTCTCCGTGGAAATTCAAAAAGAAAAAGTGGGCGGATTCTGTTCATATCCCTTTATCGTCTCGCGTCTCTTCTCTAATTTTCACTCTCTGGTTTTTTTTCTCACGTGAAATTGTGGATGTTCTAATTTCCAAGTTTGTGACGTATAACCCCCAAAAACCAACTCGAGTTATCAAAAGTCCAAACCTCAAAACAAATCACAATAAATTGGCCACATATGAAAAACAAAAAGAAAACAACAGAAATTTCATTATTCTCTTGGATAAAAATGTCTAACATAGATTATTTCTTTCCAAATTTCAACAAAGAAATTGCCGATGATCTATACGATATTCTGATTTTCTTCGATGAAAACGATGAATTGCTGAGCGATTTGAAATTTTATTTTTCAACTTTCGCAATTCCAATCCTAATATTCCATCTAGTTATTTTGACTCGAAAATCAATGCGACACACTTCGATAAATGTGATTTTGGCAGGATTGGCTTTGGTTGATATTTTGATTATGTTCTGTAATTGTTTTGCGTTTTATCGTTACCATTTGACCAGATATTTAAGATGTGATAACTTCGATGGCTTTTGGATGATTTTTCTAGTCTTGGTGCATGATTCTTTGAACCAATTTATGGTTAGATTGTCAACCTGGCTAGCTGTAGGATTACCATTTTTGTGGACTATCATCATTAAATTTGGGGTCAAATATATATCCCTAAAAACCTCGAAAGTTGGATATATTTTCATAGCCGTTTTGATTTGCTTCGATCTTCCGTTCACGATTGCTGGAAGTATTGGAAATAAAATCGAAATAATTGAAAATGACATTCTTGATGAGCGATGTGGACTTCCAAATTTCACCTACACTTCCTATCAAGTTGGTTATCCCGAGTGGACGAAAGCCAATGATTTTGAGTATTTTCGTCGATATGTTTTTGTTGACGCGATTTTCACCAAACATATTCCCGCATTTTTATCACCGTTTTTAACAGTGATTTTGATTCGAGAAATGGGGAGATTGAAAGAGAAAAGGAATGAGGTGTTTAGAAGTGAGAGCTGTAGATCTCAGAATAATCAAACTACTCGGCTTGTTCTATTCATGACGATATTTTTTGTTATCATCAACACACCTTTGGGAATTTTCCGAATTTCACAAGCCTTTTTTCTCGATCAGCATGGGGTCTTGTGAGTTACTCCAACTTCCGAATTTAAGAAAAAACTTAAAAATCTTCAGAATGATCCTCTACAACATCTCAAGAATTTTTGAAGCATTCAGTGTGATTAATGCAGTATCACATTGTATTTTATTTTTTCTGATGTCGAAAAAATATCGAATCACAGTGTCTAGTTTATTTACAAGATCTTGTAAGCAACGAGTTGCTGTTCAAAAATAATAAAAATTGTTTCATTTTTTCTTCCAAAACGCAATTTTATCCACCATAGCGTGCGCAAAACTGATGGGTTTCGAGGGACCTGTTGGAGTTGTTGGCTCAGTTTCCTCAGCACCCCTTCGAGTTCCCTCGACAAGCAGAAAGTTGTCCTGATCGGACTCGTCGAAATCGGCAAACGGGTTGGAGAATCGGCGCGCCCAAATGTCGTTTTCGCGATCGAATGCGTGTGGATTGTACATTTGTTTGTGGTCGCGCAGGTTTTTTCGATCGCTATGCATGTAGCAATCGAATCTGACCAGCAGGCTTGCCGGGCCGACACATTGATTTGATGGCGAGCGAAGGATCACGAAGCGATAGCCTGGAAATTGTATGATTAAAGGTTGGTCACGGAATATCCCTTTTTCGTCTCGCGTCTCTTCTGCACGCACACTCTCTCGTTTTCTCTCACGTGAAATTGTGGCTTTTTTGAATTTTTTTCGCTTTAGGTTCCAGTTTCAGGCGACCATTTTTGAATTTTCGTGTGTTTGTGTGTTTGCAGACATACGCGCAACACCGTGACGCCTTTTGTAGACGATTTTTCACCAGGGAATCTCAAAAAACCTACCATTATTAATAGTGTCCAAGTGTAAAACCCGCTGAGCGATCAAATTGTTTGATTCATTATGAATATTGAATTGTAAAAACGACAAATCATTGAGCATCACTTTGTCGAATCGATAAATGTATCGATCATAATTTGTCACAAAATTGATTTCCTCCTTCAGTTTCGCTCGCCGGCAACTATTTCCTCCCGGTCTATTTGAACTTGTGGTTCCTGTTGGTGTTTCGCCAGTTGACACAACATCTGGAACATCGAAAAGATGTACGCTGATCGAACTGCGTCGACGGAATTTCTCTGTTCCTATTGAGGAGAGAAAATATGCGGATAAAACTTCTACTTCGATTGTATAAGCAATTGTGAATGGAATCTCGATCCGAGGTTTCAGTTTAATATCGCGAAATCGCATATAATCTGGTTTTCTGACATATCCTGAACCTCCATTTCTTTCGAACATCGCATAATTCAATTGCATGTTGTGACAATTTGTTTGATAATTTAGAGCAACCATTTGTGATCCGACTAACCAATGGATCATTGGGCAATAATTCGTCGAATAGATTCTTGAGGCTTTCGGGTAAACACGAATCAGTTTTGATTTTGCAAGACTTTGAACTTTGTCAATTGTACTATTCCGAATCAAAGCGTGTGTCAGATTTTCATCGACAGAAACTATACAATGAAAATTCTCATTCTTCGCATTATCAATGTTCTGGCCCGTTGAAACACTCCGATTATTTTCAAATGCTTGCATATAGTTTATAATCGCTGAGAGCTCTGAGCACGATGTTTCCTCGGGAAGTGCGGCGAGCTGCGCTTTTTGCTGCTCTTCACTAAGCTCTTTGAAAATTTGATGCTCTAGTGCTTCATCTTCGGTTAAATCGAAAGATTGTTGGGAGAGATCGATGCTTGAAGATTCGCGACTTCTAGATTCAAATTTCTCAAACTTCTTCTTCGCTTTAATCAGGATTTTGTATTTGAGTTCTTCCGGGGAGGGATATAGAATGTCTGAAAATCTAGAAATATTTCTTGAAGCTTAAAATAGGTTACCTTTCCCATCCTTCTCATATAATGGATACTTCGATAGTGATGACGTCAATAACAAATCGCCAAAAACACTTCTAAAAATCTGCACCATTTTCTCCTGCTGCTTTCGACTCAAATGATTCTCAATCGATAGAATCAATGGATACGCCGAGGTTTTGAAGGCATACTCTTTGATCGCGAGACAAACATCGATCAGCGAGATCTCATTCATTCCCATCACCGCTGTCGGCCCGTGAGTTATCACCGGAGCCTCGTCTTTATCCTTGTTGTCCCAAACATCCAGCTCAATACATCTACAACCAGCCAGAAGAACTTGTCGATACATTTCCACGTCGGCTGCACATTTTCCAAGAGCATAAACTAATTGATTTCCAGAGCAATATGTGTTGTGCGAGCTGTCGATGAAATATCGATTGATTGGATCGCGCATACTTGCCACGTCAAGACGTTGACGTTGGGCGGTTACGACTACGCCGTGATCATCTGACATCATCCAATGAGCGAACATTTGAGAGGTGACTGGGGTGTCTAAAATAACAGATTTTGAAATGGGAAAATTTGTTTTGCTCTCACCTTTCTGATAATTCCACTCATCAAAAGTCGAATCAATTTTCTTATCCGAAACTTGTCCGAACCTTGCATCATTCAACCGATGATCGTGTTGATTTCTCCGAACCCACTCGCCAAATTCTTCACGCGAAACACGATGTTCATCTTCACTTCTACAAAAAAATTATTTTTTTCGTTAGCTACAATTTCACGTGAGAGAAAACGAGAGGAGAGCAGTGCGCGAGACGAAAAAGGGATATGAATAGGCTCCGCCCATTTATTTTTGAAACTTGCATTTTCCTGAACACACTTTCCAATCGGCTACCCTCCAACTTTGTCAATATACAAATAATTTTCAACAATTTCTGATCATCAATATTTACATTTTGGCGCGAATGAATTGATAAAAGTTTTCCGATCGACACCCACTCGTTTTTTGTCGTCTTCTTGTTTTGGTCAAATATTCGAATGATGCTGAAAGTGCAATTTAACATTGACTACCATTTAAAGAAAATTCCAAACCCACTCTTCTTCTATACATCTCGGTGAAAATAGGGCATACATATTTGGTGCCAGCTTTTTCCTAAAATGATACAACAATCCATGCTCCTCCGATTTCACCTTCTGCACCAATCTGAACAATTTTTCTGCAAAATCCTGAAGATCATGCGGCTCCTTGTTGAGATAGACGAAATGTTTGAACTTGAGATTCGTTATACTTTGACCGCTGACAATTGTCAAAAAGTTTTGTCGAACTTGTTGCTCGTGCGGCGAAAGTTCGAGATTTGTCGGATTGCCCACTCGAACATCGTAGATCTTCTCCAGGAAAATGTAGTTCTTCTCGCGTGACAATTCTTTCTGCTTGAAGAGTAGTTTGTCTTTGTATCGCCAGTAGAGAATGTAGCCGTGTGGATCTACTCGAAGTCGTATTGTTCGATTTAGGCGATCTAGGTTGGACTGAAAATAGGTTCTGTTAATGAATCATAAACCACATAGATTATAAAACACGTTTTGAAATCAAATGAAACTTGAACTTTGCTGCCAAACTTTGAAAAATTCAAATTTGTTAAGACTCATTTAGAAACTTCTAGGAATTAAGAAATTCCAGAAATCCAAACGTAACAGTTCAAGCTGAATAACCTAAGTCCAATAGCCTAGAAGCTTAAAATTAACTTCATTAAAAAGTCTAACTAACATTCTTAACGTAACAACCAAAGCCCTTGAGCCAGGCCTAAACATCCTGAACAAAACTGTCCCAAGCCTAACAAGCCTAACCGAGTTCATTTCATTTCCCTCCCTTTTTTCCCAACTCACATTTCCATTATCATACAAAAAGAACTTCAATTCACCATCCAGCAGCACCTTATTCTCTTTTTCATCCATCAAAAAGTGTATAAATTATTTTTAAAAACCGAAAAAAACCAGCCGATCGTCGCCCCAAAAAACCTGCTGATAACAATATTTTTCCTTGTGAGTGTGATATCATTTTTCTCGGTTTCTCGCCTTTTTTTATGCACACACACATGTTTATACAAATAGAAAAATGAAATGGACAAGTTAGCAAATAAAAATAAAAATATTTTTTATTCAGATCCCTATATTGACTTGACTTGGTGTCCTGGTTCTGAATTGACTGAAATTTCCGATTGTTGAAATTGCACCGACACTATTTTTGACTTGAATTGTTGGAACTTGGATAGAAATAGCAAAGGGTAATCTAATAATGTATAAAACAACAGCACGATATTGATTTGAAAGATAGAAGCATAAAACAAGATGGGAAGCGGCATTTAGAATATACAAAGTTGTGAAAAATGACATGAAATACGACATAAGAAGAGTTACACCAAGTTGTTCGACGAAAAATATCTGCGAAGTATACATTAGGCCTTGAGGCAGATGGATAATCAAAAATGAGATTGACATGAAGGATACCAGCTTGGTAGTTCGATTATCTCGCTCACGATAGTTTTTAGAGCGCCACGTGCTTTTTTTGCGACGTGACGCGTTTATTTCATTGATAAGGATGGCTGTGAGAATTGGTGAAATGAAGCAGGGCAAGAATTTTGAAGTTATGGCCTCGGAGAAATAATAGATTTTGAGGGGGAGTGCGGAATAGGCTTCGAAGAAACCACTTGCGGACATGTTGAAGACGGGGAAGGTGTAATTGTTGACACGGTCTTCGGGGAGGCAGCTGGAAGTTTTTGGGAATGATTCAGGTGTTTTTTGTTCCAGAAAATTGTGTACAAAAATTTCCAAGATCTCTCCTGAAATTAACTGACTCTATTAGGTAATCTTCCTCTGAAACATAATTAAACTGATATCTGAACCATTCAACAGTGGTAATCGGTGTTGCCATAAACATCGCAACCAACACCGAAATCCATCCAGAGCTTGAAATCTGCAATTTCTTGAACTTTGGATTCGTTCCCTTTTTGATAACAACTGCTCGAATCAACGCCATAAAAACTACAAGCCATGAAGAAGCTCGTCTCGAAAAATCAGCCAACGCCGAAAATCCCATGAAAAAATACAAGGAATATAGGTGAACTACGGGGGTGCATGAATCAAAATTGCCATCAATAATGAAACCAAAGTGACGGAAAATATTGAAAAGCATAAAAGTTATATCTGTTATAGCTAGACCTATCATGATCACATTGATCGAGGAAGTTCGGAGAGATTTTCGGGATAAAATCAGGATGTGGATGAAGAGTAAAATCAAGGCAGAGATTGAAAGCCATGCTCGGAATGGTAGACCGAAAAAGAAGTTGGCACCGAACCAATCGATAATCGAGGTCCAGAAAATTCTTGTGCCATTTTGATAGTCGGGAAAATAATAATAGGAAATATCATTGTCATCCGGTAAATCGTAGATTACAACTCCCATAATATTGGGAAAAAATTTATGAGATTTTTTATTGAAGGAAAACAGGTGGAATAGTTGTTTTTCGTGTGTGGCAAATATTTTTTCCACGTGATTTGTTTTGATGACGTGGCAATTTTTGAGTTTTTTCGGAAGAGCTACTAAAGAGTCTGTATAGTTTAGGGTGCAATTAAAAATTTTTATTTCAAATTAAAATGCATGCACAGTACAAAGTCATTAAACTGTGGGTGACTCCGCAGAGAACTAATCAATATTTTTTTGATGATAACGCTCACCTTTTTTTAATCATAATTTAGCAATGATAGAAAATAGCGGCGAAGAAAATCAATTTTTGAATAGAGAGGTTAGTTTTTCCTGTACTTCATTTTCAGTCAATCAAATTATTTTTCCAGAATGTTCCTCCTCCCACAATTTCCATATATTGGAACAATTTCTTGAATTACCTTGCCAAAAATAGATGGTGGAAAACAGCATTCGAAGTTATATACCGTTTGCTCGTGACTTTTTTGATAGCAACATTTTTCTATTATTTGAATCAATTCAATACAATTCGTAAATTCGACGAAATCCCGTGTCAGAGAAAATTTGCAATTAAATTTAAACCCGATAATTTCATCACCATCCCTGAATATCAAGATGAGTTGGAAAAATTTCGCGGGGCACTGATTTTGCTGCAAATTGCTCCACTTATCAATCGATATCCCACCATCAATAAATCAGCCGAATTTTGCAAATTGTTCTCGCACTTATGCACAAAATTTGAAGATTATGGGGTACCTGCTAAAACAGACCATCTGAAAATCGATCTACCGAATTCGTATCATCCAAAATATTTGAACTTTTTGGAAGTTTGTGATCCAGTCAGGACGATTGTTGTTAATACAACCGGGAAGGTTAGTAGAGGAATTTTTGGGCCTCAAAAATATTTTTTTTCAGAGTTACAAATATTTCGACTCAATAAACATTACCCGATATCTGCGACCTACTTTGAAACAAGAACAAAATATCGATTTGCAATTTGATCCGAATGATTCGACAAAATCGATTACTTGTGTTCATATTGAAGGCTCTTCTACACTCGGAGCGAATTCAGCAACTATCAGCAAAATTCTTGCTTCCAAAATTCTTCCCGAAGATCCCGACATCATCTATTTCTTATCAACTAATGGATTGTGGAGATATCTTCGCGATAATTTGCATGAGAATTGGCCTCATCAACAATATCGAGATATTCAAATATCCGATCAACTTGAGACAATCTTCTTTGCGAAAAAATTTTGCGATCAAGTTTTCCTAACTTCGCCGAAATCTGAAGTTGGTTGGTGGATTGGATACGTTTCAAGAAACGTTCACTATCTGAGCAAGTTCAACAATTCGACGCATATTATTGATGGTCTCACTGAAGCTGATGTTTATCCGGAAAATTGGATCAAACTTTGAAGAACAAATTATATCATAATAAATAACCAAAATCTCATATCAGTTTAATATTATTATTATTATTATTATAATTAATATATATATATAAATTTTTCCATGCGGAGTTTGTGAAGTTTTGAAGTCTCAGAAAAATTTTCTGAATTGAAAATAAGATATGAAATGTTTTATGAGCGTAGCAGGTCAATCCTTTCAAAGTTGCGAGAACTTGTGACAAATTCTCAAAAAAACTGTGTTTTGGAGCCCTTGTGTCATAGAGAATCGATGAAATCATTCTCCTGATCTTTTGAAATCTTAAGCTTTTCTTCCCACAAAAATGCATTGTCTAATCCAGATAATCTGATCATTTTTTGTGCTCGTTTTGCATCATCAACTGATATTCGAAAATTTTTATTACAACAAATTAAAAGAGTTTCAGTTAAATACATGATTTTCGAGTGAGCACATTGATTGTGGTAATTTATGAATTGAGTACATTCCTATGAAATGCATAAATCTTTTAATAGTCTGTTTGTGATAGATAATCATGTTAATATAACTCAAAAGTTGGGAGAATCTTGATGCACCATTTCTTCGTCCATATTCAATTTCACAATGTTGAAATAATATTTTTGAAAATTCTTGACGCTTTTTCCAAAGAACATTTCTAGCTTCTTCGGATAAATCGAATATGGGATCACAAATTGCAATTGATTTCAATAAAATATAACTAGGTATCAAATTAAAAAAGCACTAGTGATGGTAATTTTTGCATGGTTTTTTGTCAAAATATCGACAAAGTGTTTTAAAAAGAAAAAGGTGTTTTAAAGAAGAAAAACACTTTGGAAAAAAATTGAAACACTTTTTTGGCATTCGGTTTGTATTCAAAGTGTTTTCAAAAATGGGAACATAATTTTCCCTGAAAGAATAATCCACAACCCATCGAAAAATCGATCGACGACTTCAAAAAACTTATACTTATTTCGTAGTTCGGAATATAACGAGAAATTTTTCATTTTTTTTTTCAAATTTATTCGTGTTTTTCTTATTAAAACCTGATTGAAATTTTGGAACAACTGGAACGAAATTCAACTGATAACAACGGAGCCAATCGGACGATTTTGTGAGATTGGAAACATTTATTCTCGATCTACAACGAAGTTTCAAGGCTGATAATAAGAAAAAATTTATTGAAAAAAAATTAAGAAACTTATCATTCCGGGAATTGTGGACGATTGCGATGAACGAGCTGAAAATAATCAATTTACGATAGATGGAAAAACTGGTAGGAATTTCGACATGCGGAAATTCCTACCCGTTGGTAGGAATTTAGACATGTGAAAATTCCTACCAGAAAACTGATGGAAACTTGGTAGGAATTTTGACATGCGGAAATTCCTACCCGTTGGTAGGAATTTTGACATGCGCAAATCCCTACCAGAAATCCAAAAGAAGACCTGGTAGGAATTTCGACATGCTGAAATTCCTACCCGTTGGTAGGAATTTAGACATGTGAAAATTCCTACCAGAAAACTGATGGAAACTTGGTAGGAATTTTGACATGCGGAAATTCCTACCCGTTGGTAGGAATTTTGACATGTGAAAATTCCTACCAGAAAACTGATGGAAACTTGGTAGGAATTTTGACATGCGGAAATTCCTACCCGTTGGTAGGAATTTTGACATGCGCAAATCCCTACCAGAAATCCAAAGGAAGACCTGGTAGGAATTTCGACATGCGGAAATTCCTACCCGTTGGTAGGAATTTAGACATGTCGAAATTCCTACCAGAAATCCAAAGGAAGACCTGGTAGGAATTTTGACATGTCGAAATTCCCACCAGAAATCCAAAGGAAAACTTGGTAGGAATTTTGACATGTAGAAATTCCTACCAGATATCCAAAGGAAAACTTGGTAGGAATTTTGACATGTAGAAATTCCTACCCGTTGGTAGGAATTTAGACATGTGAAAATTCCTACCAGAAAACTGATGGAAACTTGGTAGGAATTTTGACATGTCGAAATTCCTACCAGAAATCCAAAGGAAGACCTGGTAGGAATTTCGACATGCGGAAATTCCTACCCGTTGGTAGGAATTTAGACATGTGAAAATTCCTACCAGAAAACTGATGGAAACTTGGTAGGAATTTTGACATGCGGAAATTCCTACCCGTTGGTAGGAATTTTGACATGTGAAAATTCCTACCAGAAAACTGATGGAAACTTGGTAGGAATTTTGACATGTCGAAATTCCTACCAGAAATCCAAAGGAAGACCTGGTAGGAATTTCGACATGCGGAAATTCCTACCCGTTGGTAGGAATTTAGACATGTGAAAATTCCTACCAGAAAACTGATGGAAACTTGGTAGGAATTTTGACATGCGGAAATTCCTACCCGTTGGTAGGAATTTTGACATGCGCAAATCCCTACCAGAAATCCAAAGGAAGACCTGGTAGGAATTTCGACATGCGGAAATTCCTACCGTTGGTAGGAATTTAGACATGTCGAAATTCCTACCAGAAACTAAAGGAAGACCTGGTAGGAATTTTGACATGTCGAAATTCCTACCAGAAATCCAAAGGAAAACTTGGTAGGAATTTTGACATGTCGAAATTCCTACCAGAAATCCAAAGGAAAACTTGGTAGGAATTTTGACATGTCGAAATTCCTACCAGATATCCAAAGGAAAACTTGGTAGGAATTTTGACATGTAGAAATTCCTACCAGATATCCAAAGGAAAACTTGGTAGGAATTTTGACATGTAGAAATTCCTACCCGTTGGTAGGAATTTAGACATGTGAAAATTCCTACCAGAAATCCAAAGGAAGACCTGGTAGGAATTTCGACATGCGGAAATTCCTACCCGTTGGTAGGAATTTTGACATGCGCAAATCCCTACCAGAAATCCAAAGGAAGACCTGGTAGGAATTTCGACATGCGGAAATTCCTACCCGTTGGTAGGAATTTAGACATGTCGAAATTCCTACCAGAAATCCAAAGGAAGACCTGGTAGGAATTTTGACATGTCGAAATTCCCACCAGAAATCCAAAGGAAAACTTGGTAGGAATTTTGACATGTAGAAATTCCTACCAGATATCCAAAGGAAAACTTGGTAGGAATTTTGACATGTAGAAATTCCTACCCGTTGGTAGGAATTTAGACATGTGAAAATTCCTACCAGAAAACTGATGGAAACTTGGTAGGAATTTTGACATGTCGAAATTCCTACCAGAAATCCAAAGGAAGACCTGGTAGGAATTTCGACATGCGGAAATTCCTACCCGTTGGTAGGAATTTAGACATGTGAAAATTCCTACCAGAAAACTGATGGAAACTTGGTAGGAATTTTGACATGCGGAAATTCCTACCCGTTGGTAGGAATTTTGACATGTGAAAATTCCTACCAGAAAACTGATGGAAACTTGGTAGGAATTTTGACATGCGGAAATTCCTACCCGTTGGTAGGAATTTAGACATGTGAAAATTCCTACCAGAAAACTGATGGAAACTTGGTAGGAATTTTGACATGCGGAAATTCCTACCCGTTGGTAGGAATTTTGACATGCGCAAATCCCTACCAGAAATCCAAAGGAAGACCTGGTAGGAATTTCGACATGCGGAAATTCCTACCCGTTGGTAGGAATTTAGACATGTCGAAATTCCTACCAGAAATCCAAAGGAAGACCTGGTAGGAATTTTGACATGTCGAAATTCCTACCAGAAATCCAAAGGAAAACTTGGTAGGAATTTTGACATGTCGAAATTCCTACCAGAAATCCAAAGGAAAACTTGGTAGGAATTTTGACATGTCGAAATTCCTACCAGATATCCAAAGGAAAACTTGGTAGGAATTTTGACATGTAGAAATTCCTACCAGATATCCAAAGGAAAACTTGGTAGGAATTTTGACATGTAGAAATTCCTACCCGTTGGTAGGAATTTAGACATGTGAAAATTCCTACCAGAAAACTGATGGAAACTTGGTAGGAATTTTGACATGTCGAAATTCCTACCAGAAATCCAAAGGAAGACCTGGTAGGAATTTCGACATGTCGAAATTCCTACCAGAAATCCAAAGGAAGACCTGGTAGGAATTTTCGACATGCGGAAATTCCTACCCGTTGGTAGGAATTTTGACATGTCGAAATTCCTACCAGAAACTAAAGGAAGACCTGGTAGGAATTTCGACATGCGGAAATTCCTACCCGTTGGTAGGAATTTAGACATGTCGAAATTCCTACCAGAAATCCAAAGGAAGACCTGGTAGGAATTTTGACATGTCGAAATTCCTACCAGATATCCAAAGGAAAATTTGGTAGGAATTTTGACATGTAGAAATTCCTACCAGATATCCAAAGGAAAACTTGGTAGGAATTTTGACATGTAGAAATTCCTACCCGTTGGTAGGAATTTTGACATGTAGAAAATTTCCTACCAGAAAACTGATGAATTTTGACATAGAATTTGACATGTCGAAATTTAGACATGTGAAAATTCCTGCAGAAAACTGATGGAAACTTGGTAGGAATTTTGACATGTCGAAATTCCTACCAGAAATCCAAAGGAAGACCTGGTAGGAATTTCGACATGTCGAAATTCCTACCAGAAACCAAAGGAAGACCTGGTAGGAATTTCGACATGCGGAAATTCCTACCTGTTGGTAGGAATTTTGACATGTCGAAATTCCTACCAGAAATCCAAAGGAAGACCTGGTAGGAATTTCGACATGCGGAAATTCCTACCCGTTGGTAGGAATTTAGACATGTCGAAATTCCTACCAGAAATCCAAAGGAAGACCTGGTAGGAATTTCGACATTCGACATGCGGAAATTCCTACCCGTTGGTAGGAATTTCGACATGTCTAAATTCCTACCAACGGGTAGGAATTTCCGCATGTCGAAATTCCTACCAACGGGTAGGAATTTCCGCATGTCGAAATTCCTACCAGGTCTTCCTTTGATTTTCTGGTAGGAATTTCGACATGTCAAAATTCCTACCAAGTTTTCCTTTGATATCTGGTAGGAATTTCGACATGTCTAAATTCCTACCAACGGGTAGGAATTTCCGCATGTCGAAATTCCTACCAACGGGTAGGAATTTCCGCATGTCGAAATTCCTACCAGGTCTTCCTTTGGATTTCTGGTAGGAATTTCGACATGTCAAAATTCCTACCAAGTTTTCCTTTGGATATCTAGTAGGAATTTCGACATGTCTAAATTCCTACCAACGGGTAGGAATTTCCGCATGTCGAAATTCCTACCAGGTCTTCCTTTGGATTTCTGGTAGGGATTTGCGCATGTCAAAATTCCTACCAACGGGTAGGAATTTCCGCATGTCAAAATTCCTACCAAGTTTCCATCAGTTTTTCTGGTAGGAATTTTCACATGTCAAAATTCCTACCAACGGGTAGGAATTTCCGCATGTCAAAATTCCTACCAAGTTTCCATCAGTTTTCTGGTAGGAATTTTCACATGTCAAAATTCCTACCAACGGGTAGGAATTTCCGCATGTCAAAATTCCTACCAAGTTTCCATCAGTTTTCTGGTAGGAATTTTCACATGTCTAAATTCCTACCAACGGGTAGGAATTTCAGCATGTCGAAATTCCTACCAGGTCTTCTTTTGGATTTCTGGTAGGGATTTGCGCATGTCAAAATTCCTACCAACGGGTAGGAATTTCCGCATGTCAAAATTCCTACCAAGTTTCCATCAGTTTTCTGGTAGGAATTTTCACATGTCTAAATTCCTACCAACGGGTAGGAATTTCCGCATGTCAAAATTCCTACCAAGTTTCCATCAGTTTTCTGGTAGGAATTTCTACATGTCTTAATTCCTACCAACGGGTAGGAATTTCCGCATGTCGAAATTCCTACCAGTTTTTCCATCTATCGTAAATTGATTATTTTCAGCTCGTTCATCGCAATCGTCCACAATTCCCGGAATGATAAGTTTCTTAATTTTTTTTTCAATAAATTTTTTTCTTATTATCAGCCTTGAAACTTCGTTGTAGATCGAGAATAAATGTTTCCAATCTCACAAAATCGTCCGATTGGCTCCGTTGTTATCAGTTGAATTTCGTTCCAGTTGTTCCAAAATTTCGATCAGGTTTTAATAAGAAAAACACGAATAAATTTGAAAAAAAATGAAAAATTTCTCGTTATATTCCGAACTACGAAATAAGTATAAGTTTTTTGAAGTCGTCGATCGATTTTTCGATGGGTTGTGGATTATTCTTTCAGGGAAAATTATGTTCCCATTTTTGAAAACACTTTGAATACAAACCGAATGCCAAAAAAGTGTTTCAATTTTTTTCCAAAGTGTTTTTCTTCTTTAAAACACCTTTTTCTTTTTTAAAACACTTTGTCGATATTTTGACAAAAAACCATGCAAAAATTACCATCACTAGTGCTTTTTTAATTTGATACCTAGTTATATATTCCGTATTGGTGATTTTATTCTGGATTAGATAACTCATAATATTTCGATAAGACTTTAGGTTATCTCGAAGAAACGGCTCATTTTTTCTGGAAAATGAAGGTGATAAAACTAAAGATCAAATTTTCGACTTACCCAACATTTTTGCCAGTTAACGTGTTCAGCAAATCAATTCTGAAAATAAAACTCACGGAAAAGTTTCAAAAAAAAAGAGCTTACATGTTTTTTGAATCTAGAAAACATCCATCAGGAGTTCTGAAACAGTCTGATCTATACTGAATCGAAGTAAATGCAAATGTCATTGTTTGACTGATAATTGCAACATGTTTTGCTAGAATTATTCGATCACAAAATTTCAGAGATCGGAAAAAAATCAAATGTTTTCAAATACTCAATTGACATCATTATATCGAACTTCACCCAGTGTTTCCTGTAAGAAAATATTATGTAGATGTTGGAGTAGAACTTATAGTCACAAATTTGAAAAAAACTCACGAATTCAATGAATGATTTAAAGTACTTTGATTTGAAAGTTTTAAACTTATTTCATTCAGTTTCACTTGTTCTTCCCTGAATTTTTGAAATGCCAGAGGCCAATTTGGCATCGGCTGAAAACTTTTAATTTGAAGCTGACGTAAAAATTCACAAACCTTCAATTTCTCAGCCAAATTCAGAAGACTTGGAGCATCTAAAAGTTGCTCAAAAGTGGGAAAAATAACAGGATTATAGGTTGAATTTCGAAGTTTTATAATTTGAGAGTCGATGCGAGATAAGTTGGAAATTAAGTGATGCGAATTATTTGATGATAGAACTAGAATTCGAATATTTTCTGGAAATTTCTTTTTTCTTTTGATTTGCTGCTCTTCCATCTTACAAGCGAGGCAAAGCACAAGACTGAATACTAGGAATGAAGACTGAAAGAATGTTCTCGCCTTTGAGACGATTATGATTTTTGGATTAGACAAAAAATTGAAAAGCTATTACAATTTGAAATTCAAAAAATTCCCAAAAAATAGCTTTGAATATCTGATGAAAATTGACCTTGGACCTCAGTTTCCAGAAGTTTTTGCTGATTTTTCGTAAAATAAAAAAAAATTTAAAATTGTTTATTTCACAAAAAAATCAGCAAAAACTTCTGGAAAGTGAATTCCAAGTACAATTTTCATCAGAAAAAATCCTCGATTTGTCAACATTTTTGGCTCAAAGACTCTAATTTTGACCTACAATTTTTTTTCGTCACTTTTTTTCATTCTGATCTTTGATTTACAAAAAGCATTTCTTCAGAAGTCGAATTCATAGATCATCTTTCGATTTTCGAAAATCCTATAATTCCCAAGAAATTTCACACAAAAATGTATACATTTTATTTTAATCTCATTTTCATCTTCTTCTCCCATTCTCCTCGATAACAAGAAAAACCAAACTAAAAAAATCGCGGTCTGATTTATTATGCAAGATTAACATGTAAAGAGGTTGACCCTCCTAGAAAAGAAAACAACTAAACAAGGAGAAGAAATAAAATCACGCTTCATTTATTCGTTTCGAAATGTCGAAATTTGCAAGTTTACAAGGTCTGCGAGCAATTTCAATAACTTTGGTGCTAATTTTTCATCTGTTTCCAAAAGTTTTTGTGAATGGTTTTGTTGGAGTTGACATGTGAGTTTTCTATAGATCAGTTCAACCTAAACTTCTTTTGTTCCAGGTTCTTTGTTCTCTCTGGCTACCTTATGACAAAAATCCTAACCTCCACCACACCTTCCGATTTCTGCACCACCAAAAACTTCACCGCTAAGTTCATTGCGTGTCAAATTTTCTACACAAAACGCGTGAAACGTATTCTACCCTTGTATTTTCTGACGATTTTCGCAACAATTTTGTGCGTTTTTTTCTTAGTCTTCAAAAATAATCGAACCGAATTCATTGAGGATGTGAAATGGGCGGTTCTGATGATTTATAATTATAAAATTATTTTTGAACATGTTTCGTATTGGGATACGGTAGGTGACAAGAAGTCTTGATGGATTTTTTTTTCAAAGCTGACATTCCCCTCAGATTTCTACAATCCGCTACCTAACTCATCTTTGGTCCATCTGCGTTGAACTTCAGTATTATCTTCTGGCCCCTTTGATCTTCTGGATCTCCACTAGAATCAACAAAAAACCCACCATCAAAATCCCTGCATACATTCTAGCCGTCACAATCTCATATCTTTTCCAAACCCTTACCCCATTCGAATTATCCTACAGCTGCCTGGCTTCAAGAATCTGGCAATTTCTCATCGGCCACGTGGCATTCGAAGTTCCACGTAGAACATCATTGAAACGTGGATCCGGTTCTGTAGATGAACATTCGGTGAATTTCATATTTCCAATCATTTTCATCGGAATTTTGACAATAATCTTCATTTTGCCACGTGGCATTGTTCGCGGGGAAGAGCAAATTGTTCGAAGTGCGATGAGCATTCTGGCTGGCATATTCTGTCATTTTTGTGGAGATCTTGAGAAATCAATATTCACTGCACGGCCTTTGGTGATTCTGGGTGATTTATCGTATGTGGTGTATTTGGTGCATTGGCCGGTGATTAATTTGGTGAGATATGTGCAGTTGAAGGATCAGGGAGATCTGAATTTTGGGGGTGAGTTGATGGAAAATTTGCCACGTCATAACTCAGTTCAATTCCAGAAGCCTTGATTGCTATTGCCATTACATTCACAATCTCCTTCATCATTCATAGATTCGTTGAACCCAAATTCATTGAATCCGATTTCATTATCTCTATGACAACCATAGTCATCTTCGCAAGTTGCTCAATCTATGCCACGTCATATCTTCAAACCACGGAGAACTTCTTCCTCTCAATGCAGTCTAGAAATCTTCAGGAGAGCATCAAGTGGAACTCCGAGATGAGTAGATTGATGAGACCGATTGATGATCTACCATGTGTTGATGTTTGGAACCCGAAGGCTCCGAAAGTTGCGGAAGAACCGTGCTGGATTGTTAGTCATCTCATAGAAACTTTCCCGTAAAACTGTTTTTTTCAGAAATCCAATGGCACTGGAAAAATTCTAGTGATTGGAAATAGTTTGGCGATTCGAGCGTTTCCGGCGATTTTTGAATTTCTGGATGAGAATTTTGCGGAACTTCGATTGTTTGCGAGAACAAGTTCAGCACCATTGACGAACTCCAATTCGATGTACACGAATGCTTCAATTCAGGTTGCGAAATTCATGAAACCGGATTTATTGTGGATTGTGCAAGGTGTAAAGTGAGTTAGAGCGGTTGTGAGAACTTTTTCCAAAAAAAATAAAATTCCAGCGAGATCGCCTATCCTCATCCTCTCTGGCAAGATCGCCTAGAAGATTCCACACTCGACAAAGAATCTCAGAGAATCCTAGACGAACTCAAAGTCCACGCGAAACTCGTCGTCATAGATCTTCCATATTTTGTATCCTCCGAACCGGTGGCAAGTAATCTGGCTCGAAAATTATTGTATGGGAAAGAAATCGTGAAATCGAGCATCGTTGGCAAAGATGTGATTTTTGCCCAACTTCACAAACAAACTCGACGATTATTGAATCTCAATTGCTCGAATTGTTATTTCAATCAAATTCAGGAGTCATTAATGCAAGATGGTTCCAAGGATTTTCTGAAATACGACAAGGAAACGATGGGAGCCTTGAATTATGATGGAGGACATTTGTCGAAAATTGCGTTTAGGAAATATTTACGGGATGTTTATATGGGACAAATTCAACGGTTTCGTTCAATTTTCTAGAATCTAGTTTTTTATTTGATAAAATCATTTTTATTCAGTTTTGAAATGATTTTTGGACATTTTTAATGATCTCCGAGCGACTTGACTACATTTTATTCTTTTATCTGATTAGTGATGCATTTTCGGAAAAAATGGGAAATGTCCAAAATTGCGACATTTCAAAAATGAGAACATTGAAAAATTGAAAAATCTCCCAATCGGGATTTTATTAAAAAGGTAGATTTTGATTTGAACTGGCTGTTTCGAAAATATTGTTTCTGGAAGTCTAGAAGTTGACAGAACTCTAATTTTCAACAAAGTGAAATCTGTAAGCCTCTGAAGCAACATCTCATATTTCGAAAATCAGTACATTGATCTTTGATATCCCAACAAAAAAGTGTGTGGTTTGGTCGAAATGAAAATGAAAAGATATTGGATTGTTTAAAGCCCAGATCATTTGTCATTGATTTCATTTGACCCGTTTAGAAGAACATACAGGAAATTTATAAGTTTATTATTGCAAATTAATATGAGTAATAATTATTAGATAGCTTCGACCCCGCAAATAACTCCAGGATATTCAAAAAGTCCACTTCCGTCTGCTAATCCACCCATTTCAGTGTCCAAATAAACATAATTTTGTTGAAATTGCCAATTATTCGGTTGAATTCCTTCCCAAACAAAACCTGCAGTTCCAGAAGTTACACCATCTGTCCATTCGAATGAATTCAATTTTGTGCAACTTGCCGTGATACCTTTTCCAATACAATTTTCGACTCTTTCAGCTCCGATATAAAACCTTGCATCCTCTCCATTATTAGCTGCTCTAGCCTGAGCAATCATTGTTGTGACTTCAGCAGCATTTTGAAAACCCGAAGGTACTGCGTTGGCGTTGAGATTTTGACAAGTTTCGGCAGCTTCTGCTTGTTGAATTGAAGCAAGCCCAGTTCTCATACACCACGAATAGGTTCCTCTGTTGAATAGAGTCCACGTGGCATCGGGACATGGTCCTAGGGGTTCTTCGGGCTCTTCAGGCTCTCCAGGCTCTCCAGGCTCTCCAGGTTCTCCAGGTTCTCCAGGCTCTCCAGGCTCTCCAGGCTCTCCAGGCTCTCCAGGCTCTCCAGGCTCTTCAGGCTCACCAGGCTCTTCAGGCTCTCCAGGCTCTTCGGGTTCTCCAGGCTCTTCAGGAGCAACAGTAGTAGTTTCTGTTACAATGGTACTTGTGCTTGTAGGCTCTTCAATCTCATCATCCAAAATAGGCACTGAAAACCACATTAGAGATTGGTCAAATTTATCACAAAACTATACAAAACTCACCTCCTCCACCATCCGTTGGCATGCAAAAATCAAAAGTTCTCACAAAAAACATCAGAAAAAGTAGCAGGCTAATCTGCATTGTGAAACAAAAACAAATGATCTTATGATACACATATATATGTACATATAAAATCCTTTATTCCGAATAATTCAGTTTTTTTTGTACGCAATGATTTTTGGACATTTTCAATGATCTACGAGCGACTTGGAAACGCGAAACTACATTTTATTCTTTTTATCTGATTAGTGATGCATATTTTTGATATTTCTTGGTTGATTTTGATTTGAATTGGCTGCTTCAAAAATATTATTTCTAGATTCTAGAAGTTGACAGAACTCTAATTTTCAACAAAGTGTAATCATTTTTCGAAAATCAGTCCATTGATCTTTGATATCCCTATCTTGCAACAAAAAAAGTGTGTGGTTTGGTCGAAATGAAAATGAAAAGATATTGGATTGATATAGAAAGCCCAGATCATTTGTCATGTTTTTTGCTTGATTTGATTTGACCCGTTTAGTGCCTGATAATAAGTTTATTATTGTAAATTAATATGAGTAATAATTATTAGGAAGCTTCAACGCCGCAAATAACTCCAGGATATTCAAAAAGTCCATTTCCGTCTGCTAATCCACCCATTTCAGTGTCCAAATAAACATAATTTTGTTGAAATTGCCAATTATTCGGTTGAATTCCTTCCCAAATCCATCCATCAGTTCCAGTTGTTTTACCATCTGTCCATTTGAATGAATTCAACTTTGTGCAACTTGCCGTGATACCTTTCCCAATACAATTTTCAACTCTTTCAGCTCCGATATAAAACCTTGCATCCTCTCCATTATTAGCCGCTCTAGCCTGAGCAATCATTGTTGTAACTTCTGCTGCATTTTGAAAACCTGAAGGTACTGCGTTGGCGTTGAGATTTTGACAAGTTTCGGCAGCTTCTGCTTGTTGAATTGAAGCAATCGCAGTTTTCATACACCATGAATAGGTTCCTCTGTTGAATAGAATCCACGTGTCATCAGGACATTTGGGATCTTCAGACGCCTCTGTAGTGGTGGTTGTGGTGGGCTCCTCGGGACTTTGTGAAGTTGAAATCACTTCTTCGGGCTCATCCAAGTCTTCATTCAATATGGGCACTAAAAATATCATGATTTGCCCCGCCCCGCCAAATTGCCAACTCACTTCCACCATTTTTCGTCGGCATACAACAATCACAAAATCGCACGAAGAAGATCAAAAAGGTTGTCGTCAACAACATCCTTGAAAATAATTATGTGAAAATTGTCTCAAATCCCACGATTATTTCCGCCCTAATCAGTTTTTTTGCATGACGACTTGATAAGTTTTTTGACGATTCTTTGAGACAGCAAACTAGAGACTTTTTGTGATGAAATGATATCACGAAACTTGAATTTATCTCACAATTAAAAATTTTTATGAATCAACCTGAAACACGAAAAAAATACGTTTCATCAAATAAATAGATAATGCAGATATTGCCCCAGACACTGGCATCGTTAAGACCCAAGACATGAATACGTATTTCACAGTCTTCCATTGAACTGGTGGACCAGATCTGACGATGCCAAGCCCGATGATTGAGCCGACTAGACAGTGAGTCATACTTTGTGGAATATCGATCGCATTTCCACCCAAGGCCACAATGGCGGCACCGAATTCAACGGAAAATCCGGTGGCTGGGTTCATTTTTGAGATTTCTTCACCGACGGTTTTGATGACGCGGATTCCTAGGGACCAAATGCCCAGGAGAATTGCGAGCGTAGAAAGGAGACCGATGTAGACAGAAATCTGAAGGATTGGGTTTAGAACTTTTGTTTCCAAAAAAATTATGTACATCAATATTTGCCTAAACCTAAATCTCTGAATAAACAATGGTCACAAACTAGAATGTAGTCTAACCTAAATTTTCAAAATAGGCCTCAAAATCCAACTCACATTCAACGTTGTATTATCATCCTGATAACTCTGATTATAAAAATGCACCAAATCTCGAATCGGTCCCACACTATTGCTCACATCATCTGCTCCATGTGCAAAGCCCGCAAAACACGCCGTAATGATTTGCAAAAGTGAAAACAGTCGCACCGATTTCTGATCATCTTTTCGATCTCGGGGAAATAATTTCGAACATAGGCTTGAATCATTTTTCGTGTATGATAAACTGCTTTCAATTCGTGGCAGCTCGATTTTCTCTCTCCTCAATCTTTGCTTCATTATCGGACCCACTAGAAAAAGCGCAAAAAATCCAGCCAAACTTCCAACTATCAGCGAAACCGCCAACATATATGCTACCGGAACATCGGAGAGATGTAAAACTTGACTTCCATCTAATAAAAACAGCAAAACATTGGTGAAAATCACAATCAGGTAGATCAGAGGAAGGTAGAATAATCCACGTTGCACGGGGTTTTCACGTCGCAAAATCGCGAAATCAATGGTGAAAAATATGAGGAGGGAAAAAATCGCTGATAAAAATGGCGAGATGAGCCAGACCACCACAATGTGCACAACTCGATACCAAATGATTCCGGTGAATCCTTTGAGGACCAATGAAAAACCGATGGTGGCTCCCAGAATCGAATGAATCGATGAGACTGGCATTCCGTAAAACGTGGCAATTATCAGCCAAACCGAGCAGCCGATGAGCATTGCCAGATGACCCAGAACCAGCTCTTCCGGGTCCATGGCGTATTGTTGAGTGTCGATGATTTGCAACGATACTCCGCCATTTCCTAGGAAAAAATTTGGTTTCCAAGGTGTGATCTACCTAATTTTAAAATCTCACCTGCTAAACCACTCGCTACTGATCCCATCATCTCTACAACGGACGCCAGTACAAAAGCCTGCGTCACTGTAAGTGTTCCAGCACCAACTGCGGTGCCGAACGCGTCAGCAACATCGTTGGCGCCTAAACCGATGCCCAAAATAAACGACACTCCGAAAATCAATGCCCATTGAACAACTTCGAGATTATAGTAGGGTACAGGTTTCAGCAGATTTGTGAAATAGATTTCGGTGCTGCTGGTCATAGCGTAACTAATGTTTATGTATGAGTATATGCGGAGAAAAAGAATAAGAAAGAATAACATGACGTGTGTTTTGTTTGCTCAAGTTTAGTAGCCTACTGTTTGTTGTATATTCAAATGAACTTTGATACTCAACAATGTATTGTTTTTAAATCGAAAATATACAAAACTCTGAATTTCAGAAAGAAAAATAAAAGATTAGGCAAGCGGCGGGGGTTGATCCGGGACCTTCTGAACAAAAAACAGACGCCTAACCGACTGAGCTAACAGACGTTTTGTGGAAGGTGGTGGGATTTCCAAGATATATTTAATTTTTTCCTGTGTGTTTTTTGGCACTGTGGCTTTAAGTTTAAAAGAATCCCTGGGCATGGTACAACTTTTTTCCAAAAAGCTATAATTATTTTGAACATAAATTTTATGTTCAGAATAATTATAGCCTTTTCGAAAAAAGTTTTTTGTCATGGGGTTCCTAAACAAGTCATTTTTAATTCTAAAAATCGAGTTTCATCAGTTCAAAAAATCGAAACCGATCATTTGGAAAATTTTAATTGCGTGATGAGCTCATAAAATGTTTTTTGTCTACTTTTTTTCTAAATTTTTTTTTGATTTTGTGCGAAAAAAAATGGATTCTCGCTCAACCCTCCGAATAATCTCACACATTCTCTCAATTTTTGTTCTACCAATCAATCTATGGGGAATTTTTTGTATCCTAAAAGTCAACACAAATTCGATGAAACTGGTCAAATTCCATTTGCTGAATTTACACATTTGGTCAACAATTTTCGACGTGGTAGTTGGATCATTTATCATTCCCTTCTTCTTTTTTCCAGTATTGGCTGGGTTACCCAGTGGATTATTGGGTGATTATGGAATTGAGCCGATTGCCCAGATTTTTGTGACGTTTTTTTGTTTTGGAGGTGAGCTTTTGCAAGATTTTTGATAGCTTATCCTTGATGTTTCGGGGCTGAAACATCAAGGAAATCAAGAAATCTGAATCTGAAGGTTCAGATTTCCATCTACATAAATCTCCCCCTCAAATCCAAAAAAAATATTTCCTAGGCACCTGTAGCGCAATAATCCTCCTCTTCGAAAATCGCCAAAGTGTAATCTGCAAGCACTCCCGCTTCCGAATCTCCCGAAAATCCTCCAAAATTGTGTACTATTGTTTTGTCTACACATTTTCATGCTTTCTAATCTACCCAATATCATGGAATATTCCCGAAGATCAAATTGAGGCCAAGAAAATATCGCTAGAATATTTGGGGAATCCAAGTCCCGAATTTTTTTCGAAGGATAATTTCATTTTCAAAACTCCTGATGGTAGTTGGGGATTTGTGATCTTCTCACTGATCTTTGTGATGTTTCTGATCTCACAGATCGCATTTTTCGGCTTCGGATGTATATATAATTTATATATGTTGAAATCCAACCAACTTTCAAACCATAAAAAACGAACTCAACGCTCATTTTTCATCTCAATCTGCATTCAAATATTCGCCCCACTCATCACAATTTTTCTAACCCTAACCTATTTTCTCTACAGTATGTATTTCATATATTACAATCAAGTTCTGAACAACATCACTAGCCTATTATTTTCGTGCTACGGATTTTTTTCAACGATTTTCTTGTTGACTATGAATTCGCCTTATCGAAATTACACATTGAGTAGTTTTTTGTGGAAAATCAAGGAGGATAAGACAAGTGTGACTATAGTTCCGAGAAGTTTTGCAATTTCAATGTAGTTTTTTTGAGACATAAAGTTTTTGAATTTTTGGCAGGGTTTTTGTAGATCAAAAATCAGAAATTGAACGTTGAAAGATCGAGATCTTTAAAATTCAGTGATACGAAAACTGATTAGTAACATAAATTCTTAGAAAAAAAGAGAATTTTGAAAATAAGAACGTGACACTGGATCTCTATCAACAAAAAACTTGTTAAATAAAGTAGTGTCATTGCGTATCGTTGTTCGAGAAAAACCTCTAAAACTCTTATCTAAAGAGAAAATCCCATAGTCGTCATCACCACAAACAAAAACACATGATAAAGTTCAAAAAACCAAATCCAACCCAAAAATATACTTATCTATCTATCCAAAAACATCGTCACAATCCACTTTTTTAAAAATCCTCTCAGCTTATCTCATCCATAAATACTCCAAAAATCTCAGCAAATTTATCACTTTTCTCATTTTTGCTCCCCTCATCAAACTGGACATGCTCTACCTAACAAAATCACTAGCACTTTGCACAATTTTCATATTTCTAACGATTTCTATTCTGATGCTAATTGCCATCTTTTATTTGTGCAAATATCATTTTGAGCATGCTGAGCTCGAAAAAATGCGCCTACCAAATGAAGCCGGAAGAAGTTGGGAGAAATTATGCGAAGGAAGCTGGAGATGAAGAAGATGTTCTAGACATTCCTTGTGAGTTTTATTCAAAAATCTCAGAATCAGATTTCAAATCAGTATTCGATTTTCAGACTACACTTCTCATAACTTACCCTCAATTATGTTGGAGAACGAGGAACTTCCGCCGGAATATTTTGAACTTGAATCAGCGCGAGCTTCACCTTTGCCTTCATACGATGATGTGATGTATTGCGATCAACTGAATCGATCATTCCAGAATTTGATTTCTGCAAGATAAGGGGTTTCTAACATCGAAGTTATGGAAAATTAATTAAACTTTTTCTACGAAAAAAACATTGGTTTGAAAAATAAAACATTTATTTTGATAATGAATTTTTTTCTGTGATTTCAGCTCAATTTTATTCACAATTCCGGGCTACAAATCGCGCATGAAATTATTAATTCTATGAAATTTTTCTTCCTCAAAGTGACATCTTATTGTTAATTTTGAAGCATTTTCCCGGAATACATGCAAAAAAAATTCGTATTATTTATCATCGCCAAGAATTGTAGTTTAGTGACCTCTAATCTTCCGAAAATCCGCTCACAATTCATTTTTATCTAAAAAATGAATATTCAATTTCGTCTGCGAAACAAACTAACAGAAAACCCGGGTATAAAAGATTGTATTTTTGGTTCTTTTGGGGAATAAAGTAGTTTGAAATCTAAATTCCATATTTCTTGTTGAAACGTTTTATTGTTTGTTTGTTTGTCAATAGTTCGGCAGTTTTTTTGTCAGAAAAAAAATTGAAGTTCAAAACTCACAAACCCGAATAGTTTTGACTAAAAAACTTTCGAATCCATAGATCGATTCACCCAAAACAAACAACTTCAACTTGCCAATGACCAAGGTTCATGTTGACTTTTTTCATCTTGAGCCGCGAAAAGGTGGCAGGTAAACAAAAAGCGAATGGTATAAATACTCGCAACTATTTCGAGAGTGTATCATTCGAAAGAAATAATCGAAAATGAACTCGAAACTCATCATTCTCTTGATCATCGCCTCAATTCTTATCCACGAAACATCTGCGCAATACTACGGTTATTCAAGTTATTATCCATCATACTACGGTAGCTACTATGGAAGTGGATATGGTTATGGATACGGTGGATACGGATATCCATCAACATATGGATATTATGGTTATTATGGAAAACGATCTGCTGGATTTGGACCATCTCAACAACAACAACAACAACAACAAGGACCATCAAACTAATTGAGAAAATGAAAAGGGAAAACGAAACTTTGTATATTTTTTTGGAATTTTTGCCATGATCAATAAATATTTGTAATTGCAAGGCTGACTTAAAAAATACAGGTTTTCAATCTTTCTAAATTCAATAAGGATTTCAACTGCAGCATTCACTAGATTCCTGGCCGCTGAAGATGCTCGTGATATCGAAATCTAGAAGCCTGGCCTAAATATTTACAAGACTTTTTGAAAAATTCCTTTCCCGAATTTAATTATAAGCACATTTGCTGTCATCAACTTTTGGTCCGCAAAAAATATTAAATTATTCATTCTGCGCTTTCAGACAAGAAATCATGGGATCAAAAATTTGAAAATTACATAGACCTGACAATGAATTATGGGAATTTATATACATACCCCAAAAATTTGAAACCGATTTGTACGAAAGTTTTTAAATTTGGCCCTTGGTTTTTGAGAAATATTATTATTAATTTCCGTTTCCGAAAAATTGATACTTTAATTGCTAAGAAAAATAATTAAACCAATGTAAATAGGTTTTTGAACTTTTGGCAGGTTGAATTGTTTAGATAGCAAATAAAAATAAATTCTCAAAAATTCTCGAATGACACATGTTTTCTAAAATTTCAATCAATTTTCAGATCTTTTGTCAAAATTATTTTCAAAAATCTCAATCATTTTCAAATTTTCTCATTCAACTAATATTTGAATCCTTATATTCCCCAAAAATCTCACCTTTTACACGTCCTTTCGAAATCCATTCGACTTGAAGAATTCTAAGAGAATTCAACTCTTTTAAAATCAAACAAAAAATACATAACACATTGGAAATTGAGAAAAAAAAAACATTTATTATTTTATGAAACAAAAAAGGACAGAACAAATAAATAAAATCAAATTTTTGAAGAGAAAATAACTTACCTGATTTTTATATCTCAAGATCAACCGAACTCGATTTTCATATTTATTTTAATTTAAAACTGTTCGATTTTTGGATCTTGTGAATTCAAAAAAAAATCCAGACCTAAATTTTGTGCTGAAAATCAGGAACTTATGAATTTTAGCACAGAATTTGGGTTTCGAAAATTTTTTATCTTAAAAACTTTTAAGTACCCCAAATTTTGTGCTGAAAATCATGATGAAAATGCTGAAAACATCTGGAAAACCATGTTTCTATGACTTTCAGCGCAATATTTGGGTGTGGAAAATGTGTTTGATTCTTATCAAATTCTCCCCAATTTAATATTTTTAAAAATTTCAAATCTCATCATTCAAAAATGATTTTGTGAGAGAATTTAAATTTTTTTTTGCAAAAACAAAACCGACCTTTCCGGGACAAAATCAAACCAAATGCAAGTGTTCGCCAAAATGTTGGAAATCCAAAAAATCTTGAAAATATTCGAAATCGCGTCAGAAAACTCGCTGAGAATGAGACGAATGCTGAAAATTAGGATTGTTATTTCTAAATCAGAAAATGAGATCAAATTTGCCACGTCATGTTTCACGTTAAAAAATTAACAAACCTGAAGAATTGCTGAACAATCAAATCGATTTTTGTACGAATTTATCGGATTTTGCTGTCACTGAAATGCGGGATTGAGCAATCTGTAAAATGATTTATTAATAAATTTCCTCGTGTTTTTGTACTTACCTTATCTTTAGTATCAAAAGCTGCATTGGAAAAAGCGCTATCTCCTCCAGCCGGTTTTTTGTAATTTTTGAATATTGGAATACAGTTTTGATCTCCACCAACTTTTTCAACTTTTTCATAGGTTTCTTCGATTATTTCTTGAGGCTTTTTTGACAATTGCAAAACAACGACGATTGACAAGAAACTTGAAATGTCCAAAAGTTTCGCCGATTGTGAGAAGAATTTTTCAAAGGAAAAACAATTCTCCATCTTGTTCAAATTCGGAGAGTGGAGCAGCTACCGAAATTATATCCTGTAAATAAATTTGAATTTCTTATCATTGCCAAATCATCAAGTTACCTTTAAAACGAGTTGCATCAAGTCGTCTTCACAATACATTCCAATAGTTGAGAAATCCAATTTTCTACTACCTTTTGCTGACAAAAACGCCTTCCATCGCAAATCAACATTCGAAAATTCGCAAAACTCACACATTCAACTTCAGCAATGGCCAAGCACACGTATTGTATCCATTAAAAAATTACCTGAAACAAAAAACACATTTTTGCATATATTTTCACACGAAAAAAACAAGGGAAATTATCAGAGCAACTAACTGAATCCGCTAGACTAGATTACTTTTTTCGAACTGTAAAAAGAAACGAAAAAAGATGACAAATAAAAATACGTTTACTTACGAACAAAAGCGTCCAAACGCAGCGAAAAAAATAAAAATACGTGCGCGTCATTTCAAATGCAATGCCAACCGTACACATTGTGTGTTTGCACAGAATTCAAGCAAACTACAGTACCCTATCGATTTTTTTATTTTCACGTTTTTTCGCGAATTTCGAAATTCGTGGTTTTTGGGCAAAGGTTGGTTGTTTCTTAGCAAAATTATTTTGAAACAATGAAATAATTCAGATTTGATCATGAAGCCGATTTTGAAAAATGAACAGGACGATGACGATTGTCAAATCATCGGAGAAGTGAATGTGTCGCAAATATCGAAAAGGAAAATTGATGGAACATCGAATTCGAACCCGGAAAAGGTTAAGCGAATGAGAGGAAATGAGGCTAAGGATGGCGAAGGTTCGAGTAGCAGCCAGGTGACACATTATATCGAAGGACTGGAGAAGGAAGTCTCCGCCGAACTCAAAACTGCTGAATTACCATCGTGGTTCAAACTCGGAATGTGGTGAGTTTTTTGATGACGGAAATGTTTGAAAAATATCGATTTTTCATTTCAGGAGATTAATTGAGGACAATCAAAGAATTCGCCAGAAGATTCGCGAAGTTTTGGCGAAGAAGAACAAGAAGTCTGGCTAAAAATACATGTTTTGTTGATTTTTAATATTTTATGAATAAACTCTAGTTTTTATTAATTGTTGTCTTTTTTTCTTGAAATTTTTCGATATTATTTCGAATTCTAATATCTCTTGGAAAATCGACTGCGGAAATCTGAAAGGTGAGACTTTTGGGTGGGAGTTTTGAGAAAAATATGGGAATTTCCAATGACTTTATTTTGTCTGATTCAAAAATTGAAAATGTGAAATCGATTTCCACGTGAATTCCACGTATTATTTTGGAAATTAACCTGGCATCTCAATTTTTTTCATTTCGAAAATATCAAAAGCATAAATAGAGTCAAAAATTTTTTTTTTCTTCAAAAAGCCCAATTAGTTTTCAGATTTCCCTTTCTTCTTCTTCGAAAAATCAAATTAAAAAGGATTTTTTTCCAGTGGAATTTTGAAATTGTGAGTTTTTTCAAAATAAAATTCAAAATTTGTTTGATTTTTTAAATAATTAATTTCGGAAAAAAAATATAATTTCAAGCTAGAAATGTCAGGTTCTATGAGTTTTTCATGTAGTTCAGATGCAAAGCTTAAATATTTTTAAATTATCTTTTCAGCTTCTTCTCAATGTTTGCCACGTGTAGCTGGAGTGTCGACAACAATTGATTGAAGAAATGTGGTGGGTGTTTAAAAAAATTAAATTTTTTGAAAAATCTCAAATAAACATTTGAAAATATCTTCAAACTTGCTGAAATTGTGAATAAATGATAAAACTTTATTGATGAAAATTATAAAAATGATAAAACATAAGAATTTGGTATAACAAAAGATTGAAAAATCATTGACAAATTTCACATGCATCTCAAACAATCCCCGTTTTTCACCTGAAAATATTCAAATTTTCTCTCTCGAATTTTTTTCGAAAATTCAAAAACATACTTTCAATTCTCCAAGTGTTTGATGATCTTCAACTGTTGTTCTTCCAATAATAAAAGTTTTCGAATCAACCCAAGATTTTCTTCCAAAATAATCCTTCATCCATAACTTGAGCTCCCCAAAAGTGGTTTCTGGTGGTTTTTCGAGTTCTCCTTTTCGTCCTTCCCAATTTTTGATTGAGAAATGGATCTGTAAAAGGATCGATTTTGAATTTGGAAGCAAAGTTATAGGCCAAATTTTCTTCGGCATTGCTCATGGTAGATTTTCAAAAAAAATTTTGACTTAAAAATTTTCAAAACTCACCATTTTCGCGTTTTCATAAGCCAACTCCAATTCTTCTCGAACATTTTGAATGGCCTTGAGCCAACTTGGGAACTGCTCAAGATAATTCAGCAGATTCGGGCATTCATGGAAGTCTTTGATTGCCGCAACTTTATCAGATGTTCTAGTTTTTCGCCTCCGATGCGAATAAATACAATTGAAATTCTTCCATTCGCATCGATTTTCGCGTGGCGCGATGGATTCCAGCCGATACTTGCGGTGAAGTCACTCGAATCTTTTTAAGATTCCACACCAGTTCAATTTCACATCGATCACAAGCACAACCAAATGGGCTAAAAAATAATGGCAAATTTATTTTCAAAAAATGCTGAAAATCTGAATTTTTGGAGAAAAAATTGATTGAACCCACCGAATCTTTTCGCTTTCCACATGCTCTTCTTCTTGTCCAAAATCCATTTTTCAAATCGTAAGCCAAATCTGTGATTATTAAATTTAAAATTTCTGAATTTTTGTGGAAATTTCAAGAAATTTCCTATTGATTTTTAAGACCAAAAACTTCCATTTTTGATTTTTCCATGTCGAAATTACAGTAATATTTAGAATTTTGTTTTAAAAAAAGTGATTATTATTTTTTGAGCCAGAAAACTTTTCAGAAAAAGTTATTTCTGAGCCAACTTTGCACATTGAAATTTTTCAAAAATAAAAAGTTATCGATCAAAACGACTGATTAATACAATTAAAAAAATCTATCTATTTCCAACAAAAATTTCATTAACAAATTCAAAAAAAATCCACAAAAAATTATTGAACCTTCAAAATCGATCCATGGACAATCTGAAAATAAAAATTGTTTCTTGAAATACTAAAAATTTTTCTTAAAGGTACTCACTGAATAAAAATCCAAGCTTTTCAAATACTCCAATCTTTGGGTTCCAAAATAAATTGCTTTATTTGCATTATATCCATCGCCAAAAACTTCGAGCATTTTTGAACGAAGAGTTCCGATGAAAGCATTGTAATATAATTCAATAGATTGTCTTTGCCCATTCCAATTTTGAACCAAAACAAGAATCTGAAAGAAAAAATCTGTTCAACAAAAAAATTCCAAGAAAAAAATAGTCACCTTTTGTGGTTCTTTGACTTCCTCTTTTACAATTTCTACAGCTTTTTGCCAATCTTGATATTGATTCAGAAATCCAAGAATAATTGGGCACATATGAAATGCTTTGATCGCATTTACTTTATCTTGAGTTCTTGTCGATGCTTCGTTTGCCCAAAGTGCCAAATGGATTTTGGAAAATCTCAAATCTTTGCGAATCGCACGATAAAATCCAGCAGCAACTTGTGGTGAAGATGTGGTGATGATTTCACCTCCCCAATTCAATTTTACACTACATTTTCTACAGCCGCAACAATAAGCTCTGAAAATATAGATGAATTTGAAAAATTAGAATTTTAGAAAAATTACCTGAGAACTCCAGATTCTTCAACATTTTCCATTTTTCTCTAGATCGATATCCCTGTAAGAATTAATTGAAATATTTTTCGAGCGAATTTTTTTGGAAAAAAAATCAAAATGAATTTCAAACTGATAAATTTTGAAAAATTAATTAATGGTCCGAGACTTATCAAATCAATTTTTTGTCAAATAATTTTCAAATTTAATTCCAGTGCCACGTGGATTTTTTCACCGACGCAAAATTGAAAAGTGATATATTATTTTATAGATATTCTAAGATTGGAATTGGACAATTTTTCATACAAAAAAAATTACTTCAAAAGCCAACAAAAATAAAATTCAAATGATTTATTCATATATTTATGCAAAATTTGAAAAATAAATACATTGCTCGAAAATCCGCAAAATAATTCTAATTGCCACGTCATAGGTCACGTTTTTAAGAAAAATTGGGAAAAATTGAAATCCAAAAGAATTTTTTGAAACTGTACATTTTAAATCCCGCCCAAAAAATCTCACCATTTTCATTTTCAGACTCATTTTTCAAGAAGATATTTTCAAAAATTCGAATTTCAATCGAGTAATTATTCAAAAAAAAAAAAGAAAAAAAAACATTTTTCATTTGACAAATAACAAAGCATAACAAAAGTGTAACAAGGTAACAATGACAATAAAAAACTTTTAAAATTTTGAAAAAAAACTGTTCAGTGCACACATCTCCCTCTTGATATCGATCGATTCGGAATTTGGCCGAAGATTTGAATTGTTTTCGACAGAATTATACTGAAAAACAAGGGATTTCATTGAAAATTGAGAATTATTAAAATAATAACTCACATTTTTCTCTGTCAACACCGGTTGCGCCAAGAGTTCTGGATTTTTCGTGGAGAATTCATTTTTCAACACAGACTTTTTCTCAAATTTCTCTTCTTCATCCTCCTCAAATCCAACATTTGATCCCCAAGGTCCTCCAAAATCCGAAGTCCAAATTCCCCGATAAGCTTGGAGTTCTTCTTGTGGTGTATAATCATTTTGATGTTGAATTTGTGGAAGATCTTGTGATGTAACCTGCAATTTTTTGATTGTTGGCCAGAAAATTCGAAAAAAAAACTCACAGCAACCGAAATTGTTTCAATGGGAATTGGTGGCATTGGGTGAGTTCGTTTGGGAGCTTGAATCTTCGACTGTGACTTCTGAAAAATCAGAGAAATTTTGTCAAACTGTCACATGAAAAAAAAAGAAACTAACTGTTTTGTTTGGTCCGTGAAAAACCAAAGAGCATCCTGTGAAAAGTTTGGAATGCGATTCGAATTTCATAATTGTGCTGAAAAAAAACCTCAGAAACATTTGTTTTTTGTGTGAAAAACTTACTTGATAATTCCAATGACAGATTCAACAAGAATATTGAAAAGAGCCAACATCAATAGACGAAAAGTGTTTCTATCGATATTTTCGCCAAATTTTCTCCATTTTTCTGGTATTCCCTCCAGCAATTTGTGAAAGAATGTGTGTAAATTGAAACTGTGTGTTGTTCTCGAGATTCCAATTACTGGCAAAAATTGTTTCGTGGGACACGTGAAGAATTCTTCAAAGATAGCCGCATCGAATCCTAAACATTCTCCAAGTTTCAACATGTGACCGACAGCTGCTAGTACACTTTTGAAATCTTCTAAGTCTCCTCGGAAATTCCAGAATATGGATTTGAATTCGTAGACAAACTGCGCCAAACGTTCATATCCTTTTTCAGATTTTCGAAGATCTTCCAACAAATCCTCTCCAACAATTTCCTGAATTAAAGCTTCAGTTGGCAAACCGATCTGTAATTAAAATGTTTGAATTTTGAGTTTTGATAAGAATTTAACTCACTATATCCCAAATCGTTCCTCTTTGATTTATAAATACTCTTTTATTTGTCTTGAAGATTTTATATTTCGTCATATTTTTCATTGTTTTCTCGTTCGATGTCCCAATTTCTTCATGGATCTTTTTCTTCTCTTTTATTCCAACAACCGTCTTATTTTTCTTCTTTTCGATCTTCTTTTTCTGCTCTTCTATTCCTACAACCTTCTGATTTGTCTTCTTTTCGATCTTCTTCTTCTTCCTCTTATTCTTCTTCTCTACAGTTCCTACAACCTTCTCATTTGTCTTTTTCGCAATCGTCTTCTCGCTCTTATTCTTCTGCTCTACAATTCCAACAACTTTCTTATTTTTCTTTTTTTTTATCTTTGTCTTCTCAATTCCAACAATCTTCTCGTTTTTCCTTTTCTCATTATTTGCCTTCGATTTCGATTTTCCCTGCCCAATAATTTTTGGCACATTCATCTCCACATTTTGACCATGGTTCTATAAAAACTTCGAAAATAACTTTGAAAAATTGATGAAAAACCAACCTTCTTCTGCTTCCTATTTGACCGCCGATTTCTCGTTTTCTTCAATTGAACGGGTTTCGTTGTTGGCGCCATTGACTGCAAAATTCAACTTTTTTTTTCAAAAAAAATAATTGTCCGGGAGAAATACACAGGCTCCGCGGCCGCGGACCTGCAAAAGTTAGTCCCTCGAAATTTGTTTTCTTTTTTTCGTTTTCTGCCGGTTTTTGGAATCCCATCCAAAAATCTCACCTTTTCATTTCCAGACATTTTTTTCGAGAAGATATTTTTAAAAATTCGAATTTCAATCGATTAATTATTCAAAAAAAAAGAAGAAAAAAAATTTCATTTGACAAACTAACAAAGTTTAACAACAACAGATAAAACAACAACAAAAAGTTTGAAAAGAAAAACAATCAAAAATTACTCCTCAAATTTTCGACAACTCGATTTCAGGTCCGCGTTTGTTTCAAAAATTTGAATGAATGTTTTCTTCCAATCTTCATCAATTGATTCGCACTTTTTCACATCTTTCAAAAAACTGCGAAACTTTGAAAGTTTCTGAAAAACTCGTCGATTTCTTTGAATTTTTGCATTTAAAACAACTCACTCTTTTCGCGTTTTCTTCACATCTCGATTTGAATTTGTCTGAAAATTATAGAATTTCAATTTGAAACTTTCAAGTTTTAGAAAATCTCTAACCTCTTCTCCGGGCAAATCTTGAACCGCCAGATTTTCTGCCTTAGTTTCCAAATCGCTTTCCTGAATTTGTTGATTTGCTGAATTTGATGAAATTGGGGATTCAGTCTGAAATATTTTTGGATCTTGATTTTTGACAAAAATACAAAAATTCTGCAAATACTTACATTTTCAGATGATTTTTGAAGGGAACATCCAGAAATTCCTTGAGTTTTAGTGGATTTGTTCTTCAGATTTGTGGCCGATGTTTTAGATGAAGATCCAAAAATTTGATTGTTCAATTTCTCAATATCTGGTTTCGTTTCAACTTCCATTTGAACAGTAGATTGATGCCAAGGATTTGCACCCCAAGCATGATTTTCCTGAACTTCTTGATTCAATGATGGAATTGGAAGAATTTGCGATGGAGTCTTTTCGGAGAACTTTTTCGACTTCTTCACGATTTTCAGTGCACTCTATAATAATTTTATGTTTATTTTCATAAAAATCACTGAAAAACATACATTTTCTGATGATTCTTCGTAGGAAACTTGAGACTCAACACTATTTGTAGACAGCTTTTTCGATTTCTTTTTCAGCGTTGTTGTCGAATTATTCGAAAAAGATTCCGGCTCAACATCGTTTTGTCTCCAAGAATTTGAACCTAAATCATCGGAATAACTTCGATTTTGTGATGAAGAAGATATCGGATGTAGAATTCCCACAACCTATAACAATTATATATTTTTATTACCAAAAAATATTACCGAAAAACATACATTTGCTGATGATTCTTCGAAGAAAGCTGGAGTTTCGACACAATCTCGTTGTGGATTCTTAATTTTCAGCTGTGTTTTTCTAGACGAAGATCCACTGAAAATTCCATTTTCGTCGATCTCAAATATCACTTTCTTTCTGAAATAAATAATAACTTTGATTAAGTTTTTGGGAAATGTAGAAAAATTACCTGACACTACCAACAACAGATTGAATAAGAATACACAAAAAACTCGACATCAAACATTTGAACTCTTTTTCATCAAGTTGATTTTGAAAAACTCGCCATTCTTCCGGGCAATCAACGAACATTTGTGTAATTAGATAGTGAATATTCAGGCGATGTCTTGTCATTGATTCTCCAACAATTGGATAGAAAAATCGCGAATTGAAGTGTTCACAGAAAATCAATGAGTTGAATCCCAAACTATGGCCGTTTTTCATAATTGTTTTCATCGTCTTTTTGACACATTTGCGTTTTTTTAGAAGTTTGTCGACATTTGCATAACAAGTTTTGAAATCATCAATAAATATCAAGAAATTCGCATATCCAATCTTTGAGTTTTGCAAGTCTTTCAAAATGTCAGCTGCACAAAACTTCTGGGCAAATTCCTCCCTCGGCAAATCCATCTGAAATTAACAAGTTTGATAAATTTGCAGATGAAATTGAAACTCACATTATCCCAAATGTTGGATGATTCTTCTACAAATACTTCTTTGGTCATCTTCCAAATGTCATATTTTTTCAATTGTTTCTTCTTTTCAAGTTCAATAGCAAGTTTATCCACTTCCGGCAATTTTTGAGGCTTTTTTGAAATATTCTTTGCATTCTTCTTTGGGCACTGTGTTTTTTTCTACTCAGAGAAAGCCGGCGACTAATCGGCGACCAACAAGTTCGTCGCAAGTTCGTCGGCGAAAATAGTGTGTGTTTCCCGGAGACGCAGACGAAAAAGTTTCAGGCGACTAATCGGCGACTAATCGGCGACTAACTTATGATTGGTCGCCGATTAGTCGCCTGAAACTTTTTCGTCTGCGTCTCCGGGAAACACACACTATTTTCGCCGACGAACTTGCGACGAACTTACGATTGGCAGACGATTAGTCGCCTGATCTCGATTCGTCGTAAGTTCGTCGCCGATTAGTCGCCGGCTTTCTCTGAGTAATAGAAAAATGCAATCCCGAGGAGACGCAGACAGAGAGAGAAAGAGGCTGGTCTCGACACGATGTGTGTCTGCCACACACTATTTCTCTCCCTTTTTCGGCGAGAGATTTGTCTGCCCACGTTAAAGTCTGCGTCTCCCTCGAATTGCAAAAAATACAGTGTGGGATCGAAGATTTCTGGATTTTCTTGATTTCAACCACATTTTGACCACGTTTCTATAAAAATTCAAAAATAACTTCGCAAAATTGATCAAAACTAACCTTTTTTTGAGTCATTGAACTTGCCGGCGGCATGTTTGCAAGTTTGCAAAGTTTTGCCAAAAAAAAGGAAAAATGTACGAGAGAAATACACGGCCGCGGACCTGCAAAAGTTAGTCCCTCGAAATTTGTTTTCTTTTTTTGTTTTCTGCCGGTTTGAGCGGATTTCGCAGTTTTACTATTAAAACCAGATTGGAAACGTCCTGTTTTATCGAAAAATATAAGTTTTCCTACTGAATTTGTAGTTCTCCGTCAATAATCGTGTGTTTTCCAGATTTTCGACGCCTAAGCTGCAAGGAGGTAAGTCTCCCTATTTTTCACTCATTTTTACTTTGCTCTGTTTACTTGAATATGAATAAAGCATAGTTTTTCCATGATTGTATTTCTAATTAATTTTTTCGCATGAAGAGTTGAATTCTCTTTGATCATTATCTAATTAATATAAATTTCATCGATTTATCATCTGGAATCCAGATTCTGGAATATGCTTGAGAGGTTAGTTTTTAGTTTCCTATTTTCATCAAATCATTTGTTGTTTCCAGGTTTCACAAGATTCTGGCGAAACGCAAAAGCTAAAAAATCAGATGGAGAAACTCGGATCTGGAAAACTCGAAGACTGAAATGGAAGCAGTGTCGAGAATATTTGAAGAATGTTAATGTGAGGCTGCGAAAATGAAATATCATCGAACAACACTGGAACTTGAGAAAGACTGAAGAATTTAGAAAGCGGTGGATTTCGCTGGAATGATTTCAATAAGGAGAATACGTGAACGTGACCTGGTTTCTTCAGGAGTATTTTCTCAAGAATCCAACGCCACTTCCAGATTTGTTGCAAGATGGAACTGCCAGCCATTTGAGAAGCTCCGGCGAAATTTGAAGAGAGCTGCAGCCAAGCAATCTCAAAAGAAGACGGATACAATTGTGATAATCTCTGGAAATGTGCAGATGTGCTGATGTTTTTGCCGAAACAACTTCTGTTCAATGTGAGTCTCAACAGAAACAAAATAATTGCTTTTTCAATAGAATATTTTTTTCAGATTCTGCGTTCAATTCCAGGAGAGGCTTATTTGGATTGACAAGGATGAGGATCTACTAAGGTTCAACACATCGAGTTTCTTCGGCCTCTGCTCTTCCTTATGGTTCTGAAATGGATTCTCGTAAAGATATTGGCATTGCGCCAAGTGATCAGCGAATTATTCAGATTCAAGGAATCACTGATGATTTGGCTTTTTATGATGGACGAACTCGATTTTATATTTGAGAAGCATGTATTTTTGTTGACCAGGATTGTTACAACCTTCAAAATCGAGCATTTGGACAAAGATGACAATATGATGGAATGAAGTTGATATTATCAAGATCAGAATGGTGTGAATATCAGATTTGATTATGAAAGTATTCGAAATGCTAGACAAGGTACTTTCTAAGGGTTTGTAGTTGAATGAAATTGTGACCGAAAATCGCTAGAAAATTTCAATTTTCTTGGCGGTTTTTGCACTTTATTTTGTTTATTCAACGGAATTCTTGATCTATAAAAAATCTACTGTTTCAAAATGAACATACAATAATTTCGGGGTTTTTGAATTTGATGGAAATCCAAATCTACAAAAATGAAAAACTTTTGAATTTTTCAGAAAAAATTAAAGAAAATTAAAAATTAGGAAAAAATGATTTTTTTTTCAGAACGTCGTAGTAGAGTTGGAAAAAGTGCCAAGTTCGAAAATTATGGATTTCTGGAGATGAAGATGTAAAATTTTGGAGAGCAAGAAATTTCAAGGTCAGTTTTTTTTGGATTAATAAAAAATATACTGTGAAACCCTGCCACCAAAAACCTTCGTTATTTTAGACTATCAAAAACTTTCATTTTTCAGCCAACCTGATTCCTTGGAAAAATTCGATTGATATCAATCTTCTGATGGATTTTGGTATGAAATGTCAGAAAATCGAGAAGGAAAATAAGTTGAATAAGTTTTGGATTTTTGTCGATTACTTGAAATGATCTTGAAGGGCTAAAATATGTTTATACACCTGATGATGATGAGAAATCGAATATTGAGACACCTGGAGAATTCACACCAGTTTCTGGACAAGATTATCCAAAAATTGATTTGAATTCTATCAATCATGGAGATTGTTTTGCGAAAATTCGAAGAAGCACTGCGAAATGAATTCGATCTTCAGGAAAATTCATCGAGCAAAATAATTGGATTCATTTGCTTTATTTATCTCTGGAGTAATTTTATGCAAGATTTTCAAGCACAAATATCAATGAAATAAGTTGTGATGTATGATAAATATCGAGAAGAACGATCTAGGAGTGACTGAAAATTAATGGCGATTGTAAAATCATCGAAGATACTTGGATCAAGAAAACTCGAAGACTGAAATGGAAGCGGTGTCGAGAATATTTGAAGAATGCTGATGGGAAAAATCGAAGACTGCGAAAATCGAATGACGCCAGATCATAAATGAGATTGGGAAAGCAGTGGATCCATCTGGAAGAATTTCAATAAGGAGAATACGTGAACGTGACCTGGTTTCTTCATGAGTATTTTTTCAAGAATCCAACGACACTTCCAGATTTGTTGCAAGATGGAACTGCCAGCAATCAATTTTGAGAAGCTCTGGCGAAATTTGAAGAGAGCTGCAGCCAAGAAATCTCAAAAGAAGACGGGAAATTGTGTTGAACCTTGGAAATGTGCAGATTTATCTGCTTTTTATGATGGCTCTCGATATTTTTTTTGCTGATGTTTTCGCCGAAACAACTTGAGTTCAATGTGAGTCTCAACAGAAACAAAATAATTGATGTTTCAATAAATGTTTTTTTCAGATTCTGCTGGAAGTAAATGAAACATCAGATCTTCATTCAATTCCAGGACTGCATCGACAAGATTCAAAACATGTTCTTACAAGGAATGGTTTTCAATGTTCCCCCAAGGAAAAAATCGAGAGTATGTGGAATGTTGAGGGTTCCCGTGGGTAAGAAAAACCCTAACGGGAATAAGGAGAAAAAATGCCTTATTCTCGAGAAAAAATGTATTTTAGGTCGATTTTTACACCATTTTTTGATTTTTAGAGCATCTGTAACTCGATTTTGAATCTATTTCATGAACTTTTGAGTCGTGGAAGTTGTTCAGAATGGTCGATTACGTGTTTGTGAAACTTTTTATCAAAAAATTAGACATTTTTTGAAATTTGGTTTTTTCAGTCGGGGTTTTTCTGATCAAATGGTCACCAAAAAACACAAAAAATAATTTTTTCCATTTTCAAATGAACGGAACTTGAAAAATTTATGACGGTCAACAGACGTAATTTGGTCCGTAGAATCCAAAAATCATAGTCTCGATTCACACAAACTTCTCCTTCACAACGAAAACGTTGATTTTCTATGAATTTTTCAAACTAGAAATTTGATTTAGTGGACTTTTGGGACCAAAATTATTTTATTCCTAATTTTAGTCGAAGTAATACTAAAGTACGCCGTTTGCGCTACAAATGGATTTTTAGACTGACATTTTTCATCAATTTTGAAAAAAGTTTCGATTTTTCTAAAAAATTTCATCGCAAAAATCAATAACACCAAAATTTTCTAAAGCAAGGCATTTTTCTCCTTATTCCCGTTAGGGTTTTTCTTACCCATGGGAACCCTCAACATTCCACATACTCTCGATTTTTTCCTTGGGGGAACATTGAAAACCTTTCCTTGTTAGTGTCTTTGGCTCCACGTGGAAATATTGGCATTGCGCCAAATGATCATCAATATGTTCAAGTTCGAGGAATTAGTGATGATTTGGCTTTTTATGATGGATGAACTCGATTTTATATTTGAGGAGCATGTATTTGTGTTGAAGAGGATTGTTACAACCTTTAAAATCGAGCATTTGGACCAAGTTGATATTATGAAGATCAGAATGATGTGGATATAAATATTGATGATAAAAGTATTCGAAATTCTAGATAAGGTACTTTTTGAAAGGTTTTTAGTTGAATGAAAATTGAAAAATTTTGAACGAAAATTGCTAGAAATTTTCAATTTTCTTGGCAGCTTTTGCACATTATTTTGTTTATTCAAAGGAATTCTTGATCAAAAAAATGAAATTAAATATTCTACTGTTTCAAAATGAAAATACAATTATTTCGGGGTTTTTGAGTTTGATGGGAATTCGAAACTACAACGATCAAATTGTCTTCGATATAAAAATTATCTAGAAAGTTTAGCGGAATTTAAATTCATCCCTAAAATTACAGTGATGAAGTTTTGAACCGGAAAAATCAGAAAATTTCTAAAGAGCAGAATTCTTGGATTTGCAAGTTTAAAGAATCCAGAGCTTTTTGGAAAACAATTCAAAACTGTAAAAAAAAGAAAATCTTGAGCTTCCTTTGAGCCTTGAAAATTTTCAAGTTTTCAGATTCTCCGCTTCTTCGAAAAATTGCTCAAGGATTATCGATTGAGTGGAATTTGATTATTGTAAGTTTTTTTTGGTAAAAAAAAAACAAAAATCAAAAATTCCTGGTCTATTTAGAAAAGCTTAGAAAAAAGGAAAATATTTAATTGTAAGGAAAAAAACAGTAACGAACGAGTAAGGAAAAGGAAAATAATTCACCAAAAATTAAATCTCATTCCAAAGAATCATTTTTCCACAAAATTTCCATGATAAAAGTGGCTTGATCATCCAACAATATAGTGACATCAAATTGACCATTGCGATTCAAGGATTTCATTGAAAATTTGCAATTTGAATAGATATCTTCAGGTTGATATTCTTTTCCTTCATCGCTTTCAACATAAAGGTCATAAACTGGTTTCAATCCAAAAATCTCCAAATCTTTCAAATGCTCCATAACTTTGAAGTCCTTTACATATTCATGTATCGAGTTTGTTTTCAATTGGAAATATCGAATATTTGAAAGAATTTCGCGTTTTTTGAGTAGCAAAAGCATCGGATTCAATTCATCTTCCTCGAATTCACACTGAATTATCAATTTTGTACCTCGAAAATCTTTGAGATCAGCGAAATTTGTGTATTCCTCATCACATATGTCGAGTTTATCGAGGTTTATCAATTTGTCATAACTAATACATGAATCAATAATATCACCGTCCCATTCATAATAGCCACATTGCAATTCTTTTAAGTTTTTCATTTGATTCAAATCCACATCAGTTGTCGAAATATCCTCAGTCTGAAAAAAAGAGAAATTTTGGTGATCATTTAAGCCGAAAAAATATCAAATTTTCACGTTATTTTGAATTTTTGTCACGATTTTCAGTTGAAAACTCACTCGAAAACTGAAAGCTGGACACACATTTCCCCATTGTTCCAAATAATATTCCAAATATCTCAATGTCACTGTTCTTGTATCACCTTCCTCAATTTTCTCCCATTTTACTTCACCATTTCCATATAGATAAATTGGCCAATTTCGATATTTCACAAGTGTTTTGTTGCCTTCAAATTGTTCGAATTCGATCCAATAATCACAAGTTTGTTGGCGCCAATCATCAGTGTTGTCATAAGTGTTGTGTGAGATTTTGAGTTTATTGCGACAACCATTTTCCAAATTGAGTTCAGGTTGGAGTCCCGGGATTCTTTGGGAGGAATCAGCATGAACTAACCTTTTCCACTCATCAATTGATATTTGTGAATCGTAACGATGTTCATTCGGCTGAAAACATTAGAACATTTTGAATATAGATCCCCAGCTTCACTTTTTGGACATTTTCTAGCAATTAGGTACAAAAAACTCACCGGATTAGTCGCATAATCGTGTGGAATATCCGATATTTCGATTTTCGAAATCACATCTTTCAACGATGTGACAAATGTTCGAGAATTTTTCGAGCATTGCGAAAATCTCAACTTTGTCTTCAGATCCCTTTTCTTTATTATAATCAGTCGAAGTTCTGGCGCCAAAGATTTCCATTTGAAAAATTCGACATTTCCGTCCAATTTTCGTTTTCTTTGTTGATATTTATTTTTCATTTTACAAAAAAAAATGAAAATTTTCTTGAAAAAATGGCGTGTCATTTGTTCACGTGAATTTTTATTTATTTTTTCATTGTATTTTTTCCCGGGAATTTAGCACAGTTAAGAGCCTTAAGATTATCAAGTCAAAGTTCTGAATTTCAGATTTTTAAAGCTTAAAATTAGTCAAATTTAAGCTAATTTTGAGTCTAAAAATCTAGGCTTATAAAAAGATTCTAGATCACACCTCGGCCAAGTCGTGGCTGGCCAGAGTACAATTTTTTGAAAAATCTAAATTTCAGTTTTTAGAGGTCAAAAATTGAAAAATCACAATTTTTAGAGGACAAAAACTGAAAAATTCACAATTTTGTACTCTAAAAAGTTAGCGTACAATTTTTTATTGTGGAAACCACGATTTTGGCCGAGGTGTGTTCTAGATTTTCGGCCCAAAACAATTAGGCTTTTCCAGGACCATTTCAAGCCCGAAAATCCAGCGAAAAGGGGTTTTGAAAATATGTACAGGGTGGTCCAAAATTACCCGCACAAACGCAATTCCAGTTCCAGCATTTCATATTCAATATAAAATGCACCAAACCTGGATCCGTAATATCAATTAGTCAGTTTTACTGATTTCTAACTAGTTGCCAAAGTCTCATGAAGAATTTTCATTTTTGAGCCGAGTTAGAGGGGTTATCCGGAATAGCATAAACCGAAAAAAACAAGATTTTTTACACGCTCTATTTTTTTCGAGTGATTTTCATACTTCGCGTGATAAATTTGAAACAATTTCTGAACTTTAGAATCATAGCAGAATTTTTTGATGTTTTTTGGGTATTAAAAAACAAATTCAGCGAGATTAGACCGTCTGAAAAAATTATTGAGATCATTTCTGGTCTTGTTATGAAAATTGACCGTTTTTTGATAGAAAGTTTATAAAACGAGGTCAAAATCGAAAATATTGTTAGGTGTGGGAAATGTGAGATTAGTATAGCCAAACCAAGCCTACTAGTGACAATTGACAACGAAAATACCATGGATTCATCTTACACCACGATGGTTAACATGATAAATGATAAAAATTGAGTTTTTGAGTTGAAAAATCCGTTTTGAGGGGTTCACTCTACTGCTCCTTATTCTTGTTCCAAAAATTTTGTGTATCATTTCGGTCAAGGATCAAGCATGCCTAGGATTTATCTTTAAATTCTGAACCGGAAACATATAATTTGAAACTCCCTATGGGTATAGAAAGCTCGATCAACTCAGAAAAAGCAGCGTGCCTGATGCGAAGTTCTGAAGTTCATTCCCGATATTCCAGTCACCCTGAGACCAAATTATATCACAAGATTCTATGTTAAAATGATGAACACAATATCTGGGAATAATTTTTGAGACCAGAAATCATATTTATGTTCACTCTCTGGAAAATATTTAACATTACATTTGTGCGGGTAATTTTGGACCACCCTGTATACTGATAAAAATTGGATAAAAAAGTTACAGTAATTTTCTGCAGAAGAAAGCTCTAAAATTAAAGTTCAAAACTTGATAATTTTTTACTGAAAATAAAAATCTAAAATCTATAAAAAAATCTACTGTTTCAAAATAAACATGAAATAATTTCGGGATTTTTTGAATTTGATGGATAATTGAATCTATTCAAATTAAAAACTTTTGAAATTTTCAGAAGAAATTTTTTTTGAAAAAATTAAAAATATTAAGAGAACATTTACATTTTCAAAAAATCTTGTAGATTTTATTCTGCCCCCAAAAACCTTCGTCATTTTAGACTTTTAAGAACCTTCATTTTTTCAGCCCTTCTGATGCCTTGGACAAATTCGATCAATCTTCTGATGGATTTTGGTATTAAATGTCAGAAAATCGAGAAGGATAATGAGTTGAATTAAATGTGGATTTTTATCGAATACTTGAAATGATCTTGAAGATCTGAAATATGTTTATACACCTGATTATGATGATGAAAGATCGAATATTAAACCATCCAAATTCTGTGCCGAAAAATGAGTTGAATTGTATAAATCATGGAGAACATTTGAAGAAGCACTGCGAAATGTATTCGATGTTCAGAAAAATTTATCGAGCAAAATAATTGGATTCATTTGCTCTATGGAAATGTTGGAGGACCTACAACAACAGAACTGTTTTGTATCAAGGATTCCTAAGAATCTTCAAAAATCTGTGTAACTCGAATTGAATTTCTCCAGCTGCAAAATTCGAGGATGTAAATGCTAGTGCTGCAATTGAGACGAAATCCAAAAAAAAAGCATCCAGGCTGAGGATTCCTAGGTTAGTACTAGGGTTTTTGTGATTTCCGAAGAATTTATGAGTAGAAAAATTGAAGTTTTCATGAAATTTCACCCCAAGAAACTTCAGAACTTCAAGAAAACTCTAGATTTGCTCTTTGGAAGTTTCAATCAGAAATTTTGAGTTGAAATCGAATTTTTTTTCACGGAAAAAATACTTTCAAAGTTTCAAAAATATACAGTAATCTTGTACGGATATAGGTTCTTTTAAAAAAATCCCATTACTTGTTTACAGGTTTACACTGGAACCTAGCGTTGGTCAAATGTGTGTGGATTTTGAGTTTTGGAGGTGTTCGAGATGGTTGTGATCTACGTGTCACTTGTGAGTTTTTTTTGGGTCAGAGGTTTGAAAAATTGACTAAAAATCTTCAAATTCCAATTTTATTCAAAATACAAACTGAAATATTCAAAGAAAATTCCAAAAGGTTGAACAAAACTGAATAAGTTCGCCGTATTTATTGTTCAAAGGCACAGCAAATATTTGTTTTCAAGTCTTGCGAAGAAAAATTCAAATTTTCTAGTTTTTAGCTTGTTAGAATCCTAAAATAACCAAAGACATCTTTTCAGAACGTGTTGGTAGATAGTCTAGTGGTAGAGCATTAGATTACCGATCACATGGTCAAAAGTTCGAACCCCGGTTCTTCCGTCCAACTAGAAAAGTCTTTACTTATCTAGTTCACTTCTCCGGGAAAATTGAAAATAAGAAATATAATGGTCCGATGCATGTTTGATGTATTGTGGACCTGGATCCCCAGACTTTCTACATTTTGAAAATATTTTAATTTTGGGATTTCTGATTCTGAATCTTATGAAAATAATAGATTTTCTGTTTTCAGAGCAAATTGGTCGAGTCGGATTTTGGAAAAGCGAGAGAGATTTTGAGGTAAAAATTTTTTTTGATAAAACTTGGCAAACCAACCGCTTACCTCGCTGACTCTCTAGCTCAGTGGTAGAGTTGCAGCTTTCGAATCAGAAGGTCAAGAGTTCGAGTCCCGGCGAGAGAAAAACGCTTTGTTGAGTTTATGCTCATAGAAGTTAAAATCTCCGGAAAATTAATATTATAAGAGATGTTATTACCACCCTTCCATGATTGATGGAACTGGCTACAGTCACATCTTACATTTTGAAAAATGGTTCTTTTTTCCAGGTTCCCGTGCCGCCATTCAATGTTCTTCTCTTCAATATAAAAAGGTAAGATATTTTTCTGATTCTTTTTCTTGTTATAAAAAATAAAGTTTGATGTTTTCTTATTAAAAAAATATTTATTCAGTCCATTCTGGACATGTATTCATCAAGCAAAAATTGCAAAAGATGTTCTCTTGAAAATGCCAAAAATAGGATTTCTTTATCTTTGATTTCAGCGAGTTGTTCCTCTTCCGCAATTCGAATTTCGTCGTTTTCTATGAAGACGCATTCTGAGAAAATGAAAATTAGGGGATGAGGAATTTCTGAGTTGAAAATTCGAATTTTTAATGAAAAATTGAGGAAAAAGTCAACTATTTCTATTCAAAATTCAATAATTTGTTCACAAACTCACTTCTCAATACCATTTGTTCCCCGCCAAAATCAAAAATCATCGAACGATCCAATGAAATCAGCTCCTTTCCCGAATTATAAATTAAAAAATGCGAAGATTGTTTGATCTTCTGCAATGCTTCCACATTTTCAAAACATATCTTCTTTTTCCTCTTCTCCAAATCTTCCATAATCGAATCCTCGATCTTTTTCCCAGTTTTTAGCTCGGTGCTAAACATTAGGTGAAAAGTTTTGTGGTTAAAAATTGTCTTGCAATTTTTATCGCAGCAATTTTTGCAAGATAAATTGGTTATGATTTGGAAACGAAATCGCTCGGTTGTGAATTTTGGGAGAAGCTGGAAAATGTTTATTTTTGAAAAATTCAAATTGTTAAAAAATGCTCACCTCACAAAGTTTCTCGAAAAATTCAACAGGTTCAATTTCTTCGTCAATTTTCAGCTGGATTTTGAGTCGATTAATCGCCTGTTCTTCTTCTTTTCCATTTCCATCGATAATTTCATAAATATTTTCGAGATTTTCCACTTTTCTCGGCTCAGATAACAGAACATTCCCAAATATTGCGTCGAAAACGTGGCAGATGGTGACAATTTCTTCGGAATTCATTTTTTCGTGGAAAAAAAAATGAGATAAATCTACTTTTTTTGAAGAAATGATTTTTGACACGTGGAACGTGTGAAATTCACGTGGCAAGGTCACGTGAAGGTCATCTTTTTTTTGTAAGTTTTTTTATGTTTAAAATTTCGCGGTGTGTGGATTTTCTGGCCAAAAATTCTCCAATTTTTTCACGAAATAAAAAAAAACAAAAAAATTTATTCACAAAAATTCAACAACAATTTTAACAATTTGAAAAAAAAATAACAAAATTAAAACAATTCGTCCAACTTTCCCATTTTCTCGATTTCTTCTCGATTAATTTTCGAAAATTCTTTCGCCGTGTAAATCCATTCTTTCGGAATTTCAGTCGAATTTTTAACAAGATCTTCAAATTCTTCAAATTGGAATTCAAGGCTGTTCTGAAAAATTCAATATCATTTTTGGGGGAAAAATTTTGCGGAAAAACTGACTGGAACACTTTCTGTAGTCTCTTCAAGATCTTCTGATTGAACATTTTCAACTGGAACTTCAACATCTTCTTCAACTTTAATAACTTCATCCATAAAAACAATGCGATGAATTTCAGAAGTTTCTTCTGGTTGAAAATGTTCACGTGGAATTTCTTGATTCGCTGTTCCTGATCCATTTTCCATCATATTATCATCACCATCTTCTTCATCCATGAAAATCATTTGATTCGGATGCTGAACATCCAAAAATTCTCCATGTTCCGTTGGATTTTCCATCTTAATTTCCTCTTGATCATCATCATAATCATCAATAAAATAAATGTGATTGGGATGTTCTGGATCCACAATTTTCCGCTCATTTCTTCCGCTAGACACATAATTTTTGATGATTCCCAGATTTTCAGCGGTTTCAGCAGCTTGTTTGATTGGATGTTCATCGTGCGGTGGGATATCTCCTTCGATTTCTGTGTCAGGATGAAATTCATTCCATTGTCCAGTCGACTTGACATAAAATCCAATGAATATTCCAGTTCTCGTATCAATTTCATAATCAACAACACTTCTAAAAAATGAACAATTATTGGCGAATTTTGAATTTGGAAAAACTCACTTAACAGTCCCAATAACAGCAAGAAACATCAATTTCAAAATTGCAACAATCAATATTCTCCTCATATTTTCGCTAGTTCTCTTTCTACGAATCCACCAAAGATTCGGACAATTTTTTAACAGCTCTCTGATATTTTGTTGCGAAACAAGTTTATCGGTCATTTTTGAAGTTCCCAAAATTGGCAGAAAATCTTGGAAATTCGCGAAAAAATCGTAATCGAATCCCAACTTTTCTCCCATTTTCATCATATCGTTTACAGCTGTTTCAACATTATCATAATTTTTCAAAGTTTCTCCGAAATTTCTATAAATACCCTTGAAATCCTTGAAAAAGTCGGTGAAAATCTTGAAGGCGTTTTTTGATTTTCGAATATTACGTATCATTTTATATCCAATATATTTTGATGAAAGTGCTGCTGGTCCGAAATTCGACTGAAAATATTTAGGATCAAAAATCTTGGAGCCCAAAAATATTTAGTAACTCACAGCAACATCATCCCAGAAATTCTCAGCCGTATTCATAAACATCTCTTTTCTCATTTGCAAAATCACTGATTCGAATTTCCAACACATTTTTGATTTTTGCTGGAGAAAAATCTAGAGTTCAACGTGGATTTTTTGTGTAAGCCATGTGAACAAAAAATATATATTAAGGATTCAAAACCCTCAAGAATTAAAAAACAGAAAAATTATTCAATAACAAAAATTTTATTCATAAAAAATGCAACAAATTATACAGATCCAGCTTCTTCATTGAACCTAATTCAAAATTTTCCGATTTTCCACCACCTAAATTTGAAAAAAATCAATAAATTTTGATAAAAATCGAAAAAAAACTAACCATTTTTTCTCTTTCTCGAAGGCTTCTCTTGAATTATCTCCGAATAATCTCGATCCATGGCTGGTGGTGGAAGAATCTATAGGGAAAAAAAAATCCAATTTGAATTTTGCTTGCTAGAAAAACTCACATTTTCATTAACTTTTCCCAAAATTCTAGCAGTTCCAAAACAGTTTTTAAGGAAAAATGTGAAATAACTTGGAACTTTTCGTTCTCCTGAAGTTTCCTGATATTCAGCCTTTTTTTCTCCGATAATTTGACAATCAGCAAAGTCTTGGGATGAGATCTGAAAAAATATTCAAGTTTTTGAGAAAAAAATCGATAAAAACTAACCTCTTCAGCTTCTCCCGAATTTTCATCAATTATGGATTGGCGATCAAAATCATCAACAAGATCCTGCAAAAAAATGGGGACTTCTAGAAAAAATTCGATGAAAAACTAACCAAGATTTGATGTGGAATCAATGTATAATTAGTAAATTTGCCAGTTGAATAATCGATTCGATATTTGACGAGAGTTCTGGAAAAATCGATAATTGGATTGAACCGCTGTCCAAAAGGAACACTTTTGAATTGATTTTCAGCGATTTCATGGAATTTCTGACTGAACAAATTGAATTGCAGAATTCAAATCCTAACATAAGTTATGACGTGGCAAAGTTCGAAAACTCAGAAATTCAGGAGCTGAAACATACATAAAATAGGTCCCCCACGTAAATTTTTTAAGTTAAGCACCCCTCCCAAAATTTTTTCAAAAGTTAACCCCCCCCCCTTTCCTCTAACTTTTGAACTATATTCGAAAGATTTAAAAATTTTTTGACAAAAATCAGACAAATTCAAAACTCAAGAATCTACTGTTTCAGCACTACCCATTCTCAAATATTATATTCCTTCTCATATAATCTAATTTTTTCAGAGACGAAATCGAATCGGATTTTTTCCTTTCATTTTTTAAAAGAATTTTTTATGTAATGTATATTTCATTTGTAAAAATGTATCATTTTGTTAATGCTTTTTTAATAATTCGAATTTTGATTGGCATTGTCGGAGTTTCGCTCAAAAAAGGACAAATGTATGCAAGTGGCTTGTTCATTTATTCTTTAAAAAAATGAGAGAGGCTTTATCAATTATCACTCTGGAAATGGATATCAACTTATGTTGGAACTATAAAATGGAACAATTTTGTAGATAAACCACTTTGAGTTTTTCTTCTTAATCTGCCGAAAATTCCGTGACTTTCCACGTTTTACAAACTGCAGGCTTCAACTTTAAAAATCTGTGACTTTCTTCCAAAACTTCGATGATTTTTTTGTTTTCTGATTCTACAAAAGCCGATTTTCTCAATCTGTCACTGGAACTCGAAATCTCGACGAATCATTCAAAAACTAAACAAAAAACATCAATTTTGTAAACAAAACTCAGGTATGTTATGATGGGAAAAATAAGGGAAAAATTTAAAAATTTGAAAAAAAATAAAAAAAAAATTTTTTTTTTCTTCAAAATTTTTTTTCACCAAGAATTTTTTGGAACTACTTGACCAAACATGGTGATATTTGGTACAAAGATACTTCAACTATCCTAGATCTAAGTTTAATAGACAATGTTCTCTGATTTTGCACCTCCCGTCTTTTCACCACCCCCTCTTTGTCAAAAATCACGATTTTTGGTCAATTTCATGCATTTTCAGATCCTAATTCAATTTTTACTTCACCAATTCTAGTAAGACTTGGCACAAAGTAACTTCAACTATTGTTCTTCAAAATCGAAATGATACATGGGTAGTAAATTGCGTTTTCGGACACTTAGACACCCCGAACCTAATCCGGTGCGTATGGCCCCAAAAGAGGGGCGGGGTGTCTAAGTGTCTGAAAACGCAATTTACCACTCATCTATCATTTCGATTTTGAAGAACAATAGTTGAAGTTACTTTGTGCCAAGTCTTACTAGAATTGGTGAAGTAAAAATTGAATTAGGATCTGAAAATGCATGAAATTGACCAAAAATCGTGACTTTTGACAAGGAGGGGGTAGTGAAAAGACAGGAAGTGCAAAATTAGAGAATATAGTCTATGAAACTTAGATCTAGGATAGTTGAAGTATCTTTGTACCAAATATCACCATGTTTGGTCAAGTAGTTCCAAAAAATTCTTGGTGAAAAAAATTTTGAAGAAAAAAAAATTTTTTTTTTGATTTTTTTCAAATTTTTAAATTTTTCCCTTATTTTTCCCATCATAACATATCTGAGTTTTGTTTACAAAATTGATGTTTTTTGTTTAGTTTTTGAATAATTCGTCGAGATTTCGAGTTCCAGTGACAGATTGAGAAAATCGGCTTTTGTAGAATCAGAAAACAAAAAAATCCATTGAAGTTTTTGAAGCAAAAAATAGAATTTCATTGAGCTGAATTTTGTAGAAAGTGGCAAATGGAGGTTGGTAGAAAAAGAAAAACTCAAAATCGATCGACAAATTCAGTCCAGTTCCAACTGTGTTTTCAAGGTTTTTAATGATGAAGGCGATTTTTGGAGTTTCCAAATCCGTTGCTAAAAAATTGAACAAGCTACTTGTATATATACATTTGTTCTTCTGGGACAGACTCTGCCAACGCCGATCGAGTTGCAGATTATTTAGAAAGCAATAATAAAATGTTATATTTTTACAAATAAAAAATATTACAAAAAAAAATTCCAGTTGGACTTTGACTCTGAAAAAACAGAAATTATGTAATTCATCAAAGTTAGACCCCTTCCCTTGAAAAATTTCGAAAAAGTTAAGCCCCCCGCACCGAATTTGGGGACCCATTTTATGTATGAGCTGAAACCTAGCTTCAAAAATGATTTTCATGAAAATCTGATAGAATAGGGTTGCTTAGGAGGCTCCGAAGATTTTTCAGAAAAAAAGTTACAGATTTTTCCGAAAAATATTCCAGACTTGCATGAAAATCACCGATTTTTCGAACTTTGCCACGTCATAACTCATGGTTGAGTTCTGAAATTTTAGATGACGAAATCGTGATCAAAATATATTTCATTGAAAATCGAACATTGAAACAGTAAACATTTTTTTTTCAAAAAAAAAAAACACCCAAATAAAACTCACTTAACAGTAGCTACAACAGCCAACAAGATCATCTTCAAACATGCAACAATCACATTTTTATTCGTGGGTCCATGTACTTCCAATTTCTGATCAATTCGAAAAATCTTCATAAATTCCTTGATATCCTTTTGAAACATCAATCGATCATAAATTGTTGAAACTCCCAAAACCGGCAATTTTCGACGGAAGAATTCCAATACTTTCGCATCGAATTTTCCAATTTCCATCATTTTTCGGACACCTTCATCGATACTTTTACATTTTCCCAACAAATGTTCTTTGAAATTTTGGAAATTGTGTTGAAATTTGGTGATGAAATCGAGAAGATGTTGATAAGCCAATTGCGACATTCGAATGTCTTCCTTCAGTTCATTGCCAACATATCGTCGAGCAAAAATATCTGGCTCAATTCCAATCTGAAATTGTACATAGTTTCATTATTTTCAGAAGAGAAATCATATTTCAGACCTAAATTCTGGGCTGAAAATCTTAGATTTTCAGCACAAAATTTCGGTTTGGTGTAAAAAAAAACTCACATCCGCAAAAATATCCATATTTCCCAAAAACATTTCGTTGTTCATTTTTAGAATTCCACATTTTGCGGCTGCCATTTTTTACCCTGAAAACAAGAATTCTCAGAAATTTCGCATCAAGATCCAGATTTTGTGCTGAAAATTATGAAAATCAATATTTCCAACATTTTCAGCGCAAAAAGTTCGGTCTGGAAATAATTTTCCGCTTGAAAAACTTGAAGTTAGTTTCTGACTGTATTTTTTTAGGATTTCAGAGTTCAAAATAAATTTCCAGACCTAGATTTGGAGCTGAAAATCTTCGAAATTCAATTTCCAAGATTTTCAGCTCAAAATTTGGGTCCAAAAAAAACGTTTACCTTGAAAATTCGCAGTAAAATTGCTGGCTGCATTTTTTTTTAGAATTTCGAAGTTCAAAAAAAATTTCCAGACCCAGATTTTGTACTGAAATTATAAAATCAATATTTCCAAGACTTTCAGCGCAAAATTAAGGTCTACAAAAATTTTGACTTCAAAAAATTCGCAGTAAAATAGCTGGCTGCATTTTCCAGGATTTCAGAGTTCAAAATAATTTTCCAGACCCAGATTTGAGCTGAAAATCTTGAGAATTCTGAAAAATTGTGATATTTCAAAGATTTTCAGCGCAAAATTTTGATCTAAAAATATTTCCCCCTGAAAAAATTGAGGCAGCAAGTTTTAAAATTCAGAAAAAAAACTTCAAGATTCAAATTTTATGCTGAAAATCTTCGAAATTGAATTTACAAGATTTTGAGCGCAAAATATGGATCCATAAAATTTACCTTTGAAATTCAAAAAAATTCAAACTTCAAATTTTACGCTGAATTTTCAAATTTGATTCCGATGCCACGTTTATTTTATAGATATTCTAAGAGAATCAGACTCTTTTATCGAAAAAAAATTACAGAAAACAACAAACAATTTATTTCAACTGGAACTGGAATAAAAATAAAACTTTAACAAAAACAACAAAAAAAATTATAACTTGGCAAACTGTGCCATCAATTCAGCGAGCAAGACTCTGAAATATTTATTTTTGAAAAAATTACAAAAAATGCTCGGTGAGCTCAAGTTTTTGTGCCAGAAAATTCACTCACTTCTCATTTTGCTCCTTCTTTTTCTCCGCATCTCTCTCCTCAATTTTCTTCTCGAAATATTTTTCGATTTTCTCCCTATCAAATTCCTCTCGACATTCCGGATTTTCAAACAAAAATTCCATGAAAGTTTTGGCGACGAAATTTTCATATTCCGTACAATCCTCATCTTTTCGCATCAACCATTTCTCTCCATTTTTCGGCAACTCATCAAAATATTTCAATTCGATGTCGGCGTTTTGAATAAAATCTTCTCCGATCTCTTTTCTGAGCCATTCATTGAATTTGCGACGAGGAATTGGACGATTTGGAGGAATTCGGTTGGAAACTTTCGTCACAGCTTCTTCATATTTATCAAAAGCGATATTTGACGGATTCAACTGGAAAATTGGGATTTTTTTGAATTTTGAAAATTCAACTTGTGATATTGTTTATCTGGGGCCTTTTTTGAGATAAAATTTGGGAAAAATGAAAGTTTTTGAGCCCAGAATCTTCAGATTCAGGATTTTTGAAGAATTTCAGGTCTGGGACCATTTTCTGGCTGGAATTCTGGATTTTGTGATAAATTTTAGGTCTGGAACATTTTTTCAAGCTGAAATTCAGGATTTTTGATGAATTTCATATCTGGAACCTTTTTTCAGGCTGGAATTCAGATTTTTGGACTTTTTTTGGCCTGAAATTCGAAAAATCGTAAAGTTTGAAGCTTTTTGAGCCCAGAATCTTCAGATTCAGGATTTTTGAAGAATTTTGAGTCTGGGACCATTTTCAAGCTGGAATTCTGGATTTTTTGATAAATTTCAGGTCTGGAACCTTTTTTCGAGCATAAATTTTGATTTTTGGACTGTTTTTGAGCTAATATTCGAAAATCGTGAAATTTGAAGCTTTTTGATCTCAGAAACTTTAAATTTATGATTTTTTGACAGAAAAATTTTCGATTTTCGAAAAAGAGATTCGCTTCAAACTCAAATTTGAAATTAAATTTGAATCATATAACTTCCCAATAAAAAAAATCTCACGTCATCTCCCAATTTCACACTTGTCTGTCTTCGGACTCCTTGATTCTCCAAAAATCTTAGAAACATTGGATTGTTGTCAACAAAAACATTGCGAATTGTTCCCTCATAAATCTGATGAATTTCCTCCGCTGACAGCATCTTCTTTCCAAAACTGGCCAACATCAGAATATAACCTTTCATAATCAAAGTTTTATCATCATAATTTGGCGTGAAACATTTTTCAAGAATTTTCAAAGCCTCTTCCGCTGAATAAAAATCCTTCTTCAATTCATAACAATTTGGTTCGACGAATTGTTCGAGTTCTTTATTGGCTTTCTCAATAATCTCATCGATTTTCCAATTTTCAACAAAAAATAAGAAATCTCTCGAATCATTGAAAACATTATAAATCTTTTCGAACCATTTGAATACTTCTTTGCATTTTCCAAATTTCAATCTTCTGAAAATCCGCATTCCAATATTGATTTCGTTGAAAATCGTAGAATATGCATGGCGGGCAAATAAACAACTCTTCCCATATGGCGAATTGACTGGCGCCACTTGATTTCTCGAAGTTGTTTGGAATTCTTGAGGCACGATTTCGAAATCATCGATTGATAACATCAGAAATCGACAAACATCTCTCAAAATATCAAATTCGATGGTGCGAACAATTCCAAGTTTTCGATCTTCGGCGGTTTCGATTGGAATGAATCCTGAAATTAGAAATTCATAATTTCTGTTCGGGCATTTTTCAGTGTGAAAATCTCACCTTTTGGCACATGAGTTCCACGCTTCTCCATCATCAAAATATCACAAGCCTTTTCCAATTCAGCACACATCATAAACTTTGATTCATAATCGCGATCATAGAAAACACGAACAACTGGGTATTTCTTTAAAAACCAGCCATTATCATTCTTCAAATCAAAACTACTATCCAGTGTATATTCCCAAACTTCTAAGCTATAAATAAGCATAAGCAAATGATCGAGAGACGGAGATTTGTCATATTTATCCTTGGCTTTTTGAATCAATTTTTCATCGTGAACTTCATCGAACATATCTTGAATTCTTTGAAATTCAATGCCATCTTCTATATCCAAATCGTATTCACCGTGATACAGGGCTGGTCGGAATTTACTTGTCGGCATTTCGCAATGCCGACTTCTTGTGCCGAAATTTTTTTCGGCATTTCGGGGTGCCGAACTTTTGTGCCGAAAAAATATTCGGCAATTCGGCACCCCGATTCTGTTCAAATTCGGCATTTCGGCAGTTATTCATACATTTTTAAAACACTTAAAATGATAGAAAAATGAATAAAATTATATTTTAGTTAGCTTTTAGTCATAATTCAATGGAAATTAAGATAAAAAGAAGACATTCTGCAGAAAATAGAGGTAAAAACACCATTTTCATTTTTTTGGAAAAAAATCGGTAGTGATTTCGGCACATTTTAAAATCGGCACGAAATTCGGCTTCTATCAAGTGCCGGAAAAATATTTCGGTCGGTAATGCCGACTTCAAAAATTGCCGAAAAATCAGCGAAACTCGGCATTTCGGCAAATCGGCGTGCCGATTCCGACCAGCCCTGCCGTGATATTTCTTAATTCCATTCGATATTTTCTCTTCGAATAATTCATATGGCAACATTTCGAAGGATCCATTTAATTTTCTCGATATTTTGTTGCCAATAGATTGAGCAACCAATGAGCCATCAATTTCTTTCTTGTTTTCGGGAGTCTCCGAAAAATATGAATTGTATAAGCATACGAAGGCGTCGATTTTCGATACAAAACTTTTTGTCGACTTTTCATTTTTATAAAATCCGATTGGATCAGCCAGATAATTGACTTCTCGATTTTGCATACCAAGATAATCCGAATTCTCGGAGAATCTTTGAAGCACTTCCATATCCCTCATCAAAATATCCGCATCCCCATACAAAATTTTCATTTCCTTCGAGCTTTCCACCAATTTTTGCAGCAAATTAACAGCTTGTTTTCTTGAAATTTTTTCGCATTTCAAATTCTTCAACAACTTCTCAAAATCCACCGGGATTCTCTGCAAAATCTCTTGTTTTATGCGATTTAAAAAAAAAATATTTTTTGAAACTCACGTGTTTTGCGACCACTTTTGATAATAAACATCGAAACGTTTGCGGAGTCCAATGCGGTTCTATATGGATATCCATATTTTGAACAGAAACCCCAAAAAAAAACAATATTGTCCAAAAGAAATACACGAGATCTTCTTGAGAAAATTTTGGAAATCAATATTTCAAAGATTTTCAGCGCAAAATTAAGGTCTACAAAAATGTTGACCTTTAAAAAAATCAAAGTAAAACATTTCGCAGTATTTCAGAGTTTTCCAGGCTGAAAAAATCTGCTGAAAATCTTAAGAATGCTCAAAACTTATGAAAATCAATATTTTCTTGATTTTCAGTGCAAAATTAAGGTCTATAAAAAGTTTGACCTCTAAAAACTCGCAGTAGAAATTCTGGCTGCATTTTCCAGGATTTCAGAGTTCAAAAAAAATTCCAGACCGAGATTTTGAGCTGAAAATGTTGAAAACGCTCAAAAATTCTGAAAATCAATATTTCCAACATTTTCAGCGCAAAATTAAGGTCTACAAAAATTTTGACTTTTAAAAATTTGCAGTAGCATTGCTGGCTGCATTTTTCATAATTTCGGAGTTCAAAAAAAATTCCAGACCGAGATTTTGAGCTGAAAATGTTGAAAACGCTCAAAAATTCTGAAAATCAATATTTCCAACATTTTCAGCGCAAAATTAAGGTCTACAAAAATTTTGACTTTTAAAAATTTGCAGTAGCATTGCTGGCTGCATTTTTCATAATTTCGGAGTTCAAAAAAAAATCAGAACTAGATTTTTTGCTGAAAATGTTGAAAACGCTCGAAAATTCTGAAAATCAATTTTTCCAACATTTTCAGCGCAAAATTAAAGTCTACAAAAATTATTTTGACCTCTAAAACTCGCAGTAGAAATTCTGGCTGCATTTTCGAGGATTTAAATTTTTAAAATTCAAAAAATAAAGTTCACTCAGAGATTCGCTGGCCAGCTCGCCACCAGATCGCTGCGGCCACCTGGAAACCGCATGGCCGCCAGGTCGCCTTGAGTTTTCCGGCGACGTGGCCTGTGTGTTTGAAATTCTGGAAAGCTGGCAAGGCAGTGGTTCGTACTCAAAACACTGCATTTTCTACTGTTTTTTTCACTTCCTGACGTTTCAAGTGCTGCGAAAAAACAGAAAATGAGCCAAATTTTTCGAAAATGCCTCAATTCACCAGTTTTTCAGACATTTTCATGAAAATTCATTTTGACGCGGCGAGGTGGCCACCACATGGTAGCCAAGTGGCCGTGACCTAGCCAGAGCCTGGCCACCTTGCCAGCAAAAAAAAAACCGGGCGACATGGTTTCCATGTGGTTCCCAGGTCAGCCAGCCTCCCCACCTGGTGGCGAGCTGGCCAGCGAATCTCTGAGCAGACCCAGATTTTGAATTTAAATTCTTCGAAATTCAATTTCAAAGATTTTCAGTGCATTTTTTGGACGTGAGAGTTCAAAAAAAATTCCAGATGCAAATTTCATGCTGAAAATCTTGAGAATGCTCAAAAATTCTGAAAATCAATATTTCCAAGATTTTCAGCGCGAAATTTGGGTGACCAATAATTTTGACCAAAAAAAACCTTGAAAAATCCCTCAAAATCATTCAAATATAAAATATGACAACAATTTGGACATATATGTAAAGAACAAAAACTTTCAGGAAAAAAGAACAGAAATTTCATTAAAAAACGAGGAAAACAAAGACGAAAAGGAAAAATTCACAGAAAAAACTGCAAAAATTAGAAGATTATCGATTGGCAAGTCCAGCAGTTCCAGCTCCAAATGATTTTCGATCTTCGAAGATTGTGGAGAGTTCGGCTGGCTGCAAAATTGTAATTGTAAGGATTTGGGTCAAATTTCGATGTTATAATTTCAATTCAAACTTGTATAAACCAAATTTTCCGGATTTTTCATGAAAAAATTAGCAATTTTTGAAGCTTCATTGGTTTTCTGGGTGAAATTTCAAGCTGAATTTTGAGAATTTTATACGTATTTTGAATCACCAAAAACCCTCCTCAAAAATAGAGTTATGACTTGGAAAATTGTAGGCTATTTTCTTTTAGAGCAAACTTTCTGATAAAAATTAGGGTTTTCTAGAAGTTCCTAATTATTTTTCAAAAAACCATTTGAAAAAATGTAAAAGCAGAAGAAAAACACATTTTTATGTAGATACGAAACTTGAATCTTCGATTTTAAAACTCACCAAATCCAAAAAACTTGTGCATTATTTGTGAGAATAATATGCATTTCCAGCTTTGAGATGTCGATGAATCACATTTTGTCCATGAATATATTTGAGCGCGTCATGAACATGGTTTTTCCAAATCCAACATCAAAATAATTCAAGCACAATCTAAAAATCCAGTTTTTGTTTGAAAGCATTGTAGAATCGAGAACTCACTGTTAGCCGAAAAATAACGTTGAGAACAGTTTGAGGAATTTCGATTTCTTCATCATCTTGAATTCCGAACGACTGAAAGATTTCAATTTATTTTCGAGGTACATGTGACTTTTTGGGACAAATTTTCAGACAATTTCCTTGGAAATATTGAAAAGTTCTCTATTCAATTACAATTTTTCCCAGCTAACCTCACTCCAAGCCACATTTTCATCCACGAGTTGTGATTTTTGGGCAGATTCAATCTTTGGAACTTGCATACGACGCATTTGTTCATTGTTTTCCAAATTCGAGTGAATTGCAGCCAAATCAGTTTTGATTTCATAATTTTCTTCAACATTCAAATTTCCATTCAATTCTTCTGGTGAACAAATCAATAGCAAATTGGTTCTCGTTGTTTTCAATATCTCCAAACTTTTTGGCAAAGTTTGACCCATTTGTTCAGGAAACATATTTTGAAATCCTGCAAAAATAATAATGTTTAATTTTAAGAGTGCAAAAGATTTGGGTTTTCACTAGAAATTCTGGAAAATTCAATTTTTCTACATGTAATTGAAACTAGAACACTTTTTAGAAGAATCAAAAGTTTTTTGAAACAATATGGAAAACGCGAAAAATCGTTTCATCGCAAAGAACTATTTAAAAAATTCCACAAAACTCACATATCCATGAACATGTTTTGTTGTCCAGGCCAAGGAAAAATTACCTGAAAGGAAAAAATACATTTTGCCTATTTTTTGCAATAAAAAAACAAGGGAGAAAATCATCAGATACAATTTTGAACAACTGGAATCGCTTAACTAGATAATGATTTTCGAACTGCAAAGCATGTTTTCCCTTTTTTTCGGGAAATGAAAAAAAGATGACAAAAAAAAAGAAAATACGTGCTCGTCAAATTAAATGCATAGTACGCAGTTGTGTGTGTGTTTGCACAGAACGAGAGCTACAGTATGCTAATGCGGACTGTTACCACGTCATCTCAGCATCCGCTGGCGTAGTCTAAGCGAACAAACGAGCGTAGCTAAGGCGGTGTATGACGCACCAAACGCTCGTTTGTACGCTTTAGACTACGCTGAGGTGTAAATCTTAGCTACGCTCGTTTTTATTTTCAATTCAAATTTTTTTCTCATTTGCTTGTTCGATTGGAACTGAATTCTAGGTTTACTATCAATATTGCTTGTTGAATGCGCCGATTTCTAATTTTTTCGAAAGAATTGTATATAATCATGATTTATTAGACAATAGAACAAAAAAACAGTGAAATAACAGAAATAAAATTGAATAATCGAAGAATTATGGGGTTTTGAGTGTTGCTTGACAATCAGACATTGTTTTTGAGACAGCGTGAGATGATTGGAGGATTTTTGATGTCGTTGTTATGATGTTGCGTGCCATGTGAGAGTTTGAAATCCTTGTAGAATATTGAGAATTGCAGTGTCCGAGCCTGAAAGAATAACTGACTCATTAACAGTTTCATGGGGTGGATATTATGACTAAAATTGACTAAAATCAAGGCATTCTGACCAGGATATTGGACGTGAGTGATCAAGTTAGTTGTTTTGAGACTAAGGCCTCACATTTCGAAAATGTTTTCAAGTCGTTGCTCAAACTTAATTTTGCTCACCTTTTCCATGATTCAGCTTCCACCACATCCAAATATCGATTAGATAATTTGAAGTTGTCTCAAAGGCACAAATAACTGACAAGGTTGATCTTCAAATCTCCACTGACCAGGTTTGGTTTGAAGTTTGTAGTCATAGGAATATCAACTTGATTGACTGCGAATTTCGAAGCTTGTGTAGTTGTATCCAAAACCACCGACAGTCGGCTGATAACCAAACTATATTTTCGAATTGAACTTCCAAGGGTGGCTTGAGTCTGTCTTCCACTTCAACTTCCAATAAATACCTTCTATCTAGTTTTAGCTCTGAAATAAAATAGACTATTATATATATATTGATAGAATTAAGTGACTTACTCAAATCTGAAGAACATGCAGTGCAGGTTGACATCATCCAAAATCGCGATTCAAGACTGAAACATAGAAACATTGATTAGAGAACGATTACAACCGAAAATAATATGCACTATCGAGTAAAAATCACAGGTAAAGTCTTATATTTCCTACTTTTGATCTGCTGAAATAATTTCTCAATGAAAATCTTCACACGAGAGCCAGGTTTCTAGTGAAAACCTCGTTGAATGAGCTGTTTAGAAAAGAAAAGTCGTTATAATCACATATAACATATCTGGAAAGTATAATTTTGTGCTTAAAACATTTTAACACGCTCAAAAAGTAAAATTTTAGGCCGAGAAAAAAACAAAAAGAAAAAGTGAAAAGCTTGTACGCAACGCACAGGAATTGCAACGCGGCTCAGTGTAGCTACGCTCAGTCTACACCCGCGAGATTACAACGAGCGTAGCTAAGCCTTAGCTAAATTTCATCTAAATAACCCTTCTTTGTACGCTTAGACTACGCCAGCGGATGCTGAGCAGTGAAACGTGTCACTCATTTCAAAAAAAAAAGACCGATTTCACCGATAAAAGGTACATGACAAGTCCCTTTTTTTCTGCCAAGTCCGCAGTGAGAAAAGTGTGCTTTTTTTGTTTTGTTTTTTTCGCCCGTGATATGGCTGAAAGTAATTTTGATGGTTTTTGTTAGAAAGTAAACGTTTTTTTCTTGTTTTTAACCTGAAGAAAAAAAGTTTGAGAACTTGTTTACTTTATTTTGTTGTTTCATGTGACCCGATTTCTGTGAATAATACTATTTGTTTTTCAGCGAAGGAAACGCGTTCCAGCCGAGCAAACTTGTTCATCGTTGTGCTCATTTTGGTGAAAATGGCAAAAGGAAGATATTTTAACAAAAACAAATATCAACCAAGAAAACGAAAATTGGATGAAAATTTCGAATTTTTCAAATGGAAATGTTTGGCACCTGAACTTCGACTGTTTATTATAAAGAAAATGGATCTGAAGACAAAGTTGAGATTTTCGCAATGCTCGAAAAATTCTCGATCATTTGTCACATCGTTGAAAGATGTGATTTCGAAAATCGAAATATCGGATATTCCACACGATTATGCGACTAATCCGGTGAGTTTTTCGGTAGTCGAAACAAATAATCTTCAAAAACATATATAAAATTATTCCTTTTTGAAAAAGGTTAACCCCTAAATTCTTGAACGATTTTTGTAACTAATCGCTTATAAATTATCAAAAAAAGTGAAGCTCTCGGTTCTGGAGATTTATCTCATGAATATTCAAAATTATCTAATTTTTCAGCTAAATGAACATCATTATGACGCACAAATACCGAATGGAGAATGGAACAGGATAATTCGTGATGAGTCTTTGCGACGACGACAGGGACTCGAACCTCAACTCAAAAATGGTTGTCGCGAAAAACTCAAAATCTCACACAACATTTATGACAACAATGATAACTGGCGCCAACAAACTTGTGATTATTGGATCGAATTCGAACAATTTGAAGGCAACAAAACACTTGTGAAATATCGAAATTGGCCAATTTATCTTTATGGAAATGGTGAAGTAAAATGGGAGAAAATCGAGGAAGGAGATACAAGTACTGTGACATTGAGATATTTGGAATATTATTTGGAACAATGGGGAAATGTGTGTCCAGCTTTCAGTTTTCGAGTGAGTTTTCAACTGAAAATCGTGACAAAAATCTAAATTTGATATTTTTTTGGCTTAAAAAATCACCAAAGTTTCTTTTTTTCAGACTGAGGATATTTCGACAACTGATGTCAATTTGAATCGAATGAATAACTTAAGAGAATTGCAAGGTGGCTATTATGAATGGGAAGGAAATATTCGGGGATGTATTAGTTATGACAAATTGATGAACCTCGATAAACTCGACATTTGTGATGATGAATACACTGACTTCAAAGATGTCAAAGATTTTCAAGGAACAAAATTGATAATTCAGTGTGAATTCGAGGAAGATGAATTGAATCCGATGCTTTTGCTTCTCAAAAAAGGTGAAATTCTTCCAAATATTCGATATTTCTTATTGAAAACAAACTCGATACATGAATATGTAAAGGACTTCAAAGTTATGGAGCATTTGAAAGATTTGGAGATTTTTCAATTAAAAGCAATTTATGACATTGAAAGCGATTGTGATGATGAAGAAGAATCATACGAAGAAGAAGAAATCTATTCAAATTGTAAATTTTCAATGAAATCATTGAACCGAGATGGTCAATATAATGTTAAAATATTAATGGAGTATGACACTTTTTCCATGCAAATCATATGGAAAGACAATTCATTGGAATGACCACTGGCTTCTAATTTTTGGTTATTTTTCTTTAAATTCCGCGTTTTAATATGTTTTACTTCTAGGTTTTATTTTTCCTGGCTTTTAATTTTTGGTATTTTTTCTTTTTCTGTTTTTTATCGTTTTTCGCGTTGTATTTCTCTTCTAGCTATGTTTTTTTAATTACTAGGTTTTTTCTTTATCTCTTAAATAAATTAAAGTAGTTATTGCCTCATAATTGTTTTTGTAGTTGATTGTTTTCTCGTGAAGAGTTGAATTCTCTTCTAGTTATTTTTGAACACATTCTGGAAAGAATGCAGGTTTTTTTGTATGAAAAATCAATTTTCCCTAATTATTTCGAAATTCTGATTTGTTACTGGGTTTTTTAAATACCATTTCAAAATTTTGGTCACAAACTTTCCTTCTGAAAAAAGGTTAATTTCTGTTTTTTTTTCAAAAAACCCACAATCTGAAAACCCATTTACATCAATTCAATCAAAAAATACATAATTTATTTATTCTTACAAAAAAGGAAAGCAAAAATCGACAGAAACTCACCATTTTCAGCACTGAACTTGGAACCAGCAATGTTTGAGATTCGCTGGAAAAATTGATAGAATTTTTGAAAAAAGCTACAATCTTTAGCAAAATTTCAGACAAAAACCATTAAAAAATGATTTAGAAAATATTTTCAAAATTATTTGATTTCCCAGAAAATCACTGTTTCAAAAAAAATTTTTTTAATTGATGGGTTCAATGTTAAAAAATATCCCATGAATTTCGAGAAATAGTCTTTAAACTTCAGAAGAATTGTTGCTACGATGTATTTCAGAATTTATAGGTTTCCCCAAAAATCACTGTTTCAACTGAAATTCAGGTTTTTCATGGAAAATTTTGTGACAGATTAAAGGGGGTACGGGATAATCAAAATTTTATGGAAAAAAATATACCATCTGAAAGAGGAGGTTTCGTTTAGTATGTTCCCAATTTTTTATAATTATTTTTCACGTTTGAATACCATTTTTTCACGCGCAAACACGAAAAAGTTGCGCTCGACCTCAGAGAAATAGCATGCAGACACGAGAGACACAGCGTATTTAGGCCCCGCCCCCTTCTGTGCGCTGTGTCTCTCGTTTCTCTATGCTATTTCTCTGAGGTCGAGCGCAACTTTTTCGTGTTTGCGCGTGAAAAAATGGTATTCAAACGTGAAAAATAATTATAAAAATTTGAGTACATACTAAACGAAACCTCCTCTTTCAGGTGGTATATTTTTTTCCATAAAAATTTGATTATCCCGTACCCCCTTTAACTTTGAAAAAAAAACCTGGTAGTTTGGCGATTTTGTAGTGAGAATCTCTGAATTTCTTGAATTTGGAAATCAATTTTTTGTATATTTTTTTATCAGCAAAAAAATATATAAGAAAATCCCATATATTTTTAAAATAAAAGTTATCAGGAAAATGAGTTCCAACAGATCCTAGTTAAAAATTTAAAGAATTGTGAACCTCATTTTTTACATACAAAATGTTTTGTCGATTTCCCAGTCAGATCCAAAAGTTCTTGAGAGTCGGAAAGTTTTCTCTTCTTCTGAAACCACGTGGCAAAATATCGATTTTTTGAAACAAATTTTTCGGTCTTAAAAAATCACATTTTTGGAAAAATCAATTCACGTGACCCATATTTTCGTGGAAATTATTGTTGCCCTCAAAAGTCTGTCATTTCTGATTTCTAACAAAAAATGAATTTTCGAATTTCGACCGAAGATTTACAAATTCAAAAAACAAAAGAGGAAAATGCAGTTAATGTAAGTTATTGTCAAAAAAATATGTAGTTCACTATTTATCTCAAATTTCAAAAAAAAAAAAACAAAAATATTATCAAAAATAAATTACAGTAACACAGAATTCACAAGAAATCTCTTAACAACTTTCGATAATTTGACATAAATTCTTTACTTGGCAGCTCTTGAATCTCTTCCTCCTCATTTTCTTCTCGATTTTCTCGAATTTGTTTGATTTTTCGGCGAATATTTGTTATATAATCCTCATATTCGTCATCGAATTTTTCAATTTCCCGTTTTGCTGCTCGAATTTCGCTTGAATTCGGAAATTTGAAGCGCATTTTGTTCAAATTGGAATTTATTTCATCGAATAAATCGTCATAATCGATCTCAAGATATTTTTGATATCTTCTAATTTTCTCCTCCTTTCTCAAATTCGATTCAACATTTTTCGTCGATTTTTCGAACCAATCTCGCAATTCTTCCAGCTTTTTCGATTTTTCTTGAAGCTTTTGTTGAAGTTTCGTATGTTTTCTCGTCAATTCTTGATTCTCCTCATTTTTTTGTCGAATTTCAACATCGAATTTGTCGCGCTGATTTTCGAGATGTCTGAAATTTGGATATTTTTTTAGGCTAAAAAAAACCAAAAAATTGAATTTTTGAAAAAACCAAAATAAACTAACTTTTGCAATTGTTCCTTCTCATTTTCCAGATCCAGCTTGGAATTTTCACAAGTCGCCAAATTTTTATCCAAAATTTTGAGCTTCGAATTGGTCATTTCCAAATCTTCCCCAAATTTCTCCAATTTTTCAGCCATTTTCGCAATCTCCTCATCCTTCAACATCTTTTCATTTTTGTGTTGACATTTGTCTAAATCCCAATTCTCTCGAATCTTCTTATTACGATCTTTCAAATCATTCACTTTTTTCTCATTTTTCTCTATATTTTCCATCAATTTCTTCTCGCTTTCTTTCAATTCTCCTTTACATTTCTTCAATTCACTTTTAGAGTTTTTCAAAGTTTCTGACATTTTTCGATTTTCTTCACATTTTGTTTGAAGATCTTGTTCCAATCTGAAGTTTATTTTTTTTTTGAAAAATCCTGGAAAATTAAGGGAAAAACTCACTTTTTCTTCTCATTTTCAAATTCGATCCGCATTTTCTCCGTTTTCATTTCAATTTCTTCAATCTTCTTTTTCTCATCATTCGATTTCTCCAACGGTTTTTCATTTAAAAATCCCTTTTTGAGAGTTGAAAATTCGGTCTTTTGATCTTCCGAACTCGAATTCTTCGGCAAAACTTTTTCGCTCAAAGATCCCTCCTTTTTCAACTCAACAGCTTTCGATTTTTCATCGCCTGCCACCTTTTTAGCATTCAAAAATCCTCGTTTCATTGTTGAAAATTCGAGATTCTTTGGTTTCAGATCTTCGGCGGCTCTGAAAAATATTCAAATTAGCATCGGAATTCTACAAACCCGAAAATCCTACCTTTTTCCCTCATTTTTCTCTTCAATTTTCGCTTTTTCACCGATCTCTTGAGCAAGTTTCGAATTCTTATCATTTTCATCAATAAAAATATACTCCTTGACTCGGAATCGCAATTGATTGTGGAATATTGTGTGAATCTGAAAAACTGAATAAGTTCATAGATATTTAAAGCAACACTTACATCCGAACATTTTTGAAGAACTTGAGATTCCATATATGCATAATAAAGCCAATAAATATCACTCATTGTGATTTTCGATATCTTTTTCTTGAGAAGAATATCAAAGCATTGGTTGAAAATCCTTCGATCAAAATTCATCGGCTTCAGCAGATTTTCAACATGGATTATTGCTTCTTTTTCGGTGTATTGAGATTTCATCGGAAATTCATAAATTGATGATTTTGTACAATATTTGCCCAATTCCAATTTCGCTTTTTCCTGGATTTCGGAAATTTTCCACATTTCAATGCAATTCCATGCATTTGTTGAGAATGCGATTCCTTGGAACATCTTGTTAATCCAATTGAAGATCTTTGGCAAATTTTCTTGATTTGATCTTTGGAATACTTCAAGAATCACAACGATGTAGAAAAGAATATCTCGCATCGCTCCAATAAACACTTTGCAATGTTTGCCAGAAGAAGAAATAATTGGAGTATCGAAAAGATTATAGGTTTGATGAGAGTCCACGATTAGAATCTGAAAAATGTTTGGTTTTCGAAGTGAAAAAAAAATTCTTGACTTACATGAAAATCTTCTTGCTTCACACCAAAAGTCTCCATAATTCTCAACGCGTTTTTCCAATTCACAACCTCATCAATTCCATTTTTCAAACAATAACTTCCAATCCTCAACATATTATTTTTCGTCAAAACCATCATCGCTTTCTCGAATTCTTTGGAAAAAACGAAATCATATAAAAATTCGCTCCTTGAAGAACATTTGAATAGTCGAATGATTGGCAGAGAATACTTCGATGTTGGAAGAAGTTTGTGAGAAGACAGTAGAATTGGTGAGAATTCCTTCAATGTTTTTTGAATCGCTTCCAGCGTTGTCCAAGCTTTGGCATACGAAAGTTGATAAAGTGATTGATCATTTTCCCATTTGTCGAAATAATTCTCCATAAAATCATCAAATTGTTCTGGCGCATTCAGAAAATATTTTCGAAGTTCGCGAAAATCCTTTTCTTTGATTACGAGTGGAGTGTTCGGAGGCTTCTGAAAGTTGAATTTTTGTAAAAAAAAATCAATAATTTCAATAACTTACACATTCTTTCAAATTTCGTTTAAATGATTTTTTGAAATCATTCCAAACATCATACGATACCAATTCATAAGCCTGAACTCGTGAGTTGAGCTGTGCCACGTGCCACGCATCAAGAATCTCTTTCGACAATGAAGTATGCGAAACTTTGGCCAATTCTTCGAAGAATAATTGATAAATATCGTGTTTGGATATGAATTCCTTCTCGTTTTGATCGATATAACGAGTTATACTCGAACATCCGAAAACCGATTCCACTGATGTTGATTTATTCGAATTTTCAAGCGAAAATCGATAAATTTCCGGTATGTTGTCGATGTTTTCGAGATCTTCGATTAATTCATCAACGGATTCGTAGATCTTCCGAAGTTTTGGCGTTTTTTTGAAGAGAACTTTGAGAAATTCTTTTAATTCACCATCTTCCAATTTTGAATTTGCAAACATTTCCGAACCATATTCAGAAATTTCGACATTCTGCAATAAAAAAAATCATAAAATTTGCTTATTTTCTGGAAATCAAACTCACTTCTTTGTGCACCAAAATCTTCAGTAACCCAATCGCATATTCATAAGTCCAATCCGACATTTTCCACGATTTTCTGGGATTTCAGCGCCAAATTTAAAATTTTCAGCAAAATAATCGATAAGGTACTGTAGTTCTCTTGAATTCTGTGCAAACACGCAATGTGTTCAGTGCATTTAAAATGACGCGCACGTATTTTTATTTTTTTTCTCGTCGGCGTTTGAACGTTTTTTGTTTGAAAGTAAATGTGTTTTTCTTAGTTTTAGAATAAAGAAAAATAGTCGGACAACTTGTTTACCTTAGTTTGTTGTTTCCATATGACCAGATGTCTGCGGACAATACATTTTTGTTGACGAAAACATGTGTTTCTTTTCGTTTGTAAATGTTGTTTTTTTTGAAATGAGGCTTTGATTATTCTAATTTGTTTTAGATTTCGAAAATGGAGCATCCTAATTCAAATGTCAATCTAATTGTTTCATTATGGATTGGGTAGTCATTTTTTCAAAAAAAAAACCTTGTTTTTTTCAAAATGACATATGGTCGTTGTTCGAAAAGAGGAAAAGAGCGCACAAATCGTCAAGGTTGGTCTTTTCCCTCTAACAGTTCCCTAGAATATAATTCCTTCAGGTTTTCAACAACAGAAAACTCTGCCGAAAGATTTGGTCGTTGAATCGCTAGGAAGATCCTGAAAGATTAGAAGTTCTGAGAATTCACTCAAAAATTTGAAATTGGCCGATGATTTTATGATTTTGACTTGGAACATGTGAGTTTCTACGAGTTTTTGGCTTCCGATTTTCTCTAGAAGCTCTTAAATGCACTGTAGAACTTGAAAAGTCTCCTGATCTTCCAAAACCTTGAAATCGAAGCCAAAAAATTACTCAATCTTAGGAAAACCTCTAGAAGATGAATTTATCTGCAGAAAAAAAGACCATAATCTCACAAATCAAAAATTCATTTCAGATCGTCAATGAGGGGATTTGTCGATAAATCAAACTTGGACCGATATTGGTGGAAGAATTGGTGCAGTATCCAGTCGAACATCTGGAGAAATATTCGAAGTTTGTTCTTCAGACCACCTGGATGTGGTAAACAATTTAGACAAAATCAATTGCTAATGAATGCCAAACTAATTTCATATCAATCAAGGGACCTGGATTGTTGCTTATGTGGTTTTGAGAATCGAAGATGTTATTGATAAGGCAAGAGCTGATTCGCCATGTATTTTGTTGTTTGATGAATTGGATTCGATTGCCAAGGCTTGAGGTGAGGATTTCCACACGAAAAATCGAGTTTTTGCAGTGAAAATGTTGAAAATTCCAAATTCCCCGAATCTGAATTTGTAAGAAAATCCTCAAAAAAATCGGCGAAAGTTTTCAAAAAATAAAATAACTTAAACTCATCCAAAAATCAGGAAATGTTCAATTTTTGTCAAACTGGTTTCTTTCATAAGAAACTTTTTTTTTACCAGAAAATAATTTTGAAATCATTTGTGATGAATAATTATGGATTTTCAAAGTTTCAATGGTCTAGATTCAAATTTTCGACTGATTGTGAACAACAAGTTTAGATTTTCAAATTAATTCTGAATTTCGAAATAATCTATGAAATCGCCTACTTATTTCAGCTTTGAAATCATCGAAAAGTGTTACTATAGCCCTCAGAAGTTCGCACAACTCGAAAGAAATATACAATTTTTGGTTTTCCAGTCAAATTCGATTTTTTTCAGATTCGAATGCCGATTCGATCTCTCACCAAAAGCGTTTTGCAGTTTTGAATGGCAATATGATTTGGACATTGATTTTGGTATGGAAACGGGAATTAAAATGGAATGTGATTGGGAGAGAGAGCACGAGAAAATCAAGAGGAAGTTTGGATTGAACTCTAATGAGGATTATATTTATATATCGAAATATGAATTATTATTCGAATATGAAAGATGAAAAACGAGAAAGAATTGAAGGATAGTTGGCGAGTTGTAGGTTTTTATTTTGAAATAGGCAGCTTTTTTGCGAATTAAATCAGGGAAAAATCTATCAAAACGAGCTCTCAAAAGTTCCATGAAAATCTAGCCTCTGACGATTTTCGAGTAAAAGCTTCATGCAAACCTCACCCAATACCTGGAATTCCAGGTGGCCAATTTTTTTTCGAGAAATCTAGGTGGGCAAATTTTTTAAGGGTCTTCAAGGCGAGCCTTAGGTGGGCAAATTTTTTTAAGGTCTTCAAGGCGAGCCTTAGGTGGGCAATTTTTGAAAATAAACCCAGGTGGGCAATTTTTTACCCACTCCTCCAGGTTCTTGGGTGAGGTTTGGCTTCATGCAACAATTTTGGCTCAAAAAGCTCATTTTGAAAATTGTTCCGGAATTTTCATATTTTGAATAATTAATTATAAAACGTGAACCATGACGTGGCAAATTTGATTTCATTTCCTAATTGAAAAAAAAACAATTCTAATTTTCAGCAATCGTGTCAGCCAATGTTTCGATGTTCGAGATTTGGGATATTTGGATGTCGTCAAATATTTTTGGTCTTCAAATATTTTGGCAAATTGTTAGAACACTCGAATTTGGTTTGATTTTGTCCGGGAAAATTTGCTGATTTGGAAAGGTCGGTTTTGTTTTTCCACAATAATTGAAATTATCTTACAAAAATTTATTTCAAATAATCTGATTTTGAAATTTTCAAAATATAAAATTGCCCAAATATTGCGCTGAAAATCATGAAAACAGATTTTCAGAAGTTCTCAAAGTTTTCATGATTTTAAGCCGATAAATTTGAGTTTGGTGAAATTTTTTCTGATTTTCGAATCCTAAAAATTTCTCCAACAATTTTATTTCAACGTTTTTGAGGCCAAACATTTTCCAAACCAAAATCCTGCGCTGAAAATCATGAAATCATCGAATTCATGGTTTTCAGCACAGAATTTGGGTCTTGATTTTAGTTTGAATTCCGCCAACAGTTTTATCAAAATAAATATCCATAAAAATCGATATTCGTTGATCTCAAAAAAAATTTAAAAGATCAGGCAAGTTCATTTATTCCAATATTTTATTTGATCAATTTTTAATTGTGAGTTTTATTTTATGAAATAATAAATTGTTTTTTCTCAATTTTCAATGTGTTATTTATTGTTTGTTTGATTTTCGAAGAGTTGAATTCTCTTAGAATTTTTGTATTCAAATGGATTTCGAAAGGACGTGTAAAAGGTGAGTCTTTTGGGGAATATCAGGGTTCAAAATTAGTCGAATAAGAAGTGTTGAAAATGACTGAGATTTTTGAAAAAAAACATTCCAATTTGAAAATTCGAACAAAAATCCGGAGCAACATTTTGTGCTCAAAATCACTGAAACTAAATAAGTTCATAATTTTCAGCGAAAATTTATTTTATTTGCTTTTTTTTCTTTTTCGGTTTCAAAATTTTATTTATTTATAAAATTGTATTGCTTTCTAATTTTGAAGACTAGAATTTGCAATTTGCAAAACCTAGTCCCTGTTTTTTATGAAGAATAATTCTCCGAACTTATTTTTGAGCTGAAAATCATGAAATCCTTCAGCGAATTTCAGCTGGTCATTGATTTTCAGCACTAAATTTCAGTTTAGAAAAAATTTATTGGATGGTGATAATCGATGAAAAACAGTAAAAAAAACACATTTGTAAAAACATAAATTAAAAATCCAGAGGTTGGCGGTTTTTCATAACTTCTTCGTAATCATCTGATTTGATTTCAATTGAAAGAAGGCTTACAACATTATAATAATAATAATCATGTTTGACGTGACAATAAAATTTCGATGTTTCTTCAGAACTCGAGACAAAAGAAAACTTGAAACTGAAAAATATTGATTTTTGATGTGAAAATAAATAATTAAACTTACTTATTTCACGCCGTGTCTGTTCTTGTACCTCTTCTGACCACCGGTAATACCTAAAAAAAATAAATGTTTTATCACATTCGATCATATATTTCACCCACTTGTCTAAAGTCTTCTCCAAGAATTATCACTTTCCACCAAAATATTTCTCATTTGAACATAAATCTCGAAGAAGTATATCAACAGCCTCCAAAGCGTTAGCCGGTATTTGACTACATATATTCCATATAATAACATCCACATTTTGAAGTTTTTTGGAATCTTTGGTATTTCTTTGGTGAGAACTTGTTTTATAATCATTTGATATATTCAACTTGAAAAGACTTGCGGATGTTCTTTCTTTGGGTAGCAAGGTGGACGCTATTCCAGTCCATGATGTGCAGACAACGCTGCTTGCCGATTTCACATTATCAGTAATATCAATCGATTCTATAGCAATAAAATTTTCTGGTCTTTTAATGAGATCATCAATGTATCTTCCCATCCTGAATAAATTTTTTTCATTGAAAATTTTCATTTCAGTCTAAAGTTACCTCCATAATCGTTCTTCGATGTCAAAAAATACTACCTTCATGTTAAACACACGCGCAATAAGATCTGGACGGTCCGGTGGAACTTGACCGGGACTAAGATTTTCTTGGATTTCTCTCCATTTAGGCGAACATGTCATCGTGATAAACAAATCGGGTTCTCCGAATTTCGTCACCATCGCAATAGAATCCTGGTATGACTGCAACAAAGCTCGGGGGGATTCAGGAAAACTCGATGGAAGTATGACTCTTCTACCCGGTGATCCATCCATCACCAGCTACATAATCTCTAAGACAGCTGTATTTTTCGGCTCTTATTTCCTTTTGATGGGTTCGTATATACAGTAACCTTTGCTGTTGAGTGCGAACAAAACTATCTACCACGTATTGTTGTAATAGATTCTTTCCATAATGTAGCGGATTGAAATTTCCCCGATTTCGTAATAAATAAGTATAATACATCCTCGCAGTCAATTTATTCCGAATTCTTGCTGACTCCTTTAAAAAAAAACCATTAAATTACTCAATTCTATCATAATCTTTTCATTGCAATTCTTGTTTTCTGGAATTGAACATCTTTCTTTTGCTGCTTCTTCGGGGTCTAAATAATATAATTGGCCGTACCTCCGTTTGTCACCATGATTCAGTTTGGAAACTCGATGATAAATTTGCTCGTGAATCTTATATATTTAAGGACCACTCAATGGTTTCGATAATTGAACTCCAATCGAAGCCATGCTCAATGCCGAAAATGTTTTTTTCAGCATCAATACCTTCTGTACCCGTCATCAAATTTTTTAGAATAACCGGAAAACTATCGAACATATCATCCATTTCCACTTTTCCTTCCATGCAACAAATATTTTATTTTCCAACAGTATTTTTTTCGGCACCAAAAAAAGGGCTCCACAGTACTGACATTTTTCAGACATCAGACCCATATAATTTGTATTCATACAACTCTCAGCATTGATAACTCTTCGCCTACTTCTTCCCTTTGATTTCAAACTTTCTTTCTGATCTTGTCTTTGCGATTTCCTATATAATCTTCTTTTTTTTGGCTTCTTCTAATTTTCGCAATGCTGCCTGATCTTCTGTTTCTTCAGCTCTTCTCTTTTTCGATTTTTCGATTTTTCAGCTTTTCTTTCTCAATCCTTTCTCTTTCTAACTTCATGATAACTTTCATCCATCTGAAAGAATTTCTTTATAAATTTATATATATATATGAAATTCAACCTAAAACTCACATTTCACCGAGACCAGTTTCTCCAATAATGACACGTTGCTCAGTTATATTTTTTGTTGGATTTCAGATGGCATAAATAGATAAACAAAGTTCACGTGCAAAATATGCTTGCTTTTAATTTGTTTCCCAAAAAAAAAATTCATGAACTCTTTATTCAAATGCTCAAAACTGTGTTCACTCCTGTGTTTCCTCCGGGAATGCGTTGGCCTTCTGCTTCCCTTCAATCTCATTTTTAGGCACACTTTTTTCTTTTTTTTTCCCCCCCAATTTTTTTCTCTCCGAGTTCCCGGGAAATTGAAAATACACTGCTCTTTTTTTTTGAAACATTTTTTTCATTTTTTTCTTTTTCGGGTTTTCCGCCGATTTCCCGGGAAATAGTTTTTCCGCCAATTTTCCTTTTTCTATTTTTCCGTTGTTTTTCAAAACCCCGGGGTTTCAATTTTCAAAACCCCTCAGAGATTCGCTTCATTCAATTTTCTCTGTTTTACAATATCTGCTACAGTAACCCATTTCATTTATGGGAACTGATGTGAGACATCAAATTAGCGAAATGTTTTTGGCGATGAAAAATAATAATATATTTTCAATTCTCTACAAAATGAGTGAAATTTTTACATTTATCAAAACGTGTCCTAGTAAGCTTATCTACCCTGGTCATCTAAAACAACGTCATCAAAGCCAGTATAAAAAGAGCTTTTGATTTCTTATACATAATTATTCTTTCAATGGATTTTGAATCTATTCAGTCGGTCTGTGTGTCATTGCGAATGTTGCTCCTCAAATTAATTGCTCATTGTGATTGGAATGTATTGGAATCGAACCTCTTTGGCGGTACTAATGTTGATATATTTGCATGACGCCATAGAAATCAAACTAATTTCACTAATTTTCAGTGTTATGTTCACTTGTTGTGGTAGCGGTGATCGTAAAGAAGTTTACGTACCCTTTGTCAATGCCGAGGCTGTTATTGGGAGAGTTGATTTCTCGCCGGTTGTTTTTCACCCAGCTGTGCATTCACATTTTGTGGCTGCGTCAACCTTCGACATGTCGTCGTTGAAAGCTGTGTCAACAAACATTGGCCACAGTTCGCTGATGCTTTGGTAAGAGTTTAGATTTGCATGACGCTATAGAAATCAAACTAATTTCACTAATTTTCAGCTTCATGTTTGATTGCTTGCACGGCGATGTCGAAGAGCAAGTCTATGTGCCGTTTGTCAATTCGGAGGCTACGCAAGGACTTGTTGCAATTTACCACATCGAAACTTCATGTTCGGTTATTCGAAATTGGGAAAAACCTGAAATTCAAGCACAATTAATTCTCCAATGTTTGATTGTCATTGAGCAACAACGTAGGACTTTGTGTCCAGGATGTTTGAAGGTTAAAAATCCTGATTTGGTGATTGGAACCATCGACGTTGCATCTGCAATTATCAGTGCGTTCCCCGAATACCGTCATCTCTGTTCTCTACAAAGTGAGTTGATTTTTTGTGTTCCCACAAACAGTCATACAAAGTTGTCGTTTTGCAGGTCTCAAAAACGACGTAGCCGGACTGGTGTTTTGTGAAGAGGCCCAAATCAACAAATATCAAGCCATTAAAATGCGCCATTGGAGTCCTACAACATTCTGCAAACAAATGAAAATTGACAAGACTTGCAAGCTGTATGTTGAAGTGGTTGGCGAGGATCAATCGAGAATTTCCGTCGATGAGAAATCGATCCAAGAAGGAGAACTTGATACTGTTGAAGAGATGGAGGAGGACCTGGAGGCCACAACACCCCCGGTGGAAACAAATGAGCCAGGCTTTTGATTTGCTTTTTAATAAAGAGTCATGAAATAGTTTTGTGTCTTGGTTCTTTGAGCAATTTCCCGGGAAATTGGTAAATTTAGATAGAGGTCTCTAGTGAAAAATGAAGCCATCCAATGATGAAAATTTATTAATCCTTTTTAATTTTTTTTCGTGGAATTTCTTCATCCTCTTCATCACTCCTCTCAACATTTTTCACCTCGTTTGCATTTTTGTCGCAGGTTGGCTCCAATTGTATTATTGGAGGCAAGACACGTCGCCTGTTTTTATTTTTTGAAAGGTCACGGAATATAAAAAATTCAAACTTTTTCGATTTTTTTTTCGATTTCCCGGGAAATCGGCGAAAAATGGGAAAACAATTTTCGATCAAAAGCTTTATTCAGTCAGTAGGAAATGTGGAGCGCAATGTGTAGGTGGTGTTCAACAATTCGACGATTGATGTGGCAGATGTGACGTGGCCAAGTAGGAACTGGACTGACGAAAAACATCCAATGAAATCGTCGCATTCCGACTCGTATTTTTTCCGAAATTTTCCCAAAAAGTCGGAAAATCGGAAAAAGCGTTTTCCGTTTCCGCACAAGCCTGGCATTCACAAACTGGAAAAAATTGGGATTTGAGGTGTGGTGGTTTTGTAGTTCAGGGTTGGTGTTGTTTAACTTACTGTCGTTTGTGATGTATATGCCGTAGCTGTGGGTTGGCCAAATCTCAACAAATGAGCATTTTGTTGATCCAATGATCAATGACTCATACACCGCGTTTTTGTAAAGCCAGAATAAATCAGAGGTTGGGTGCCAACCGCATGAGTAGGACTGGTTGCTAGACATTAGAGCCATTAGGAATGAGCAACCCTCAGTAGCTGTGATGTTGTCGCCTGGAACTTAAACGTGGCTCAGATGACGTGTAGATTGCCACTACGAGATAAGAGGGCTATATAAGCAGAGGGTGGAGACTTCACAGATCATTGCTCCAAGTGAAGCCTTCTACGAATACAGCTCAAAATCTGATGTCGTCGCCCGTTGTTCCAACACTCTTGCCAAAACACTCGAAAAAACGACGTGCCGGAGACGCACCAAATCGGGAACCTACTCTCCAAAAACTCGGGAAATATTCGGTAAGCTTTGGGTTCAACTATTCCAATTTCCCGGGAAATCTTAATACCGCAATTTTCCGGGAAATAGCACTGGTTTTTTTTCCAGGAAGCCGATCCGCCGAGCAGCAGCAGCAGCAATGACCAAGCCATCAATGCCGTTCTAGGTTTTCAAGAGAAAATGAAGACAATTATCCAAAATCAGAAGAAGATCAAAGAATCGGTCCAATCTGCAACTCCAATATCAAATGACCTGGTCGAAAGTCCCGGATTGTTGAGGCTCAAACTTTCAACACTCAACGTGGCTGAAGAATGGATCGATGATGATGGTGATGCGAAGTTTGCCGCGAAGGTTATTGAGAGGTTGATGTTGTCGGTTGTTTTGGATTTGGTCAAAGTGCAGCACATCGAATCGTTGAGGGGGGACACACCTAGCAAATTGGGGCGTGTTCTGGCGCGTCTCGTTTGGTCCGATCTTAACGAGACATCGGTACGAGATGTTGACCAATTCGTCAAAGAGTTTTTATTCAAGTACTCGGCAACCAACGACGATGTGCACGGATCACTTATGAATTTTTCCTCATTTGTCCTCCCCAAAGCCAAGAAAACTGGGACAGTTTTGGGCGATGTAACATATGCTGGATATCTTAAGGATTCCCAACTTATGATTGAAGCACTTTTCCCAGGATGGAAGATTGGGGGAGCTCGGATGGGCTATGAGACTTCATTGATCCTCAAGAGTTCATTTGCTTTGTGTGCCAACAATTATAAAGGAGAGCTAGGGGGAACAAAAAAGGTGCATAAACGTTCAATGACGTCTAACGATGCGCTAATTTTGATGATGCAAAATTCGTCGGCAAATCGCATAATGTGGGACGACAAACGTAAGACGAGCTTTGGACTCATTCTTCTGATGTGTTTGACCGGTATTAGAAGTGGAAGTGTTCTGGACAGTAAGTTCATTATCTCCTTATCTTTTAGGACACCGAACCATTTTTTTCCAGACAGGAAGAAATTGACGAAAGTTGCCAGATATGACGAAGAAGCGGAAAGGAAAAGAAGATCGGTGTGCATCGATTCTTCGAAATTCAACGTAATGTGGGATGGTGACGAAGTTCATGTGTGTGTTAAAATATCGTATTCGAAGACAATAAGTTATTGTTCCGAAGATGCCCGGAGTTTATTAAACGAGAATCCGAAGTGCTCGAAATGTGAGTTTTGCTCTGCTTGACGCTAACGGTCCATAAAACCAACACATTTGCAGTTCGCCTGATATTTTCCTCTTTGCAAATCGTTGCCAACGTGAAATTTACCGTGGGAAGATGCCGGCCAAGTTGGTGGGATTGGTTGCTTTCGGTGTCGAACAGGTTTTAGGTGTTAGTCCATCGCAATATTCATCACGAAGCATGCGCAAAGGTTATGCATCCTCGTATCTTATGCACAACCTTCGAAACCGGTCAACCACAGATATAATCACTCGGAAGGAAGTGTTCGATGTTTTGACAACCTGCAAAAACTGGAGCGGTTCAAGTTGCGGAAAGTATGTCAAGGACGTTGTCAAAGTCGTTGAGGAGGAGTGTTCGGATGTGCAATCGGTTGGAGCACTGAGAGCGGCTTTTGAGAAGGCTCGACCAGCTGGGTGTGGAACAAGTGAAGCGAGACAATTTCGTATTAACTGGAAGAAGTTTTTGGACGGAACCAACAGCACTTTGGGAGTGAAAGAAATCGTAGAGGAACAAGAAGAGGAGTTTGTATGTTGAGTTGTTGTTGTTGGTTTTTGTGAAATAAAATTGGCTTCTATTGTAAAGCTTTGTGGTTTTGTGTCCGTCCCTATATCGCAGTAGAAAACATATTCCGTAGCCATTTCACGGTTAACACCGGCGAAAATCTTCCTGTTCAGTGCCAATTCTTCCCAACCAGGGTCTACACCAGAAAAGTGACTGTTGAGAAGGCGAAAATGAGAGTGGTCGAGATCAGGATGGGTGCGATTGTTGATAGAGGAAGTGTGAAGGTGAAAAACCCGGATTTGTTGATTGGAACTATTGACGTTGCATCTGCAATAATCAATGCGTTCCCCGATTACCGTCATGTGTGTTCTCTGCAAAGTGAGTTGATTTTTTGTGTTCCCACAAACAGTCATACAAAGTTACGTCGTGTTGCAGGTCTCAAGAACGACGTAGCCGGACTGGTGTTTTGTAAGAAGGCTGAAGTCAACAAATATCAATGCATCAAAATGCAACATTGGCTCCCAACAACCTTTTGCAAAGAATTGACAAAAATTTCAAGTTGTATGTCGAAGTAGTTGCAGGGGGTGAATCGAAAAATTTGGTCGTTGAAAATCTGGTCGATGACGAAGTGATGCATGATGAACTTGATACTGTTGATGCTCGAAAAATTATAAGAGTAAGTCCACAGAAATTTTATCATAAAAAATCACATATTTTGTTCCAGGGGTTCTCCGAATAAACATAATATGTAGTTAATAACTAAGTACATAATATGTTTCTAAAGTCTTTTTTTTTTATTTTCATTATTTTGGCAATTAAATTGCCATTGAAAAATCCAATTTTGGAAAATTTAATATTTATTCATGAAAATCAATTCAGATGTGGACACAAAACAGTCAAAAAGCAAGAATTTGTCAATATTGCGGAGCTCACAAAACCCCAAAGAATATGACAAAGGTCACAAAAAACCAATATCAGTTGAAAAAATGGATCGATATTCTTCTACCAAATTTTGCCAAAAATATCAAAAATAAAGTAATGCCAGTTCTAATTTGTAGAACACATTTTGATAATTTGGATAACTCTTGAACTCTTTAACCGATAGAGCAAGCAGGATTCAGGAGATCCTACTCAACAATAGATCACATTTCAACAATCCAAAGAATTCTCGAAGCGAGCCGTGAACATCAGATTCCACTAGTTTTGGTATTTGTAGATTACCACAAAGCGTCGAACCAACATATGTCCATATTTTTAGCCTCTATTCCACGATTTTTTGCGACTTCAGCTGAAGTCGCAAGCGCCAGTTTTCAAGAAAAAAATAATCGATAGGGTACTGTAGTTCTCTTGAATTCTGTGCAAACACACATTGCGTACGGTTGGCATTGCATTTGAAATGACGCGCACTTATTTTTATTTTTTCTTTTCTTCGGTGTTTGATTGTGAGGCTTTTTTGTTCGAAAGTTGATGTTTTTCTCAGTTTTAGCGTAATGAAAAATAGTCTGACAACTTTCAGTTTATAGAACGTGATTTTGGGCTGAAATATTATTAATTTCCCAATTTGTTTTTTACAGTTGTAAATACTTACGAAATTCCCAACACCTCTTCACAATTCCCTCCAAACTACAATGGATTGATAGCTGGAAGCGCGTGTAGTCAAGAGGTAAATTTTCGTGGTTTTTTTTGGAATCATAGTACAAATCAATTTCAGTACACCCTTTGCTTAAATGGAATTCAACAAGCAGCTGTTTGCCAAAAAGGTTTTGTATTCTATGAGAATGCATGTGTTACTATTGAAAACTCGCCTGAATCAGACAAAGTGAAGAGTAAATGGAAAATGGTTATCAATCGCAGTCACCAATACAAAATAAAGTGGAAGCTGAAGATTTTGGTTTGTTATTTTGATTGTGAATTTACAAAAGTTCAATTCAATTATTGTTATTTTATAGATCGAAAGAAGACGGAACATATCAGAACGATTGGAGCAATGTTGTATTCTTCAAATATTCGAATGGACAGACTTCCAATGTTTTGTCCATCAATTTTAGTTGATCTTGCTGAATAAAATCAATGTTTGGAATCATGCGATGATGTCCCAACACGAGTTGAAATTCCAACCAATACGGGAACAAAAAGCACCATTTACTGATGAAGTTTGTGACGAACCAACAATTCAAAGGCTTGAAAGCTGGATTTTCAGCCAAAAATGCTGAAAATCCGAAATTTCCAGCTTTTTCTGCACCCAAAAGCATGAAATATGAGAATTCTTGCTTTTGGGCTGAGGAAAAAATGGATTTTCAGCCAAAAATGCTGAAAATCTGAAATTTCTAGTTTTTTCTGAACCCAAAAGCTTTAAATATGAAAATTCTTGCTTTTGGGTTGAAGAAAAAGCTGGATTTTCAGCCAAAAATGCTGAAAATCTGAAATTTGCAGCTTTTCCTGAACCCAAAAACTTGAAATATGAAAATTCTTGCTTTTGGGCTGAAGAAAAGCTGGATTTTCAGCCAAAAATGCTGAAAATCTGAAATTTGCAGCTTTTCCTGAACCCAAAAACTTGAAATATGAAAATTCTTGCTTTTGGGCTGAAGAAAAGCTGGATTTTCAGCCAAAAATGCTGAAAATCTGAAATTTGCAGCTTTTCCTGAACCCAAAAACTTGAAATATGAAAATTCTTGCTTTTGGGCTGAAGAAAAGCTGGATTTTCAGCCAAAAATGCTGAAAATCGGAAATTTCTAGTTTTTTCTGAACCCAAAAGCTTGAAATATGAAAATTCTTGCTTTTGGGCCATACATAAAATGGGTCCCCAGAATCGGGGTGATGGGCTTAATTTTTTTGAAAATCTGAAGGGAAGGGTGCCTAATTTGGCCAATTTTCTGCTGATAATTTACCAAAATTCCCAGATTTTGTCCAAAAATGTGAGGAAGGTGTTTAACTTTGGAAAATTTTCAAGGAGGGACCCTAACTTTGAAAACAGACTCGGGGGACCTATTTTATGTATGTTTTGGGCTGAAGAAAAGCTGGATTTTCAGCCAAAAATCTGAAATTTCTAGTTTTTCTGCACCCAAAAGCTTGAAATATGAAAATTCTTGCCTTTGGGTTGAAGAAAAGCTGGATTTTCAGCCAAAAATCTGAAATTTCTAGTTTTTCTGAACCCGAAAGCTTTAAATATGAAAATTCTTGCCTTTGGGTTGAAGAAAGGCTGGGTTTTTAGCCATAAATGCTGAAAATCTGAACTTTCCAGCTTTTCCTGAACCCAAAAGCTTGAATTGTGAAAATTCTTGCTTTTGGGTTGAAGAAAAGCTGGATTTTTAGCCAAAAATGCTGAAAATCTGAAATTTCCAGTTTTTCTCGAACCCAAAAGCTTGAAATATGAGAATTCTTGCTTTTGGGTTGAAGAAAAGCTGGATTTTCAGCTAAAAAATGCTGAAAATCTGAAATTTTCAGTTTTTCCTGAACCCAAAAGCTTGAAATATGAGAATTCTTGCTTTTGGGTTGAGGAAAAGCTGGATTTTCAGCCAAAAATGCTGAAAATCTGAAATTTTCATTAAAAAATCAAGAAAATCTGAAAATGTTGCAACTTCAACAATTCAACTAATTCCAGAAGTCACATCTGGGTATTCGGTCAATTCCAATCAAGTTTGCCAAAACGGACAGAATACAAGCTTCGGATCATATGCTTCTCGTTTTTCAAAATGTCAAAACATTGTTCGAAAGTGATATTCTTCTTCTTTTTTGCATTTATGAACTTCCAAAATGTCAACCAATTCTCGAGACGTGAGTTTTTCTTTTTTTTTATTAGAACTGGCAAAAATGAGACGTGTTTGTCTCTGGTACCAACATTTTTTTTACAATTAGAAGTGCCAATTCAAAAAAAAATGTGTAAAGTATAATACAATTTTTTTCCACGTTCTTCATTTCTAAATATTTCTCGAAATTTATGGGATTTTCGTGACCCTTAATCCATCAATTTTTAAAAATCTAAAATTTTATATGAGAATTATTTGAAACAGTGATTTTTTGGTAAATATTATAATTTTCTAATTTTTTTTAAAAATAATTTTTTAAATGGTTTTTTTCAAAAATTTTTCTAAGTCTAATAAATGTGAAAAAATTATGGGTGTTTCCAGCGACTTCCAACATAGCTCTTCAAATTTGAAAAATTGATTTCCGTATTCAAGAAATTCAGAGATTCTCTTTACAAAATCGCAAAACTACCAGAATTTTTTTCAAAGATAATCACAAAATTTTCCATTAAAAACCTGAATTTCAATTGAAACAGTGATTTTTTTGGGAAAACCTTTAACTTCTGAAATACATCGTAGCAAAAATTCTTCTGAAGTTTAAGTTCTATATTCAAAATTTATGGGATTTTTCATAACGTTAAATCCATCAATTTTTAAAAATCTAAAATTTTACATGATAATTATTTGAAACAGTGATTTTTCGGGAAATATTATAATTTTCTAATTACTCCAACTGAATTCTGCAATAAAATTTTCCAGCGACTTTCAACATTGCTCTTCAAAGTGGCATAAATGGATGCGTTCAAATGTGCTCGTAGATTTGGATTCCACTCAAATATCAACAATGTGAAATCTGCAACTCAACTCGAAGTCAAAGGATCTGGTTACAATTCGCATTCACACAAACTTTGCTCGTTCCGAATCTGCTGCTCAATTATCATATGAAAGAGTCGTTGCTCAATTTCAATAATTCGATTATGAAGGTGCTGATGCTGATTGTCAAGGAAAATCCATCTGATTGTTCAGCAATTCTATAGGTTTGTTAATTTTTTAACGTAAAACATGACGTGGCAAATTCCATCTCATTTTCTGATTTAGAAAAACAATCCTAATTTTCAGCATTCGTCTCATTCTCAGCGAGTTTTTTGACGGGATTTCAAATGTGGTCAAATCTTTTTGGTCTTTCAAAATTTTAACAAACACTTGGATTTGGTTTGATTTTCTCCCGGAAAGGTCGGTTTTGTTTTTGCAAAAATATTCAAATTCTCATACAAAATCATTTTCAAATGATAAGATTTGAAATATAAAATTGAGGAGAATTTAAGGAGAATCAAAAAAATTCCACACCCAAATATTGCGCTGAAAATCATGAAAACGTCGATTTTCAGATGCTTTCAGCATTCTCATCATGATTTTCAGCACAAAATTTGGGTATAGAATATTTCCTGCATTTTCTAATCAAAAAATTTCACCAACAATTTTACTTTAAAGCCAAAAATTTTAGAAACCAAAATTCTGTGCTGAAATTTATGAACTCATTGAATTCACGATTTCCAGCACAAAATTTAAGCCTGTATTTTTTTTTTGAATCTACAAGACTCAAAAATTCAGCAGTTTTACTTCAAAATATATATGAAAATCGAGTTCGGTTGATCTTGAGCTATAAAAATCAAGGTAAGTTCTTTTTCTTCAAAAATTTGATTTGATTTATTTGTTCTGTTATTTTTTGTTTCATAAAATAATAAATTGTTTTTTTTCTCAAAATTGTGTTATGTATTTTATTTTTGATTTTTAAAGAGTTGAATTCTCTTAGAATTCTTGTATTCAAATGGATTCGAAAGGACGTGTAAAAGGTGAGATTTTTGGGAAATATTAGGATTTAAAATTAGTCGAATGAGAATGACTGAGATTTAAAAAAAAAAGATTTTCTAGACTGAAAATTGATTGAAATTTTTAGAAAAACAGGTGTCATTCGAAAAATTTGAAGAATTTTCAAACAAAACTTATGCGAGGAGATTGTTTCATAAGCAGTTTCCATTTTAAATTATTCGAATTTTCAGGATTTATAAAAATTAATTTTGTTTTTCCCTTCAAAAATCCGAAATTGAAGAATCTAATCAAAAACCTGTTTTTGAAAATATTTTTCTTCCAGATTAACCATCAATATTGATTGGAACGTGTCGATTATCAACTCGCTGGATTTTGGATGGAAATTTGTGATTTTTCACCTCCGGAACATCAAGCTTTAAAAATCACGTGAGTTTTTCCCTTTAAAAATGTTATAAATTAAAATTGAAAAATATGATCTGATTGGGAATTTTTCTAAAATATTTTTCACTGTCATGAGAAAATTTTGAATTTTGAAATTCAGTCCCAAAAAACATTGATATCATATTTTGAATAACAAATAAAAACGTGAAACATGACGTGGAAAATCATTGATTTCATTTTTCGAATAAAAAACCATTTCAATTTTCAGCGAGTGTTCAAGCTTTTTCAACTACTGGAAAACATGCGGATTTGAATCATCGGAGGATAGGAAAAAGGCGGAATTTTGAAGCAATAGCTGAGAAAATATCGATTGATAACAAAGATCTCGTCTCCTGACACCTATATAGTTCCAGAAGAGGATTGAGGTAAGATTTTGACAAAATTCAAAACTATTTTCAAAATCAAGCATATTTAGGCCGACTTCAAAATGTTCAATTCCATTCAATTTCCATCAAGAAGTATTGATCGAATGTCGAGCTGAAATTCCAGAAGAATCCGAAAAATTATCAATGGGAAATGATATTGTTTAGTAGAATTTTTTGTGAATATATTTGCTTTTTTTCAAATTTTAATCATCATAAACCTTCCAAGTACAGTATAGTTCTGAAATTTTTTGTTTACAAATCGTTTGAAATCGAATTGTAATATTATCTCAGAAAAAGTATTGACTTGTGCTAAAAATTGATCGAAATTCTTGGGGAATTTTGAATTGGACCCGATTTTGATAGTTTTTGAATCGGATCAAGGTGACAAATTTTGATAAGAAACTGATTTTTGAAAAAAATCGGGAAATTATCAAAAATGGTCCGATTCAAAAATTACCAGATTCCTGAACGCGATATTTTTCTCTAAACTCCGTTCTTTTGAATTTTCATTGTTTTCAATAATTTCGCAAAACTTACAATTACATTATCATCAAAAAATCAATTTTGATTTCGGATTTCCGGGTTCGATTCAGTCTGAATCATTCAGACTTTTCTCAAAAATTCGGACCTTTATTTTTTGGGAGTCTTGGAACAAATTCCACTGAAAACATTAAAAAAATACCGATGCGATATTTTTTTCTAGAGTCTTTTTTATTTTCATTATTTTCGCAATTAAATTGCCATTGAAAAATCTAATTTTGGAAAATTTAATATTCATGAAAATCTATTCAGATGTGGGCACAAAACAGTCAAAAAATGAGACTGTGTTGTTATTGCGGAGCTCACAAAACCCGAAAACATATGACAAATGTCACCAAAAACGAAATTCAGTTGAAAAAATGGGTGGATATTCTTGGACCGGAGTTCGCCGCAAATATCAAAGATCGAAAACAGCCACCATTAATTTGCCGCATTCATTTCGATAATTTAGATAATTCAAAAATTCGTGATTGGTGTGAGCTCCCGAGAAAAGATGAAAATGTCGATTTCTGTGAGTTGATTTGAATTTTTTTGAAAAATTGCAAATTCAAAAACAACACATTTTCAGTGGTGCCAAAAAACCCAATGAAAAAGGAGAAGATTATCAAAAAATCGGCCAAAACCCCCAAGCAAATCGATATTCCTGAAGTTGAAATAGTTGGCGAAGGAGAAGATGATGAAACCCCAAGAATTGTTTCTGCCGAATGTCGTGTTTGTGAAAGACATCGAAAAGTTAAAAATATGACTGAAGTTCCAAAGGATTTCGATAAATTGTTGAAATGGTTGAAGGTTTTCGGCGAAGAATTTTATAAAAATTTGAAGGCAAATGATGGTCAAAATTTTATTTGTTTGGTGCATTTGAAGGACATTTTGGAAAAATTGGCCTGAATTGTTTTGATTTTTGCTTTAAATATCCTTGTTTTTGTTATTGTAAATGAATTTTGTTTATTATTTTCAATTGAAAATAGTTTGTTTTTGATTCTGTTGAATTATACCAAATACCTACTTTTCTGTTTAAAAAATCAAAAATTGGGAGCTGGCGAATTTCGATTTGGATGCTGAAAAACAGGTTAGTATTTTTGGGGGGAAGTTTTTAGACCAGAAACTTGGCGTTTTCCCCAGAACACTCCCTAAAAGTATCCGAAATCACAGCGGGAAAAAATTCACTAGTTTCCACAGATTTTTCCATTTTTTGCCTCTATTCCACGATTTTCTGAGATTTCAGCGCCAATTTTCAAAAAAATAATCGATAGGGTACTGTAGTTCTCTCGATATCTGTGCAAACACAAAATGTGTACGCATTGCATTTGAAATGACGCGCGCGTATTTTTATTTTTTTTCTTTTCGCTGGCGTTTGAGAGTTTTTTTGTTCGAAAGTAGATGTTTCTGTTTAGTTTTAGGGTAAAGAAAAAATAGTTTGACAACTTTTAGTTTGTAAAACATGATTTTGGGCTGAAATTAACCAAAAATTCATGAATTTTGAGTCAATTTCCGTGAAACCTTGATTTATTTTTCAAAACGAAAGCATTTTCTCCATCATCGCAAAAAATACGTTTTATAGATAAATTCAAATTGTTTCAGAGCCGAATCACAAATGCTGGTTTGCAGTGTTGTCGATTTTTGTGTTGGAAAATGATTTTGGCATGAAAAATCATTTGTGGAGATGAAATTGATTTGCACGAAGGCCAATTTTTGCACATCAAAAAGGTAAAGGGATTTCTGGGAGGAATTTTGAAGAAAATTATGTAATTTTGGAGAAAAGTCAAATTGGACATATCCAATTGTCTCTGATACATCATTCAATTCAGAATTTCAAGTGAAAGACGCAGACAATGTCTATCATCCACGATTCCACCAAAAAATTACAGAATCAAGAACTTTTTGTACAAAAAACCAAAAAACGTGGAATCCTGGCAGTGTCTGCGTCTCTCACTTCTGAGTTGTGTCTTCTCGAAATCCTGGCACATTTTAGACCTCTTTAGCCTGAAAATACGTGTACTTAGAATAGGTTTCAAGAGCTAAACATTTTAGAGCAAAAGTAAAAAAGAAATTCTGAATCGAATGATGTATGTATCAGAGACAATTGGATATTCCCCCGTTGAAAAGCGAATCTTCTCATCGATGTTTTTTCCAGCTTCCGCCAACTCAGAGATTTGACGGGTCAAACAGTGACAAAAAACTTGAAGAAAGCTGTTGATGAAATCAAGAAAAGTATTGGACAACGCATTTTTGACAAGAAGAATTAGCGGATCCTGATAAATTGATTTCGCCTAGCTGATATTTTTGTGAGTTTTTTGGATGGAAAATACGGAAAAATCAATGATTCAAAAATGTTAACAATAACAAAAAACCCTAAAATTTAGAATTGTTGAGAAAGCTCTAATTTTGATAATCCTTCTCGAATTATCAAAATTAGAAAAGAAAAAACCCAGAAATCAAAATCTCATTTTCTGATGAAAAATTCTCTGGAGAAAATGTTGAAAACCCTTTGAAATTTCTAGCTGAAAACAAGTTTACTCCAAAGTTTGGAAAGGGATAAGCTTTCCAGACCAACATTTTGCGCTGAAGATCATGGTTTTCAGCATTCTCATGATTTTCAGCACAAAATCTGGGTCTGGAAATATTTTTTCTGAATTTTCAAATCTTACTTTGGTGAAAAATGATTTCTGCGCTTGGAATCATGAAATTATTGAATTCCGGAAGTTTTCAAATGATTTTTTTGAATTTTCAGAGCCGCGAAAAACGTCGAACTCAACAATACGAAATTTGATTCCCTTGCCAAGAAAAAGAGGAAAAAACGAAGAAAAATAGCGGATAAAAAGGAGAAATCAGAAAGATGAGCTCAAGGAAGACGAAAAACCGGTTGAGAAGATTTTGGCGGAAATCGAAAGCTTGTGAATTATCGGCCAGCCAGAAGAAGAAGAAGAGCTTGAAATAGAAAGGTAGGAAGTTTTCCTTGAATTTTGAGAGAAATCGGAATTCTTCATGTTAACATTGAGAATTTTGATGAAAATAAAAATGATTTTCATGAATTTTTGAGCTATGGAGCTCGAAAATTCGATGAATTTCGAGCTCTAGAGCTTGGAAACTTGAAAAAAGCGGAAACTTGATCGAAAATAAAAAAAATCATGGTTTTTATGAATTTTCGACCCCTCCTGGATGTTGAAAATCAGAGAATTTGAGAAAATTGGAGCATTTTGAGCCATGGGCCTAGGAAACATAAGAAAAAACTGAATTCATATCAAATTTTGAGCGAAAATTCGAGATTTTTGTGAGAAAATTAGTCTACGAGTGCGATTTTTGAAATTTTGAGCAAAAAGTTGGTCTTGAAACGACTATTTTTAATCATGTACCTTTGAAAGATGATTTTCTGGGTCCTACCACGAATGATTCTGAAATATCTGTGGACGTTGATTCAGTAATGATAATTTTTGAGTTTTGAGCTTGTGATTTTTGGATTTTTAGTCCAAAAATGGGTCTAGGAAGAGGTTTTCTCATATTTTTTTTTGAGAGAAATTTTGAAGATTTGGAGTCATGGAAATTCACAATTTTCGTGCAGGTATCTTCAAAATCAGATTTTCTAGTCGTGAAACAATAATTTTTAGGTCTCACCACGAAAAATCTAAGAATTGTAATTTTAAAATTGCATTGCTCATGTTATGCTCTGAAATTACGTTAAAATGTCGAGTTTTCATGGAGATTAGACATTGCTCATATCAAACTCAACCTTTACTTCAAAATTGGTAAACAGTTTTTTTGCGCTGGAAATCTCATTGAATTTCAGTGATTTTGAGCTTTCAACAAAGCGAAAATTTGAATATTTTTGATAAAAATAAATATCGAAATATGAAAATCGATATTTGTTGATCTCAAAAAAGAAATAAATAATCAGGTAAGTTTTTTTTTCCAATATTTTATTTGATCAATTTTTAATTGTGAGTTTTGTTTCATGAAATAATAAATATTTTTCTCAATTTCCAATGTGTTATGTAATTTTTTTTTTCGAAGAGTTGAATTCTCTTACAAGTTCTTGAATGTTAGAATTCTTGAATTCAAATGGATTTCGAAAGGACGTGTAAAAGGTGAGATTTAAAGGGGGATTTTGTGAAACCGGGAAATGTTTTTAAAAAGAAAAGTTTTTGTTTCGGGAAATTTTGAATCGTAGAACTTTATACTTGATATTTTTTCTCAGAAAAATCTGATTATTCAATTTTTGAAAATAATTTTGGATCAGATTCGAATGAACGAGTAAATATGATGATTTTGAGATATGGGAATCAAGTTTACAAAAAAAAAATTATGAAAATTTATGTTAGATGATATTTATTTGAGAAATAGAAGCAAATAATTTGTGAGATCTGATTGTTTGATTTTTGAGCAATTTATTTTCATCAACTAGATTTTTGGTATCCTGAAACTGAAGTTTCCAGCCAAACTCTTGAATTAAAAAATTTCAAATTTTTTAAATATCGGAGAGAGTTTTGACAGACGGGAATTTGAATTTTGATAAAAAACAAAACCAAATTTCACTTTTTCCTAGCTTCGAAAACTTTTAATTAGTCTGAAGTTTTCTGGTAATCTTGAAATTTCAAAATTTTGATGTCGAAAACTTCAGAGCACATATTTTGAATGTGAATTTCATGAAAATCTTTGAAAATTTCGGAGAATTCATAAGTTTATTTCATCAAAAGGATATCCATATTTTTCCAGACATTGACATCAATATTTATTATTTTGATGGTCTTCGGCAACTTCAAATGAACAAGAAGAATCTGAAAATGATGAAAAAAGAAGATGGATTTGAAGATTATGGAAATTGGTTAGGAGTGAATAATTTATCGATTGGAACAAATTGAAGTGCTGAAAATGTAAGTTTTTTGGAGAAGATTTTCGTTTTCAATGAAAAATCCTTGTTTTTTGCAGGTTGTGGATTTGGATTAGAGTTTGGATAATCGCGGGCGGGTTCGGAAGTTTGTCTCGGACGGAATGGATTGAGATGTTTCGTTTTTTTGCACCAAATTTTGACCAGGATTTTTTTCAAGGTTAGTTTTTTTGGGGGGAATTTCTCAAATATTTTGAAGTTTGGCTGTGATCTGAATTTTTTGAATAAATATTGAAAATTCTCAAATTTTGTTGTTTTTTTGTTGTTATTTGAGGTTTTTGAAGCCTCTGAAGATATTTTTGTTGTCAAATGATTTTTGTTGAAAAATGCGATTTTTAGAGCTATGAAACGAAATCGTTCTGCTAAACATGAAATTCGCGGTCTTAGAATGGGAATTTACAAAAAACAAATGAAAAATGATTCAATTTTGAAAGATGTCAGAAAAGTGGACATCAATTATTTTGCAATTAAATATTTTGGATATAAAAATCGTCATGGATTTTCACAAGAAGTCAAGGAGCACTTATTTATATTCAGAAAATTCATGGAAAATTTCAAAAGTTGTTGTAGTAAATTAGAACTGTGCAACAAATATTCTCCAGAAAAACTTGATGATAATTTATCGGAATTTATGACTGAAATTGGCTTGGATAGGGAACTATTCGACTATTTGAGGTTTGTGAAACCGATTTCTGGATATTCGAATGTCTGGCACTTTATTATCAATGAGGAACAATTGAAGGAAGCTGAAAAATTTGGTAAATTTTTATTTTCTATTTTGATTTATTATTCAAAGGTTAATTTTCAGTTTCGAAGCTTTCGATTTTGTCAAAAATAAATGATGAGAAGTTGCGAAAACTGACAAATCATGGAATATTACACATGATTATTCGAGTTATCATTGATAGTTATCGATGTTTGAAGAAATTCGAATTCGATAAACATGACACTATTTGGTGGGGACAGGATTGTGGAATGGAAACTGGAGGAGATGCTGAAGGAAGGAGATGCTCGAAAATCGAAGTGGCTGATGTTGAAGATCGAATTGCAAGTATTGCATCTGGCCGAATTGATGGTGATGTAATTGGAGAATCTGAAGAAATCGATTCGAATGTTGTGATGGTTGAGAATCCAGAAATTGTAAATGAGAATGAGAGCTTGGAAGAACCGCTTCATAATAATCCAGTCAGTTTTTCTCTCATTTTTTTCTTCCCAAAATGAAGTTATACATGATTTCAGGCTCCAGTTGCTGCGCAATTCAACGAATTTTTGAAAATCGTCGAAAATTCGCCAGATGTTCCCGATTATTGGAAATATATGGCGCATGAATTCAACAGAATCAATGGAGAAGAGACGGGAAAACTTGCGAGTCTTGATGGAAACTTTTAATTTTTGTTTGTTAAATTTTGTTATTTTTGTTTTTGAATTTGTTGTTTTGTGAATGAAATTTTGTTGTTTTTTCGAGATTAGAAATTGTTTGAAGTTTTTGGGTTTTTTAAAGGGGGGGTAAGACGACAAATTTTTTTTGTCGCAAAGTTAAAGGCTCCCCAAAAGTAGTAAAACCTCCAAGGGATTTTTTCTGGAAACGCTCAGAAAAAATGTTCCATAAACTAGGTACCACGTATAGCTATACGTTAAAATTATTCCATAAACTTTCGGACAACGTATAGCTATACGTTGAAAAAAGTTCATGGAATATTTTTTTCGGACCTTTTTAGGCCCTTCGAGAAAAAATCCCCTGGGGCTTTTACTATTCAAAGGGAGCCCGATTCATTGAGCAAATAAAATTTTGTCGTCTTACCCCCCCTTTAACCCATTTTGTATTTTTTGAAATTAATTTTTAAAAATTTTCTTCGAAGCTAATTGGGCTAAGGCTTCAGGCTCTAAAAATAGGCTTTGGGAATTTTTCGGGGCTTGTAAAGGGCTTCAGGCTTTGAAAATAGGCTTTCGGACTTTTTTGGGGCTGGCAAAGGGCTTCAGGCTTCAAAAATAGGCTTTGGGAAATTTTTGGGCTTTGTAAAAGGCTTCAGGCTTCAAAAATAGGCTTTGGGAATTTTTTGGGGCTTGTAAAGGGCTTTAGACTTCAAAACTAGGCTTTGGGAATTTTTGGGCTCATTTTGCTCAGAAAAAAAGTTGTGGGCTTCAAAAATGGGCTTGTGTGGCTTCTAGCTTTTTTGGACCCGAAACTCATTTTTCTTCTGTGAATTCTTGGCTCAAAAATTCAAAAAAAGGCTTTTCGATATTTCCTGATTCAAAATCTCCAGAAAAATTATTCACCAAATATTTCAGATAACTTATCTAACATGATTAATTTTGCCAATCGACTCACATATTTGGAAGGATCGAAAGATCGAAATATTTGGAAAGATATCGATTTGGATAGTCGAAAATTTACCGAAAAAATCATCGGAAGAACAACGTTGAGAAAAATGAAGGGAAAATATGTGGAGGTTTTGAGTGATAAAATTGATGCGAGTTTGGCGGCTTATGCGGATTTATCATTGGAAATCGAGTGAGTTTTTTCGGGTCTTCAAATTTTTGATGGAAAAAAACATGCTAAATGCCACGTGGATTTTTTTATTCTAAATTTTGTTGCAGCCAAAAAATCAGTTTCCACGTGGCATAATTTCAGCTTAAAAAATCGAAAAATCACATCTAAACTTCCCAGAAAATTTACTGTTTCAAAATTGTTATTCAAAAATTGGATGAGCTCATAGAAAATGCCACGTGGATTTTTTTTAATTCAGAATTTTTTGGTGGAGATTCCACGTGGCATAATTTCAGCATCAAAATCGAAAATTTACTGTTTCAAAATTGTTATTCAAAAAAATTGGCTGAGGTCATAGAAAATGCCACGTGGATTTTTTTAATTCAGAATTTTATTGTCGTCAAAAAATGAGATTCCACGTGGCATAATTTCAGCTTAAAAAATCGAAAATTTACATCTAAACTTCCCAAAAAATTTACTGTTTCAAAATTGTTATTCAAAAAAATTGGCTGAGCTCATAGAAAATGCCACGTGGATTTTTTTGTTGTGAATTTTTGGGCGGCAAAAATTCAGATTCCACGTGGCATAATTGGTGCTTCAAAAAAATGTTCTCGAAAAAATAGCTTCATTTTTTCTCGATGAATTTATGATTTCAAAGATCTGAAAAAATGCCACGTGGATTTTTTAAATTCAGAATTTTTCTCGAGAATAAATTCCCAGAAAAAACGTGAACGTGACCTAGTTTTTTTTTTACAAATTTCTGGAATTTCCCTGATTATTTTCGTTTTTTTTTGCAGCTTGATGGAATCATTGAATTTGGCAGAACTTGTGAGGAAAGTATTGGATGTTGATTTTGTATTTGAAGGAAAAATCGATATAAGTGATTATGATAAGCATCTGATCACATATTCACTCACACGAAAAGCAATGCTGAATGACCAAGTCGTCGATGAATTTTTGATTGATCCAATTCTCAACCAAAATGACGAAATTCTCCTCAAACTCTTCGCAATTTATATCCAATTTGCTGTTGATTTATTGAGGAATCTCTTTATTGTTCAAATTCGAGATGATTTTATTGTTGGATGGATTCCGAGATTCGGAAAAGTTCGAGATTTGGTTGATACGCCGATTGCTTTTGCGCCGTGTTTGAGACCGAGATCGAGAATTTATGAGGAAATGTTCGAAAATGGGGAAATTATGGAACTGGATGAGAGAAAAATGAAGAGAAGAAAAAAGACGACGTTACTCAATATGGTGAGTTTTTTGGGGGGAAATTACTGAAAAATATGCAATTTTAATGCCAGATATTTCATGTTAAAATTAAAATTGAAGATCTTAAAATCCACGCTGAAATTGAAGTTTTCAAATTTTAGAGCTACTGGAAATGCACCAGCAAATTTCAGAGCTTCTAAGAATGCGCCAGCAAACTTCGAAGCTTCCAAATTTGCGTCAGCAAATTCTAGAGCTTCTAAGAATGCTTCAGCAAATTTTGGAGCTTCTAAGAATGCGCCAGCTCGATTTTCAGCATCCAGAATTTATTTCAAAAATCTTTCTTTTGACAAAAATTTTGAAAAGTCACGAAGTTTTCAAAATCAAATTCTGTGTCTAAAATCAATTTTTTGTCATGAATTTTTGTTCTCAAGAAAAACATTTCCAGATCATCGACGAAAATGGCTCCGATCATCAAGCCTTCAAACTCGCCTTCCCAAAATCTCCGAAAATTCTTCAAAACCACTCAGTAAAGCGATTTTTGTTGGAAGAAATTGAAATTTATCGAAAAAACTCGAGAAAAATGAAGAGATTCGAGCAAAAGTTCACGATTTTGAGACGCATTTTTGGACGAAATCGAGTTGTTCATATGGAAAAGTTGAAGAAATTGTTGATTTTGAATGAGAAGATTTTGTTGGATAAGAATACTTGTATGGAATATATCGAATGTCGTAAGTTTCAAATTTTGGGGGGTAATTAAAAATTTATGGGGCTATTCATGTATTTTCTCAGCATGTTGAGAAAACAGGAGAAATGCGGAGAAAATACATTTTCTACGCTTTTTTCGTATTTTCTCAGCCTACCTGAATAGGTTTTCTCCGCTTTTCTCCCGTTTTCTCAGCGTTGAAAAATAACATGAATAGCCCCATTAAAAAAAAGGTTCTTCAAAATCTCAAAAATCCAAAAATTACAGTACCCGAAAAAAAATAAAATTTAGTTTCTAAATTCTCAAAATGTCCGGCTTATTAATTTTACTACCTAAAACTTCTCAAATGTCTGCTACAGTACACCTATATACTAAATATTCAAAAAAAATATTCTGATTAATTCGAAATGTTAATTTCTTTCAGTGAATCCGAAATTATTCTACAAACAAAAGTCTTCGCATTTCTGCAAACTTGCCATTGTTCGCCTCATTTTACAAACATTTGTGGAGATTCAGAAAAAGCTTGCAAATATTGGATAAGTCAAGTTTTTCTTGTATTTTGTTATTTTTTGTTGTTATTTGTTGTTCTTTTTGTTATTTTTCTTGAATACCCTTTTTGTTTTTTTTTCGTTGAATTTGAATTTGAAAATTGGTTTGAAAACCAAATGAAATACTTATTTTGTGGGAAAAATCGAAGAAAAATGATTGGAATTGTGAATAACTTCGAGGAGTACTGTAGTTTTTAAAAAATCATGATAATTTTGCAAGTGAAATTTATTTTCAAAAATATTTTTTATAACATTTTGTGAAATTCGCACTGAAAATCGTAGGAATACTGTAAACATCTCAACATTTTGGAAATAAAATTCATAAGTATTTTCGGCGCCAAAAATCTAGTGAATCCGGAAAAAAACTTAAAAATCTGAAAATATCTTTAGATATTTGAAAATTTTTTCAGATGCCTGATTTTCCCAAAAATATCAACAGTTTGAGATCAGCTCTACTTGCTGGCGCAAAAAGAACAAATCCTGAAACGCTGGATAATATTTTCAAATCACTTGATGCAATCGAAACATCAATGGAAAAATTTATGGAAGGGCCAAATATTGAAGAGAGGAATGCGATTTGTATTGCAAAAAATCAGAATGATATTGGATATATTGGTGGTGTGAAGAAAAAGGAGAAGAGAAAGAACAAAGTGAGAGATCGCGTCGATGTGGGACAATTTGGAATTGTATGTTCGGACAAAATCAAGTCCAAACTTCCCAGTGGTTGGCGTCAAATTCCAACAGGACTCTTTACAAGCAATAGATACATATGGAGATATCCAACTATGACAACTCTCGGATATGTAAGTAACAGGAGTCGGCTTAAAATTGGGTTCATATTTTATGTAGACCCCAATTGAACAACATATGTTTTCAAAAAAAAATGGTCAACTTATCTTATTTTTCAGATCTACACTAATTCGAGAAATGCTGAAGTAATTATGAAATATTGGACTGGATTGAAAACTCGACTCGTTTGTTTTTATGATAAAAACAAGCCTATTGATGATGTAACCAGAGAGAAAATGGTGAAAAATAATTGGATTATTAATCAGATTGTGGATTTACCAATGCAACTATCTTCAATGTCTTCATCCAAACCGCCTGAGGTTAGAATTTCTGATTTGAAAATTTGAAATGAAAAAATTGCTTTGAAAAAAAAATCAATTTCTATTTTAAAATTTGATTAAAACTGGAGTTTTTGAATAATCAAGAGATTCTTTTCTCAATTTCAAATATTATTCGCTGAAATTTAAAAAAAAAAAACAATGTATATATTTTTCCAGAATTCGTCTGCAACTAGAAGTGCAAAAATTGCCAAAATTGCACAAAAACCATCAAATGAGAAATTGGTAGGCAATTTTCAAAAATTTTCAAAAAAAATCGATATTTTTACAGCCAAGTTCTTCAAGCTCGTTTGTCCCCAATCTTGTAAGTTTTCAATTTTTTTGAAACTAATTCTAAATACAAAAAAATTATAGATTTTCAGAAGATGAAGTTCAATTTTGAAATTCAGAAAAGATTCTTGTTTCCAATTGTTGAATTTGAAAATGAAAAAAGTCTTTCTAATTTTTATTTTTGACTCAAAAAATCTCCTTAAGAAATGTGTTTTTTTTCAGAAATCGAGTGATTCTGGAAGTGCAAAGATCGGCCTAGTTTCACTACAACAACAACAATCTACTGTAAAAATGGTGAGCAATTTTAAAAATCCCTATCAAAAAATCTAATTTTTTATAGCCGAATTTCTCCACCGAATTCAAAATTGGCCCATTTTTACACGGTGTAAGTTTTTGTTTTGAAATCAGAAATAAAAAAAACCTGGAAATTTTCAGACTGGAAATGGAGATGGTTTGGGACAGAATAAAATGGTTGGAAATTTCGAAAAGCCTGATGAAAGATCGAATTCGGCGGCATCTTCAACAAATTCTGAGAAATACACATTTACTATGCTTAAAAATGTGAGTATTCTATCATTTGAAAAAATTCTATTTTTCAACTTCTGTTTCAAAAATTGGAATTCTTAAATTTTTAAATCATATCAACATTTTCAAGCTCAAATTTAGGTTCTGAAAATCCACGTCTAAAATTCCTCGAAGTTGTGAAGATTTGAAACTTCAATGAATTTTCAGCGCCTAAATTTGAGCTAAAAAACCCCTTGGTTGTGATGTAGAAATTTGACAATTCAAATTTTTGAAATTAAAAATGTTTTAAAATCCTGATTAAATTTTGAGCAATACGTTCAATTTTCAGAAAGAAACATCTGGAAACGCTGCTGAAGTTCCAATTCCTCGAAAAACAACTGATCTCACAATGGATCAATATAAAATAAAAATGGTAAGAGATTTTGAAAATACATACTTACTCACAAAACAAATTTTATAGGGTGTGAAAGCGGCGTGTGAAAACTCAAAAGTTCTACAGAAAGTGAGTTTTTTTCGAATAAGAAGTTTTTTTCAAATAATAATTTTCAACAAAAATTTTTTGAATTTTAAGATTCCGCTAGAATTTCGCGAATTCTACATAAATGTGCAATTCGATGAAACAATTGACATTGGATGGAAAATCAAATTGGATCAAGTAATGGATGAAAATCGAGAATTAAAAGGGGAATTGGGACAACTTGAAAATGGTAATAATTTTTAAAAATTTTGTTTTTGATCATAAAGTTTGTTGTTATTTTAAAAAATGTCTTCTCAAAACATTGAAGTTTCCAAGGATTTTTCAAATATTCTGAAAAGATAAATGTTTGCTGCCAACTTGCTACTACAAAGTTGCTAGAAATTGACTGGATTTGTATTGTTCATGATTTTATTAGATAAAAAATAAATAATGAAGTTAGAATATTTAAAAACACAAAACAGACCGTTTTTAAGCAAAACAACTTAAAGTTCGACATCAATTTGATGAGGTTTTGCAGTTGGCACATAATTACACAATTCCGTTCCAATTTTCAATAATTGTTCAATCCATGTTTTGTGATTTTGTGTTCCAAATCCATGTGTAACTTTTGAATATGTATTCATTGCTTCGGCGAATTCACGATTTTCGCCTCTTTGTTCAGTCATTCCTGTTAATTGTGGTTGACATGAATTGACTGCCACCATGAAATGTGCCATTACTGCCCTGCAAAAATTATTCTGGATTTATATTTGTTGAGACAAACAAAAACATTGAAAACTTACATGAATTCATTTGCATCATCAATAATTTCTTGTTGTTCTCCATGTGTTTTTACTTTATTTGTAATACATTGTGCAATTTCTTTATTCGGATAACTTTCTCTTGTGATTGTTTCCAAATCATTCGAAAAATCGAGCAACTTCACAGATTCCTGTTATTGCAGTTGCTCGAATTCCTTTTCTTTTACATTTTGTCATTTCAATTCCATGTTGTTTCAATTTGTTTCGCATATCTTCTCCGTCATTTTTCACTTTACATCGACGCAAAAGTCCAGCAATTGAGGAACTATTCAGATATTCGGGAGCAGATGTTCGTCGACGAATTTCGGCAGTGGAGATCTGGAAAAAACTGATATAAAATATGAAAATGACATTTAGCAGGTGCCCAACTAAATTCTGATATTTAAAAGCTCACCGGATATTTAACTTTGCATCCTGTCATTGTTAATCGCCCATTCACATGTTCAAATTGATCAATTGCAATTCCATGTGACAAAAACTTCTCGAAAATCATTTTACTTTGTTGCAGCAAATCTTGTCCTTTTGCAATTTCAGCAATTGTTGCTTCTTCATCGTATTCTGGTTGTTGTTGTGATTGAACTGCAAGTTCAACATGTTCTTCATTTGCTTCAGCCATTTTTTCGAAGAAGAATCAACACATTTTTCTGGAGAGGCGAGGGAAAGTTTCGAAGAAAAAAGAAAATTATTTTTTTTGCGCGTGCGCCGAGGGACTAGAAGTTTGTTGGTTTTCTAGGTCAAATTTTTGAATTTTTTGAATTTTTTTTGTTTTTTTTCGAGTTTGCCGCAAACTTTGCCAAAATCGCCATTTCGAACCAGAATTCATTATGATTTCAGATATCAATTATAGGAAGACCAATGGCGCCTTTCAAAGTTATAATTAAAGAACTTTGATTGTTCAAAAAGAGAGAAAACACGCAAATCATCGAGGTAATGTTCCTTGAAAAAATTCTAGATTAATTTATGACATTTCTTCAGGTTTTCAACATCAAAGATCCTGCCGCAATATCATGATCATTAGCTAAAGTGGAATAAATTGCCGAATCTACATGTCTTCAACACAAAAAGAAAAGCTGGATTCATCAATGGTAAGATTTTATCCACTGTGAATGTATTTATATCGAAAAAATTTTGGAAATAAAGTTCATATTTCGAAATCCATTTGAAACGTCGGAAAAAAACTTGAAAACTGAATGATTTCTTTAATTTTGTTTGAAATTATACTTCCGTAATAAATTTTTTTCCATGACGTGACCCATATTTCAACCAACCTCGAAATTGTTCATTTCCGAATTTTTTGAAAAATGGAAAAAGTGTGAAATTTGATGATTTATTTGATTTGGCAGCCTAATTTTCAGAGTAAAATTCTCAAGGATTTTCCAACAAAAAATCAAGTAATTTTTCAGATCCCGTCAAGCTTCTCTTGCCTATCAATATCCTGCTGCAGTTGAATTGTTCGATATAAAGTGAGTTTTTTTTTGAAAATGAAAACTTTGAAGAGAAAAAGGTTTCGAAAACTGATAATAAACTCTGAATTATCCTTTTTCAAACTGATAAAAATTTGTAATGTTTCAGGAAATCATCATCATTTTCGGCGAAGCTACAAATTTGGCACCAAATCGCAATGAACTCAATTATTGATTTATTTTTTGAATATTTTGTAAAATAAATCACTTTTTTATGAAAAACGTGTAGAAATTGTAATATATAATATTATATATAATATTATTATATAATGGGTTATTTTATCCGAGAGAAGTTTTTTTTTAGATTTTTGTGTTTTTATGGGGTGATTTAAGTTAATAGAATTTTTTATAGAAATCTATATCTTTTAATTTTTGGGCTAATGAATCAAAATGGATGTTCGAAATTTTTCGAACAAAGTTTATCAGACTTGAATCACCCCATAATGAAAATTGTTTTTTTTTTCAGAAATCAAAATGATTGATCAGTCAAAAGCTGGATTAGTAGGATTTTCAAAATTAGTTTTCGTCGAATCCACAAATCACATATGGAAAGATGTGAGTTTTTGTTTCTTCAACAACAAATACAAAATATTATTGAAGAAAACACCATTTGCAGGTAGACTGTTATCAAAATCCTTTCGCATTTGCCAAAAAGTACGTTGGATCGAAAACGATGGAAAAAATTCAGAATTCCAAGAAGGCTTTGAAAATTTGGATGGTCTTCATCAATAAATTCCGTTCTATTTATCGAAAATTTGGAAATTCGTTGAAAACTTGTGAAAATATTGAAGATGCAGTTAGAATGATGCTGAAAAAAGGAAATGATATTGGTTTCAATCTGGATATTTTCGAAATTTTGAAGGGATTTTTGCCGGTTTTGGGATTTACTAAATCGAATGAAGCACTCTTCTCGAAAAACGATTTGGATCAATTCTATGAAAAATGTCCCGAATTCTGGTTGCGACAAATCACAAAATTGGAAGGAGAAATGAAGGAAATCATCATTTTTTCGATGTTGCGAATCTTAATTTTTTCCATAATCGCAACAATTCAGTAAGCTTTTGAAGCCAAAAGTATAGCCACAAGTTTCGGTTTTTCAGATCTATTGGAAATTATAAAATCGACAAGAAAAAGAGAATTTTCACTGGATTTGTTTTGCATCGTGTTGTAAAAACAGGAAAAATTTCACAAGTTCAAACAAAAGAAAATGTGGTAATTGGACATGATTGCGGAAAGGAAAGTGTGAAGATCGGAAATTGTGAAAATCAGGCAGAATATAAAAGTGAAGCCGCAATTTTTAAAGATTTTTCTTCGATTTCAAACAAAAAACGATCAAGTGTTAGAAATCCCGATGATTTTGATGTGGTTTTGGAAATTGATGAGGGAATGAAAAAAGAAGAACCAGCCAAAAAACGTGGAAAAGTTAGTTTTCAATCAATTTTTCATTGATAATTTCTCAATATTTCAGAAGATCGACGCAGAATTTCAAGCAAAAAGTCCATTGGTAAGTTTTTTGGTGATTTTTTTCAGCAAAAATAAAATCTGATATTAAATTATTTCAGAAACCACCTCCGAATCCATGTGCGCCTCAATTCGCCGAATTTTTGGTTCGAAGTCAAAAAGATCCAAATTTGTCGGAAAACTGGAAGGAAAAGATTAGGCAAGTTTTGGCGGATAACTTTAGACTTTTGGAGGATTCCAAAACAGCTAAATACCAGTTTGAAGAAGCTAAAAAAGTTTGCGGATATTGATTTCATTGTTATTTTTTTTTGTTATTTTTTTTTGTTGTTGTTAAATGAATTGTTGTTTTTTTTCGATCTGGAAATTGATTGTTTTTTCTGGGTTTCATCCGGAAACGTATTTTTATTTGAATAAAAAAACATTTGAAATCAGAACTCCAAAATTTCTCAGAAAACATTAAAAACAGGTCATATTTTTGATTAGATTCTTACAATTTCAATTTATCAGATTTTTGAAGGGAAAAACTAACCGAATTTTTATAGGTTCTGATGAATTTTAAAAAAGGGAAATACTATAATCCGGAAATTCCGAAAAATTTACAACAAGTCGAAAAATTACTTCAACTTCTCAGCAATTTTTCGAAAACAACTTTCAGTCGACTAATTTTCAACCACATTTTTGAAAATCCCTCAAAAATCTCACCTTTTACACGTCCTTTCGAATATATTTGGATTCAAGAATTCTAAGAGATTTCAACTCTTTGAAAATTAAAAAATAAATACATAACACATTGAAAATTGAGAAAAATATTTATTATTTCATGAAACAAACAATAAGAATGTTTAAGATTCACAATTAAAAATTGATCAAATCAAATTTTTGAAGAAAAGAAACTTACCTGATTATTTAAATGCTTTTGAGATCAATTTTGATATTTTTATATGAAACTGATGGTGGAATTTTTAAGGTTTTATAAATTCAAAAAAAATTCCAGACCTAAAATTGTGTGCTGAAAATCACGAGTAAGGAATTCGATTATTTTATCGATTTTTAGCACAGAATTTTGGTTTGGAAAATGTTTGACCTACAAGAAAAATATTACCAGATCCAAATTTTGTGCTGAGAATCATGAAAATGCAGACAACTTTTGAAAATTGATGTTTTCATGATTTTCAGCGTAATATTTGGGTATGGAAAAATTTTCAAAATCAAATTATTGAAAATGAATTTTTTAAAGAATATTATTTTTTTGCAAAAAACCGACCTTCCAAAACGGCAATCCAGGGAACAAACTCCAAATCCAAAAAATCTTGACAAAATTCGAATCCCTGTCCAATACTCGTTGCGACGAATTCTGAAAATTAAGAATATTTTTTTTCAACTAGAAAATGAAATCAAATTTGCCACGTCATGTTTTACGTTTTTATAAACTTTGATATCAATATTTTTATACTGAATTTCAGTGAAAAATGTCTGAATTGCAGTACTTTTTGAGAATTTTCAGATGCACATAAAATATCGAATATTTCGAGAAAAGTGGTCAAAAAATCGGACATTGTGATTTTTCACATTTGAAAATTTCATATATACATAATTTTCTCCGAAGTTATTCAACCCATTCAAAAACCTACATTTTCGTTCTAACAATCATTTCATATTTGAATGAATATTTTCGATATAAATAATATTCAGCAAAACGAGCAAGAAGTATTTTCGTTTTCGTGGCGAACTCGAGTGAATTTGGATACTGACCATAGTTTTCTGGTGAAACTTCAGTTGCCAATGTACAGCAAGATACCGCGGTTGAAGCGACGAGTCTTTTGATGAGAGCGGCGACAGCTATCTTGACAAATTGGCAAGAAGATCATAACATTTTCGAGAATTGAAGTTGAAATTGGCGACATAATTGATGATTGGTTGATTTACTGACCAGATGATCCAGATCGAGAGACAGTTTCTGAAATAAAAAGTGGTGTATTTGTTGAAAATCTGAGCAATAGGAGAGCATACCAATAAATCTCATAAAGTTTAATTGAATTTGAATCCGAAAAAAAGAGAAAAATGAAGAACTCGAGTTGCTGACATCACAAAACAAATATCAATTTTTGAAGAAAAAATAAACTTACCTGATCTTTTTTTTGAGATCAACAAATATCGATTTTCATATTCATTTCAATATTTTTTTTAACTGTTGGCGGAATTTTTTATTCTTGTTTCTATTCTTGTAGTAAAAACATAGTACTGTCAGAAATCTTCGAAATTTGATTAGTTCACGATTTTCCGCGCGGAATTTGGGCTCGGAAAAGCTTTCCTCTTCCAAACTTTGAAGTAATATTGTTCTCGGAATTTTTTAGAACTTGAAAATTAGAAAAAATAATTGAAACTCAATGAGTTCACGATTTTCAGCAAAAAGTCGGTGATTTCAAAATTAAAACAGGCGATTTCATGGATTTTTTCGAGATTCAGAAATATTTTCAAATAATAAAACCAGAATTTTCCAAAACCACCACTTCCACTCAAACACTGAAAAATGCACAGTTTTCATATTGTAAAAAGTTACTGTGCAATTTTTTATTTTGAAAACCACGATTTCGGCCGAGGTGTTCAAAATTTTTACTCAAAAAACCTACCAATTTTCCGAAAGAACAATTCATCAACCAAATCCAATTCATTCGAAATTCCGGTAGACAAAAAATCTTGGCCACGTCCCAAATATCCTGACAGATACAGTATTTGTGATCCAAAAAAACGCTGGGACGAATGCTGAAAATAGAAATGGTGTTTTTTTTTTCAAAAAATGAAATCAATGATTTTCCACGCCACGGTTCACGTTTCTATTAATTATTCAAAATATGAAATTATTATTTTTTGAGACTAAATTTAAATCCAAAATTTCTGAATACTTTGAAAACAGGTTTTTGATTAGATTCTTCAATTTCAGATTTTTGAAGGGTAAAACAAATTTAATTTTTATAAATCCCGAAATTTCGCATTATTTAAAATGGAAACTGATTATGAAACAATCTCCTGGTATAAGTTTTATGTTTGAAAATTTCTCGAATGACACATGTTTTCTAAAATTTCAATCAATTTTCAGATCTGCTGTCAAATTCTTTTCAAAAATCTCAGTCATTTTAAAAATTTCTTATTCAACTAATTTTGAACCCTGGAATCCCCCTCTCAAAATCTCACCTTTTACACGTCCTTTCGAAATCCATTTGAATACAAAAATTCTAAGAGAATTCAACTCTTTGAAAATTAAAAAAAAAATAACATAACACAATTTTGGAAAAAATATTTATTATTTTATGAAACAAAAAAAAACAGAACATAAATCAAATCAAATTTTTGGAAAAAAAAAGAAACTTACCTTGATTTTTATATTTATTTTAACATAAAACTGCTGCATTTTTGAGTCTTGTAAATTCAAAAAAAAATCCAGACTTAAATTTTGTGCTGAAAATCGTGAATTCAATGAATTCGTGAAATTCAGCACAGAATTTTGGTTTCGAAAATTTTTGGCTTTAAAGTAAAATTGTTGATGAAATTTTTTTGAATGGAAAATTCAGGAAATATTCCATACCCCGAATTTGTACTGAAAATCATGATGAGAATGCTGAAAACATCTGAAAATCGATGTTTTCATGATTTTCAGCTCAATAAATGGGTGTGGAATAATTTTTTGATTCTCCCCAACTTTATATTTGAAAAATTTCAAAATTTTATCATTTGAAAATGATTTTGTAAGAGAATTTAATTTTTTTGCAAAAACAAAACCGACCTTTCCGGGAGAAAATCAAACAAAATCCAACTAACGATTTGCCAAAATGTATTTGACGACATCCAAACATCTCAAATCTCGAACATCGAAACACTCGCTGACACGATTGCTGAAAATTAGGATTGTTTTTCTAAATCAGAAAATGAGATGAAATTTGCCACGTCATGGTTAACGTTTGATTAATCATCCAAAATATGAACTCATTATTATTTTTAAGACTAAAATGTTGAGAATTGTTCGATTCGATTCAGGCACATAAAAAATCGACTATTTCGAAATAAAAATCCATACCTCAATTTAGACTCCAAATTTTGAAAACATATAGCTTTATTTCCTTGGCGGTCTTGGTTCACATCACGCCGTGTAACATTTTGTGGGTAGTCGAAATTTCCGCTAATTTGATTGAAAGCGAGTCGTAATGATCGCAAGATCGATACTCGAACAAATCTCCCTCGAAGCACTAAACAAAAATTAATTTCAATATTAGTGAAATGTGGAAATTAAGAAACCTGAAGAATTGCTGACCAATCATATGGATTTTCCTTGACAAAAAGCATCAGAACCTTCATAATTGAATTATTGAAGTTGAGCAACAACTCTGTCATCTGTCAAGATGCGGAACGAGCACAATTTGTATGAATCGACCATTTGTTGACACATTTCCATTGAAAAAATATTGCAGAAAAATTGATTTGGTTGATAATTTTGCAATTGAACATGTCGAATCAATATATCTGTTTCGGCATTGTCTAATTTAGATGCATTTTGGACACATTCAAAGTAATTTGATGCACAGAATACAAAGAGAACTTGAGCTGCTGTGGGAATTGGATGGAATTGGGATCGCAACAGTTGGCTGAAAAATAATATTTAGAATATTCCATGTTTTTCTTTTTCTGAATTACCACATAATTTAGTTGGTTTTTTGATAAGAAATATTTACACATTATCCAACTGAACCATCAAATCCTTGTCCAAGAATACATTCCGAAGAAAACCTTTGTGCGAATGTAACCAGATTCTTCGACTTCGAGTTGAGTTGCAGATTTCGGGAAAACATTTTTGATATTTGAGTGGAATCCAAATCTACGACCACATTTGAACGCATCCATTTATGCCACTTTGAAGAGCAATGTTGAAAGTCGCTGGAAAAAATTAATTGCAGAATTCAGTTGGAGTTTTCTATGCTATATGTCTTTCAAATTTATTATTATTAGCAAAATTTAAAAAACCATTTAAAAAATTATTCAAAAAAAAATTAGAAAATTATAATATTCCCCGAAAAATCACTGTTTCAAATAATTCTCATATAAAATTTTAGATTTTTAAAAATTGATGAATTAAGGGTCACGAAAATCCCATAAATTTCGAGAAATATTTAGAATAAAAAAAAAGTAAAAACTCACATCTCAAGAATTGGTTGATTCTCATAGAATACAAAACCTTTTTGGCAAACAGCTGCTTGTTGAATTCCATTTACGCAAAGGATGTACTGAAATTGATTTGTATTCACCACGCGCTTCCAGCTATCAATCCATTGTAGTTTGGAGGGCATTGTGAAGAGGTGTTGGGAATTTCGTAAGTATTTACAACTGTAAAAAACAAAGCCCAACATACATAAAATAGGTCCCCCGAGTCAGTTTTTAAAGTTAGGGTCCCTCCTTGAAAATTATCCAAAGTTAAACATCTCCTTCACATTTTTGAGCGAATTTTGGTAAATTATCAGCAGAAAATTGGCCAAGTTAGGCACCCTTCCCTTCAGATTTTTGAAAAAAGTTAAGCCCCTCACCCATACATAAAATAGGTCCCCCGAGTCAGTTTTTAAAGTTAGGGTCCCTCCTTGAAAATTTTCCAAAGTTAAACACCTGCCTCACATTTTTGAGCAAATTTTGGTAAATTATCAGCAGAAAATTGGCCAAGTCAGGCACCCTTCCCTTCGGATTTTCGAAAAAAGTTAAGCCCCTCACCCCGATTTAGGGGACCCATTTTATGTATGCCCTCACCCCGATTCAGGGGACCCATTTTATGTATGAAGCCCAAAATCATGTTATACAAACTATAAGTTCTTATGCTACTTAAACCCAAGCAAAAACATCAACTTTCAAGTCTGGAAAGCTTTTCCCCTTCGAAACTTTTGAGTAAAATTGTTTTCAGCTAGAAATTTCAGATTGTTCTCAAAATTTTCTCCAGAGAATTTTTGACTGGTAAAAGACACTGGGCTCGAGAAAAATGGGATTTGAATTTCTAGGTTTTTTCTATTCTAATTTTGATAATTCGAAAAGGATTATCAAAATTAGAGCTTTGTTTTCGTAAACTTTTGATTTTATCATATTTTCCATCCAAAATCCCACCAAAAAATCTCACAAAACTAGTATCAGCTAGGCGAAATCAATTCCTTGTCAAAAATGCGTTGTCCAATACTTTTCTTGATTCCATCAACAGCTTTCTTCAATTGTTTTGTCACTGCTTGAGACTTGAAATCTTCGAGTTGGCGGAAGCTGGAAAAAACATCGATGAGAATTGAGATGCGCTTTTCAACGGGGGAATATCCAATTTTTTTCAGAATTTCTTTTTACTTTTGCACTAAAATGTTTAGCTCTTGAAACCTATTCGAAGTACACGTTTTTTGCGCCGAAAGAAGTCCAAAATGTGCCAGGATTTCGAGAAGACACAACTCACAAGTGAGAGACGCAGACACTGTCTATAAGCCAGGATTCCACGTTTTTTGGTTTTTTGTACAAAAACAGTTCTTGAATCTGTAAATTTTTGGTGGAATCCTGGATGATAGACATTGTCTGCGTCTCTCACTTGAAATTCTGAATTTAATGATGTATCAGAGACAATTGGATATGTCCCATTTGACTTTTCTCCAAAATTACATAATTTTCTTCAAAACCCCTCCCAGAAATCCCCTTTACCTTTTTAATGTGCAAAAATTGGACTTCGTGCAAATCAATTTCATCTTCACAAATGATTTTTCATGCCAAAATCATTTTCCAACACAAAAACCGATTGTCATCCAACGAACCACCTTTTGTGAAATATCGCATTGGAATTCAGCTCTGAAACAATTTGAATTTATCTATAAAACGTATTTTTTGCGATGATAGAGAAAATGTTCTTGTTTTGAAGAATAAATCAAGGTTTCACGAAAATTGACTCAAAATTCATGAATTTTTGGTTAATTTCAGCCCAAAATCATGTTTTACAAACTAAAAGTTGTCAAACTATTTTTTCTTTACCCTAAAACTAAACAGAAACATCTACTTTCGAACAAAAAACTCTCAAACGCCAGCGAAAAGAAAAAAAAAATAAAAATACGTGCGCGTCATTTCAAATGCAATGCCAACCGTACGCAATGTGTGTTTGCACAGAATTCAAGAGAACTACAGTAGCCTATTGACTTTTTTATTTTCATTTTTTCGCGAAAGAATCCTACGAAATTTGCGGTGTTTGGGGAAAAGGTTGGTTTTTATTTAGCAAAATTATATTTGAAACAATGAAATAATTCAGGTTTGATGATGCCGATTGTGAAAAATGAAGAAGGCGATGAAGATTGCCAAATCATCGGAGTAGTGGAGTTGTCGAAAAACTCGAAAAGGAAGAATGATGGAAGTTCGAATTCGAATCCGGAAAAAGTGAAGAAAATGCGACAAATTGAAGCTAAGGATGGCGAAGGTTCGAGTAGCAGCCAGGTGACACATTATATCGAAGGACTGGAGAAGGAAGTCTCCGCCGAACTCAAAACTGCCCAATTACCATCATGGTTCAAACTCGGAATGTGGTGAGTTTTTTTTTGATGACGGAAATGTTTGAAAAATATCGATTTTTCATTTCAGGAGACTAATTGAGGACAATCAAAGAATTCGCCAGAAGATTCGCGACATTTTGGCGAAGAAGAACAAGAAGTCTGGCTAGAAATATATGTTTTGTTGATTTTTAATATTTTATGAATAAACTCTAGTTTTTGTTAATTGTTGTCTTTTTTCTTTAAATTTTTCGATTTAATTTCGAATTCTAATATCTCTTCGAAAATCGACTGCGGAAATCTGAAAGGTGAGACTTTTGGGTGGGAGTTTTTGGGATAAATATGGGAAAAATAATTAAAATTAGAAGTTTTTGAATCAGACTAGGTTCAATTCCAAATTTCCATTGATTTTTCTCCATTTTGTCTATTTTCTATTTCAAAATTCAAAATGTGAAATCGATTTCCACGCGAACCAACCTAAATCAATCAGTTTTCAGATTTCCCTATTCAACTTTTTTCTTCTTCCTCTTCTTCGAAAAATCAAGGATTTTACTAGTGGAATTTTGAAACTGTGAGTTTTTGCTTCTTTTGATTGATAACATCAAATACCACATGGAATTCACCTAGTTTTGTAGTTTGAGAATTCAATATTGTTTCTAGATTTAAAATTTTCGAGAGAAATCTTATAATCTTTTAATTAATGAAAAAATCCAATCAAATATTTTGAATTTTAGTGCTTTCGGGAAAAAATGAATCACATTGAGTTTATCAAAATCCTTTCAAAAAATATATTTGACTGAGAATTTCTGTAAATTTTGGTTTTTGTAGTTTTGATTCATAAATTATATTTTCAGCATCTTCTCATTGTTTGGCACGTTGAATCGAGCTGGAATTCGACTTGGACAACAATTGATTGAATAAAAATGTGGTAGGTGTTTTTTGAAAAATATCAAATAAACATGACTTTTAACTTGCTCTGAAATTGTGGAAAAAATGATGAATTCATCAAATAATAATAATTAGAAGATCATGATAAAACTTAAAATATGAAAAAAAAACCGGAAAAATTATTGATTTTCCACAAATCTCATATTCACATACATCTCAAGACATCACCATTCGAAACCTGAAAAATCCAATTTTTCTCTCGAATTAATTTGAAATTTAAAAAAACGTACACCTAAACCTCCAATCGTTTCATCATCACCAACAACTCTTCTGTTTATAATAAATTGTTTCGTGGAAATCCACGATTTTTTCCCGAAGAATTCCTTCATCCATTCTTTTATCTCACCGATTGTCGTTTCAGGCGATTTCTCGAGTTTTCCTAGTCTTCCCTCCCAATTTCTCACTCCAAAATGGAGCTGAAATTGATTTTTTGAGTGAGATTTTGAAGGAATTATAGTTTAAAAAAACTCACAATTTTGGCCTTCTCGTAAGATTCTTGAATTTCCTCGCGGACTTTCTGAATGGCTTTTTGCCAATCCGAAAATTGTTCCAAAAATCCCAAAAGGTTTGGGCACTGGTGGAAATCACGAATCGCCAGAATTTTATCACTGGTTCTTGTTTTGCTTTCAGAAGCATATAAATATAATTGAATCTCATCGAGTCTCATTGATTTTCGTGAGGCTCGATGGATTCCAGCACAAACTTGTGGCGAAGTGACTCGAATTTTCTTGCGATTCCAAATCATTTCTATTTCGCACTTATTACATGAACAATTGTATGCTCTAGAATTCAGACGGTTTTTTCTTCTTTTTTTTTCGAATCGAATAAACTCACCGAACTTGTTCAGCAATTTGTTCCATTTTGAATACTTTAACCGAAATTTGTTCTAAAAAAATTATTAGAGCTTGCAAAATCTGGAGGGAAATAATTTTTTCAATTTGTTTTCTAAAATCTCAAAATTTTAAAGAAAAATTGAAATTCCACGTGGCTCTGAATTTTAATTTTTGGTACTTTTCGTCTCAAAAATTAATGTATCAAAAAAGCGATATTTTGCCACGTGGATTTTTCGGATTTTTGGAATAGGATTTAGCATTTAAAAGTTTCGCCACGTGGCTTTCGAGTTTTGAACCGAAATTCAACGTGGCTAAAATTGTTTCTTTCTTTGAAAGAATTTTTCAATAAATTTTTGTTTCAAAAAATTAGATCTGGAAATTTTCCAGGAACCATTTTTTGTCATAAATTTCAAAATAAAATAACGATCAAACGATTATTGATAATTTGAGAAAAATAATAATTTCCAATAAAAATTTATCTCAAAATAACAAATAAAAAATCACAACAAACATATTTATTCAACCTTCAAGATTGATCCGTGTCCAATCTGAAAATATAAATTGTTTCTTGAAATACTTAATTTTTCTTAAAAGTACTCACATTATAATGATCCAAACTTTTCAAATATTCCAATTTATTTGCTCCAAAGTAGATTTGTTTATTGGCATTGTAAGCCGATCCAAAAACTTCTCTCATTTTCGATCGCAAAGTTCCAATCAAAGCATTATTGAATAATTCAAAACTTTTCTTCTCCCCGTTCCAATTTCTAACCAAAATTAGAATCTGGAAAATGAGAAAATTCAAAAAATCTCCAAATTTTTCTAAAAAGTTACCGTTTCGGGTTCCGCGGCAGCTTTGACTTCTTCGCGAATTTCCTCGACCGCTTTCTTCCAATCATCATATTGATCCAAAAATTGGAGAATAACCGGACATTTGTGGAAGGCCTTAATGGCATTCATTTTGTCTTGCGTTCTGGTCGACGAGTTGTTCCCCCACAAACATAACTCCATCTTCGAAAATCGTAAATTTTTGCGCATTGCTCGATAATACGCCGCCGCAATTTGTGGAGAAGATGTTTGAACTCTTTCTTTCCCCCAATTTAATTCAATTGTGCATTTTCCGCACCCACAAACATAAGCTCTGAAAATATATCTATAAATATTTTCAGAAAAAAATTAAGAGCATTGCAAAAATCACCTCAAAACTTGAGCTTCTTCTTGTTCTTCTTGAATTTCCGGAGCATTTTCCATTTTTGCAAGAATCAATTGATCTTTTATGCTGAAAATTCCGGGAACATTTATTTTTCAAAAGTTTGAAATCAAAACTTTTGAAAAAAGTTTCCAAATAAAGTTCAATCGTTCAAACGAATTAAAAAAAACCAAATTTGTAAAAATTTATAATTTCAAATATTTTTATTTTCAACAAAAACATAAAATATCGATTAGAAGCTGGAGAATCTGAAAAAAAACACTTCACTTCCAAAATCCATTCTTGAAACTCTGAAATTTTTTCTGAAAATCCCAAAAACCAAAAAATTCTAAGAGCATTCAACTCTTGAAAAATCGAAGAACAAAAGAACACAGGGAAAATAATTGAAAAAATCTTTATTCAAATTTTTGCTTGAAATTGATTTCCAGCTCGAGGCAAAGACGTGGTGTCAAAGTAGAGCAGAATCTGAAAAAATTTAGATATTGAAAAACAAAATAAATATAGAAATTTTTATAACATTTTGAGGTTACTGTAGGCTACAGTATCCCCCAAATTCTAGATTTTTTAGAAGAATAAAAAACTCACAATTATATAAGAACAGTATTCCAATCAATCGATAATTATTGAGCAATTTTGGGAAGAAGTGAAGAATCTGAAAACTAGATTTGTTTTGTGTTTTGTGGAATTTGAAAATTTCTAGATTCATAGGAAACACTAGATTTTATCTTGGTTTTGAATGAAAAATCACCGAAAAATACTGATTTCAAATTCCTTTTCACATTCAAAAAACTACCAAAAAAATGGGATTTTGGACTTATGTCAGCAGAAAGAACCACGAAAATTGCAAACTTTTGATCAATTTTTAAACGAACTATTTTCTAATTTTCAGTAAATTTATTCGAAACCATTAGCCCAAAAAAACTCACCTTGAGATTCAGGAATTTCGGTTGATTTTTGTTGCTCGACCATCTGAAATGTCATAAAAAGTTAAGTTCAAGATTCGTTTCTGAAAACAATAAACAACCCGCCAATCCTATATTTTCCATCGAAGTTTTCCATAAAAATGTGTTTTCGAATCAGAAGATAATTCTTTTGGCTCATAAAAACCGAGTATCAACCAAACTTTCAGAAATTAAAAAACAATAGAATTCATTTACAAAAACAAAAAAATATTTGACAAAACGAATTTTCAATTAAAACATTTTTCAAAGTTGTTCGAGTTCCTTCTTCTTTTCCTTGTTGATCTTCCATAATTCTTTAAACATCCACTTGCATTCCACATCAATTCGGGTCGAATTTTCGACTAATTGTGCGAATTCATCAAATTCGTGTTGATCCGATGAAAATTGTGGTGAGTTCGGAACTTCAGCTGAAACTTCCATCGTATCTTCAACATGTTCACTATCATTCTCAATTACTCCCGGCTCCACATTCGCATTTTGTTCCAATTCCATGTGCTTATTCTGAAAACAAAAACATTTTTGATTCTTATCAAATTTCAGGTCTTTGTTCAAAATTTTCTGGAAAATGATTTTTTCAAAGAAAATTTAGCTTGACAAAAAAAATGAAAAGATGGAATTCAAAATTTTAGGATACACATAAAAATAAATGTAGTTTAATTTTCAAAAAAAACCTTTAAAAATACCTTCAGATTGGTGAATCCTGTGAATAAACCCGATTTTGTTTGATAATCATGAAAATATCTGAAGGTGTCAATAACCAATCGAGCAGCAGCATAGATGATTCCCTTCACAATGTAATAGTGCATTTGAAAATTGTCGTTCAAGCCATCGAATCGGAATTTGCAATCTTTCCAGTATTGTGGAGCTGTAAAAAATGTATATTTCAAAAATTGTTCAATTTCTCTGGGTAAAATATAAAAGAATCAAATCGGAAAAATAACTCACAGATATCATACAAAAAATTAAGAATATCATCATTGAGAAGTTTATCAGAGGTTTTAGAATAATCGATAATCGGCACCATATTTCTGATAATAACATCGAAAAACTGCATTTGAAAATATAATTTGTCTCCTCCCATTCTAACCATTGCTTTGATTGCTTCTTCGGGCGATTCGAATCGATTCAATTTATCTTCCATCTTTCTATAAATCACTTGGAATCTATGAGAAAAATCGAGTGCAAATTGATATCCTCCTCCGGAATAATCTCTTAAATTCTTCATCAATATTGATCCAAACAACATCTCAGCAATTTCTCTTTCTTGTGAATTTTTGATAAAAGCGAAAATATTTTTTTCCTCGAAAGGAACCGTATAAAGTTTCATCGAGAAACGGCGGAGGTGGCTCTCCATTTGGAAAATCCGGTTAATACTGAAAATATGACACATAGGATATCTCTTGAAAAATAAGACGGAAATTGTTCTACCTCAAGGGTCCCAAAAAAGTGCGAAATAAATAAATAGAAGCTTTTTTTCCAACTCGCGCTAAAATTTTCCAGAAAATGAAAAAACGTGTCACGTTTCACGTCGAAAGAATTTTTTCTAACAATTTTTCTCCGAAAAAAAAAGAGCAAAAGGGACCCACTTTAAAAATCAATATTGAAGTAAGTAAAAATCTGGAAAAAACCCAGAAAAAAACGAATTTTCAACAACAAGAAATAATAAAAACTTTATTTACATTTAAAGTTGAATTTACAGTGATTTTCCAGCTTCGAAACCAATTCGAAATTCTTCTTTCACAATTTTCCTTGTCATAACCCGATTTTCCAATTGTTTTCGATCAATTTTTCAGCTTCATCCTTCATACAACTAATTTTCGATTTGCTGAAAAACAATTTCAGTTGGAAATGTTACTAACTCAAAAACAGAATCACTTACTGTTTAAAAAGTCTTCTCATTTTTCATCGAACTCGCTCCATTTTTCGCCACACATTTATCACCACATTTTGACCAGGTTTCTATAAAAACTTCAAGAATAACTTTGAAAATTTGATGACAACCAACCTTTTTGTGTTTCCTATTCAGCCGCCGATTTTTCGTTTTCTTGATTTGGGCAGGTTTTGTCGTTGGTGGCATGTTTGCAAATTTTTGCAAAAAAAAATATTGTCCGAGAGAAATACACGATGGGTCGGCCGCACCTGCAAAAGTTAGTCCCTCGAAATTTATTTTCGCGCGCGCTTTTCTTTTTCTTTTGTTTCTGCCGGTTTTTTGGAGCGGATATTGCGGTTTTACCATTAAAACCAAATGTTTTTTCGACCCCCAAGCTGCAAGGAGGTAAGTTCCCCTATGTTTTTATCAGTTTCACTTTGTTCTGTTTATATGAAAATGAATAAAACAATTAGTTTTCATAATTTGTGTTTCTAGTTAATTTTTTCACGTGAAGAGTTGACTTCTCTTTTAAATATATTATTTCTTAATATTAAATATAAATTTCATCGTTTCATCACCTGGATTATGAATGATAGGTCAGTTTTTGTTCCCTATTTTTACCAAATCATCTGTTTTTTCAGGCTTCACATGATTTGCCACGTTTCTTCGGTTACCAAAGAATATCGGAAGAAAAACGACAATTGGATACATCTGTTTTTTGCCAAAGAAGAAGTTGGAAAAGGATTCAACGACAATTAGAAACATTGGCGATTTCGAGAGGAAAATCGGAGAAACCATTGAAGCGTGTAGTATTTTGGCTGAAAATCGGATGGATCGAACGTGGCAGACATGTTGCTGTTATGTTGGATTAGATTGGGCTATAAGTCGAGTAAAGTTGAGGATATTTCGGTGATGGAAGGTGAATATAATGAAAGAGTGGTGGAAAAAGAAGATTTTGATGAGAAAAATGATATTTTGGCTGAATATCCTGCTGGATTCATAGAGTCATATTCACTCGATTGAAAAGTTCTGATTTTTCAGCTCCGAAAGCTGGATTTTCGCTGAAAATCCTCCTGGGAGCTTTGGAATATTAAAAATCAAGAGAATTTATCTGGGAAAGCTGAAAATTAGCTCAAATTTCATCCATAAACTCGAAAGCCTCTAAATTCATAAATTTTAGCTCCAAAACCTGTAATCTCAACATTTTTTCACTGCAAATGCTAAAGTTAAGCTAAAATTCTATCTTAATGCTTCAAATTTCTTGAAAATCATGAAATCTACCTCTTTAACCTCAGAAATCCTTTATTTTCATTTGAAAAGCTGTAAACTGGCTGAAATTTCAACTAGACGCTCAAAAATCCCAAAATTCAGCTCCAAAACCTGAAAAATCACTGTTTTTCACTAGAAAAGCTGAAAAAGCTGAAATTCCAACTTGTAACTCAATAGTGTTTTACCAAATTTATTTTGAAACCCCTAAATTTTCTAGTCTTTGATCTGAAATCCCAATTTTCTACTGGAAAAAGCGAAACTCCCGTGAAAAATTAGAAAATTTCGAAACGTGACCTTTTCGTTTTTTTTTGGATAGAAAAAAACGTGAAAAATTTAAATTTGTTCATTTCTAAGCTTGAAAATTTAGCAAATAGTTGGTTTTTGAAAAAATGAATGGAAAAAGTAGGTTTATGGCTGAAAATAAGGTTAGAAATGCGGATTTTCAGCAAATTTAGCAGAAGTTTAGGGATTTTCAAGTTTCCTTGTTAAAATTGAAAGGTTTTTCGCGCCAGAAGTTTAATAAAAGTTGATGCACATCTCATATACTTCTACTCTTGTCCCTTTCCTATTATTCCATTTTTCCAGCATGTTCAAATCCGCCCAACAACAAGTCGACGCAGCTCTCCAACAACAACAATCTGCGAGCATTTCCGGAATTGCAAAATACCGGTGGTTGCTCATATTGTCGAAACCGCAAGCCTTCGAAGCTCACGATGATTATTGGCAGATTTTTGAAATGAAATCAGAATATTCCGCTGCCGGAAGATCACATCAATTTTGTGCAGAATGTTTTGCAATGGAAATCGAGGGATTATTGGAGAGATCCAGATGACATGGCTCAATTTGAAGAATCGGGGAAATAGTTTGTTGAGTCGATATTATGTGGATGATCCGATATATATAAGTGGAGTTGATGATTATCATTGGACTATCTGAAGATTTCGCAACTTCTCGAGCATTTAGAGAGAAAAGAGAAAGTGGTGAGGTTTTTTAGAGTAAACTTGATCATGCTAGCTTTAGATTGGCTTTTAGAGCTCTTTTTTGAAGTTTCAAAAACTATTTTTTATGAAAATTGAAGCATTTTAAGCCTCCTGCTCCTGCTAGTTTTTTCTATGCTCCTGAAACTAGTTTTTATCTGAAAATTCCAATTTTTGAAGCATGGAGCAAATTGCTGTACTTTTCAAGCAGAAATTAGAGATTGTTAAGTGATATTGGCTTCTGGAGAACAATTTTGAGCTTTGGAGTGTAACTTTGTGTGCTAGAGAAAATTTATAAGCACTGGAGCACGTTTTTGAACTCTGGATGATATTTCTGATGAAAAATAACGGTTTTTGAGCTCCGGAGTATGTTTTTCGAGTTATGGAGCATGATTTTGAGATTTAGTCGATTTTTTTGAAAACGTGTAGCATTTTGAGCTCAGGAACTTATATTTATGCTCAGCAGCTTCTTTTCGAAGAGCGTTTGTAGGCTCATAAAATCCAAGTTTCAGTTGATTTCTTCGTTGAATGTTTTTTTTTGAATGTTTTCAAGCTCTTGAGCTTCAGATGATTTTCTGGAAAAGGCTTAGGAGCACATTTTTGTTTTCATAGGTTGTTGGCAAAAATCCAATATTTTGATAAAAAATACTCATGATCTCTGAAAATCCGGGTTTTCACCTAAAAAATCATCCAACATTTCAAAAGTTGATTTCTAGGTGAAAAATTATGCATCTTGACTCCTAAATCTTAAATTTCTTGATTTTCTAACTCCTAAATCAACGTTTGAAGAATTATCTGAAAAATCAAATATTCTTATCAAAAATATGCTCAAAACACAGTTTCCAGCTTGAAAATCACCTAAAAATCCTAAATTTTAATTTTTTCAGTTCTCCAATCGTCTCAATAACTTGAATTCATAATCATCACCGTCGAAAAAATCGAAATCAGGCCAAATGATGAAGTTTGAGGAGAAGTTTTAGCCAGGGAACGAGCATTTTGTCGGAAATTTGAGCAAAAAGAAGTGTTTAGCTTAGTGATTGATATGAGCAACAAATCGATTGTTTTTGAATGCGTTGATGATGGATGATGAATTTTGAGAGTTGGAGAGGGAAAATGCTCAGAGCTAGTAAATTTTGGGGATTGTGAGTTTTTTTAGGGGGGTTTCGGGATATTTTGATTTAAAAATCATGAAAAATTGCCAACTTTAAGCCCGGATCCATGAAAATTTCGCTGGGAAAAAAATTTGTAAATCTGGAAGAGCTTCCAGTTTTACAAATTCCTCATTTTCGAGCCAAATTTAATGATTTCAGTCTGAAATTGATTTGAATTTCTAGTCTTTGATCTAAAATCCCAATTTTCCACCGAAAAAAGCGAAAATACCGTGAAAAATTAGAAAATTATCGATTTTTTCGAATTTCGAAACGTGACCTTTTCGTTATTTTTTTGGATGGGAAAAATTTGAGTTTGTTCATTTCTGAGCTTGAAAATTCTAGCAGTTAGTTTATGGCTGAAAATAAGGTTAGAAATCAAGTTCTGCAGAAATTCTGGGATTTTCAAGCATCCTTGTTCAAGTTGTTTCTCCTCCTGTTTTTTGGTTGAGAAACTAATCTGAATAGCCCCATTACAAAACTTTACTCGCTTCGAATTTTAACACATTCTGGCTCAATTCATCCAAATAATGAAATCTCTCAATATTTGGATACGTTAACAATTTTTCAGAAGTTTAAATATATTCATGAAAAAAGAGAAAAACATTTTTCGTTAGTGCTGACACTTCTCACCGCCGAGCTGTTTTGGAAGCAAAAGAATATCGGAATCGGCATCTAGCTGAAATTGAAAAATTGAGAAATTTTTTATTTTTTAAATCCAACTTACTTTTAAATAACCAAGAGACTTATCGTCATTCGTTTGTCTTCCATCGAAAATCAATCTTTGAAGCATAGTTGGCATGCCTTGTCGATTTTCAATTTGGAATTTTAAACTTTTGACTGTGTCAGATTGTTTGACGTGAAATTCGAGTTTTTCTTCGTCCAATGTTCTCACGAAGATTGTGAAAACCTAAATAAAATACACATTTTTTAAATGTTTCTGCTTGAAATTTGTAAATTTTTGACTCCGAACTAGACAAATTTAGTCTATTCCAGATATTCATAGACATACATGAGTGTAATTTTCGTGCTCCAAGTTTTTAAGTGTATATCACAGTACATTGCTATACATATAAAAATGAGTCTCTAGTTTTTAGTCTTCCAATAGACATGTGAGAAAATTTTGACGTCTAAAAAATTACAAGATAATATTCTTCAACAAGTGTAAATAAGTTGTGATATTTTTTCTATTTTCAACACTTTCTTCGTTCCTTATGTTTTCCCTATCTATATACTTTTTTCAAACATTTATTGCATGAATTCATACTTTTTTCATGAAATTACAGTAACCCAAAAAAAAACAGAACAAAAATTATTGCAAAAAATATCGAACACACATAGCATGAGCTCAAAAACCAAAGCTCCACACTTTTTTTCACAGGTCCATTGGGAGACTAAAAATTTGAGAGACTCAGTTTTATTCGTATATCAATGAATGTATGGTAAAAATTTCATCATGATTTGAAGTGTCCCATGGAAAAAGCTCCCTTTCATTCACCTTTTGATTTTGCGCATTTTTCAAATCTTCTCGAATTTCCGCCACCGCTTCATTCCAATTTTCAAATTTTCCAGCAAATTCCAAAATATTTGGGCACATTGAAAAATCGCGAATCGCCTGAATTTTGTGCTCGATTTCCGGGTCAAATTGGGTTTTCTGAGCCCAAATCAAAACATCATATTTGTTCAATCTTTCCCATTTTACAGTGATTGTTCGAATTAAAGCCGCGATTTTTGGCGAATAAGTTTTGATTTTTTGGTCGAAATATGGAATTTCGACCGAACATTTTGAACGGCATCCACAAGTTGATGGTCTGAAAATTGTCTTTGAAAGGTTTCATTTAAAAAAGCACTGGAAAACTCACCCTTCCGCCATTTTCAAGTGAAAAAATGATTCGCTTCTCGCCACGATGTGTACGACCCTAGTAAATTTTAAAATTGTGTTTTTCTTTTCGAAGAAAAAAGTGTTTTTCACCAAAACTAGGCTCAAGATTTTAGGCAACTTTTCCAGGTTATTTTTTGAATTTATATTTTTTCGAAAAAAATTTTCAAAAATCAAATTTTCGCGCCAATATGAAATCAAAAAAAAAATCCTACAGTACTCCCAATTTTCCCTGTTTATTTCAAAGGAACATCACCAAGTTTTTCAATTCGCTGCAAGATCCAACACCGCCACGCGCAAATGCACACAATTTTTTCATTTTCGCGAAAAAAATTGCGTTTTGTAAATTGTTGGTTTTCAGCCGTTTTTGTGCTGAAATCTGTGAAAACTATGAATTTCAGACCTCAACGCTGGTGAGAAAATCGAAAACAGCAGCAGTAAATCGTCGTTCGGGACGTGCCACTTCGAAAAAACCCCGCCAAAATGATGGACGACGAACCGAAAGCAGCAGAGCCGAAACGTCGAGCAATATATTGATTTTCGCCACATTCACCCGGTTCACAAAATTCCAACTTCTTTTTTGGCTAATTGGACGAAAAACGACAATTGGATACATCTGTTCTTCGCCAAAGAAGAAGTTGGATCCGAGAAAAAGGATTCAACGACAATTGGAAACATTGGCCGAACGATTTCGAGAGGAAAATCGGGGAAACCATTGAAGCTTGTAGTATTTTGGCTGAAAATCGGATGGATCGAAGGTGGCAGACATGTTGCTGTTATGTTGGATTAGATTGGGCTATAAGTCGAGCAAAGTTGAGGATATTTTGGTGATGGAAGATGAATATAATGAAAGAGTGGTGGAAATAGAAGATTTTGATGAGAAAAATGATATTTTGGCTGAATATCCTGCTGGATGAAAGATGTTAGCTAAAATTTCATTGAAGAGCTTTTGGCTGACAATGAGAATCTTCGAACGAGCCTTGAAAATCAAATTATTTTTATTTTTAAGCTAGGAAAGTAATTTGGCTGAAAATCCTTCGGAGAGCTTTGAGATGTTAAAAATAACGAATATTTAGCTGTGAAAGCTGAAAATTAGCTCAAATATCATCCATAATCTCGAAAGCCTTTCAATTCATAAATTTTAGCTCCAAAACCTGTAGAATTACCAATTTCTCACCTCCCTAACCTCAAAAAATCCTTGTTTTCATTAGAATCCATAAAAATTATCGATTTTTTTGAATTTCGAAACGTGACCTTTTCGTTATTTTTTTCTGAATAGAAAAACGTGGAAAATTCAAATTTCTTCATTTCTGAGCTTGAAAATTTTAGCAGTTAGTTGGTTTTTGAAAAAATGAATGGAAAAAGTAGGTTTATTGCTGAAAATATGGATAGAATCAGGGATTTTCGGCAAATTTTGCAGAAAATTCATGGATTTTCAAGTTTCCCTGTTAAAATTGAAAGGGTTTTCGCGCCAGAAGTTTAATAAATGTTGATGCATCTCTCCATACTTTTACCCTTGTCCCTTTCCTATTTTTCCATTTTCCAGAATGTTCGAATCCGCCCAACAACAAGTCGACGCAGCTCTCCAACAATCTGCGAGCAATTTTGGAATTGCAAAATACCGGCGGTCTCTCATATTGTCGAAACCGCAAACTCCGAAGCTCACGATGATTATTGGTTGATTTTTGGGAAGACATTAGAATATTCCGCTGCCGGAAGATCACATCAGCTTGTTGAGAGAATAACATGAGTGGAGTTGATCATTTACTAGCTGAAGAGATCTTGCAACTTCTAGAGACAAAGAAATTGTGAGTTTTTTGGGGAAAATGGATAATGTAAATTCAAAATTGCGTTCTGGAGCTCATTTTTGAGTTCCAGATACTAATTATGATGGAAAGTGGAGCATTTCTAGCCAAAATATGCTCCCGAAATTATTTTTTTTCGAGTCCTGGTGTATTTTAACCTGAAAATTGCAATTTTTGAAGTTTGGAGCAATTTTCTGTACTCTTCAAGCAAAAATTAGAGGATTTTGAAGAACATCTTTGAGCTCTGGAGCAAATATATTAGCTCTGGATGATAGTTCTGATCAGAAAGACAAGAATTTTTGAGATCTGGAGCGTTTTTTTGAGCTTCAAATAATTTTTTTTAGCTCGTAATAGGCTAAATTTACTTTATGCAGACAGTTTCAGAAAAACAAAAGATTTCTAAGAGCAAAAATCGCGTATTTCAATCTCAAAAGCACATTTTCCGGTGAAAACTCGAGATTTTGTTTTTTAAACTCAGAGAATAAGAACGGAAATCCAGTGGACAAAGTCCTCCGCTGGAGTCCCGAAATAGCGAATTTCGGAATTCCGTCGGAGAGATCTCTCCGGCGGACTTCCAGATTTGTTTTTTGCCAGAACGACAAAAACGGACTCCAAAACTTGGAAAACCAGTGGAGAACATTGTCCGCTGGAGTTCCGAAATGATTTTCGGCTTTCTTTTGGAATTCCAGCGGAGAATTCTCTCCACCGGAGTTACCAATTGTGTCCAGAAAGACTACGGCGAAGAGAAGAAGTGAACTTTTGACTTTTTGAGTTGAAACTTCAATTTTTATGTTTTTCCCATAAGGTTTTCGGTTAGATGTTGAGCAACAAACTTTGTAATTAGACGACGAAATTGTGAACAGAAAAATGAATATTTGAAAAGTTTTAGTTCGTGAAATTAATGAAGTTCCTCCCAACTTCAAAGACTGGAAAACAGTTGCCTCATTATGATTTTACGAACTAAACTTACTCGTTTCTGACAGAAAAAAGTTGTACTGTAATTTCTATATAGAATATTGTTTGAATTTCTCACATCAAAGCTATTGATAAAAATTAGATTCTGAATTCAATAAAATTATAATTTTTTCTAGTTAAAGTCTGGTATAATTTCAAGGAAACATTTGAATACCTGTTCAGGAAGTTTTATCATCTCTTTCCTTAAAGTATTCATGAATTAGAAAATTTAAATCAGCCTGAGAAAATTTTTCGTTACTTTTCAAGTGAAAATTATAAGCACATGTTTCGAAAATTGAAATTTCAGCACTCTTCTACGAACATTTTTAAATCAAAAAACTTAACATTAAAATGTTCAATTTTGACTCTCTGGAGTTAAAAACATCATTTTTCTATGTTTTTCAAGAAATATTTGGAAAACTAGATAAATCTCATATAAAACAGCTATCAAATAATTAATTTTAATCCTTAAATAGCTAATTTATGGGTCAAAAGTACGAACATATACAAATTCGGCTGATACTAATTATATAAACACCAATCGCCGTCGCTGTTTCTACGCGCGTGGATGGTGTATTTGGGTGAATGGCTGCCTATTGTTCCACCCTCAATAGCCAGGTTCGATCCCCGCTAGTGGCAGATCAAAACAGACTACTTCGAAATCAAACCGACTTATCATAAATCAGTTTCAGATGCTTCAAATAGGTTTCAGATGACAAAAACAGCTTCAGATAGAAGCCCCATCAACCTCATATTTTCCTTTTTAATTTTGAAAATTTTGCCTCCCGGAGCTCCGGCGGAGAGTTTTCGGACTTCCGGCGGAGAGTTTTCGGACTTCCAGCGGTGGTAGAATGGAATTCCGGTTTCTCTCCGCCGGAACTCCGGCAACTCTCCACTGGTCTTCCGTTCTTATTCTCTGAGAAAGGATTATAAAGTTTGTTTTCGGTTTCAAGATGATTTTTCCTAGTCAAAATTAAGATTTTTAAGCTCTGGAGCATGTTTGTAATCTTCGAAGCAAATTTTTTAGCTCTGGAGCAAGTCTGGATGATATTTCTGACTAGAAATACGGAATTTTGAATTCTGAAGCATGTTTTTTAGATTCACATGATTTTTCAAATTAAAAATGACCCTTTTTAAGGTTTGGAAACTTGTTTTTGAGCTTAAAATGATTTTTACGCTGAAAATAGGGTATTTTTGAACCTTGCAGCCACCGAAACCTAATTTTGAGCTCTATTTAATTTTTCTGGTAAAATTTAGAGCAATCTGGGTTTCAGAGCATGCTTTTGAGCTTCAGATGGTTTTTCTAGTGAAAAAATATAAACTTCAGCCTTAGAGCTTGTTTTAGAATTCTCTTAAGCTTCAAATGATTTTTCTGGAGATCCTGTAGCATTTTGAGCTCTGGAACGAATTCTTCAGCGCAGAAGCACATTTTTATGTTCAGGAGCTCGTTTTCGAACCATAGAGCGTTTTTAGACAATAATTCAATTTCTTTGAAAATCCGATTTTTCAGTTAAATATAAACCAAAATTTCAAAAGATGAATTCTAGATGGAAAATTATGAATCTTGACTCAACAATTTTATTTAAACATTTTTATTTTCTAGCTCTAAAATCAACGTTGAATATCAGAAATTATCTAAAAATCAAATTTTCGAGTCAAAAATATTATCAAAGCACTTTCAATTCATTTTCAGTTAAACATTATGATTTCCAGCTTGAAAATCACCTAAAAATCCGAAATTCCCATTTTCCAGATATCCAATCGGCTCAATAACTTGAATTCACCATCATCCAATACAAAAATTGGAATCTGGCCAATCGACAAAGTTTGATGAGAAGTTCAGAAATGAGAATTTTGAGGAAGGATGATATCTGCAAAAACCAGCATAATTGGAATATCAAAGAGCTTGAAGACTCCAAGACTCAACTCGCGATAACAAATAATAGGGAGCCGCTGGAAATTCGAGCACTTCTTCAGTTCGGATCAGCTGGGCGAATTGTGAGATTTTGGATGCGGTTGGATGCGTGTTGGATGCGTGAGAAGACTATTGTGAGTTTTTTTTCAAGGAGGAATTTTTTGAGTCTAAATATGACCAAGAGATTTTTCGCCTTTGGTATAGAAAATTTTTGAAATTTGCTGAAAATTTGATCATAAATTGAAAACTTTCAAACTTAATTGCTGAATGTAATGACGTCGAGACTGAACTAGTTTTCAAAATTAGAAAACAATTTTAGAAAATCCTACCTTCATTAAAAGTTCTATTTACCTAAATGCTAACCTAAGATCTAGTCAGCATAAAATACCTTAAAATTAAAATTAGCTAGAATATCATCTAGACGCTCAATAATATAGTTGGTTTTTGAAAAAATGAATGGAAAAAGTAGGTTTATGGCTGAAAATATGGACAGAAATAGGGATTTCATAGATTTTCAAGCACCCTTGTTAAAATTGATAGGGGTTTCATGCCAGAGAATTAATAAAAGTTGATGTCCTCTTCTCTATACTTCTACCATTGTCTCCTTCCCTTTTTTCCATTTTCCGGAACTAAATTTTTATTTTTTTTTTCTTGAAAAACTTATTGGCTAAGAAAATAGGCTTTGAAAATATTTCGATAAAACTGCTCTACTCTCTAGGAACCTCTTTGTCTTCATTTTTCCTGTTCAGAGGAAGGCTTTATAAAAAGTTCATGAAACTCCTGCAGAGCTCGTAACTTTGGAGCCTAAAAGTCATATTTTTATTGATTCATCGAAGTTGGTTGTATAGAATCGTGAGTAATATCCGAATAATTATGACCTCAAAAGTTTTGAACCGAAATATTTTTGATTTTGATATAACTTCACACTTTCCTCTCAAAATCCCTTAATATTTCTAGAAACTCGAAAATTCTTGAGAAATCTAAAATTTACGAACTTCTTTCAAATTTCCGAAAATTTTGACTTTTTATTTTTCCACGTGAATGTGAGAAGAAAGAGATTTTTCTTTAGAAATTGTTCAAAGAGGAAGGCTATTGAAAAATTTGGCTAGGCGGTCCTATTTTATGTATGAATCTTTTTTTTTCATGAAAAAAGTTTGGAATATCGTGCATCATCTACACATAATTTGGAACGTTTCGGTTCAAGTCTCATACAAAACAGCCTTCTCGAAGTTGAGGTCTGATTTTTCTGAAGAAAAGTCGGGTAATTTAAGCTCTTTCTGAGCTCTAAATGGGTTTTCTAGTGAACATTTGAGCAATTCGGGTTTCAGAGCATGCTTTTGAGCTCTGAAGAACAGTTGTCAGGTTTAAAATATTTTATCCGACTTCTGAAGCACTCAAATTTAACATTTTTGAGCCTAAAATCAGAATATTGATTATAAATATTCCCATTTGAATAATTGTGCAAATTCAATGTTTCCATTTCAAAAAATCATGATTTTCAGCTCTGGAACGTGTAGAAAATCTGAAATTCAATATTATCCACTGAACCATCAACATCTGCTCCAACTTCTTCGTTTACTTCTTGAGCTCCAACCCCAGAAAAATAGCCTGAAGAATCGAATGCTCAACTTTCGATAATTATTATCCAGGAATCACTTCGAAAATCGACAAATCAGATTTTTTTATTGGATGTTAATGGTTTTAAATGAAACGGACGGAGAGATTTATACACATTTTTTGGACCATTTGGGAGCTCAGGGAGAAGCTGGAGATTCGAAGACCTTCTTCGGCTCAGATGGTTAAACGACGCGATGAATTTGAATATATGAGATGAGCTGAAGTGAAGCCACGGATGGGGCTGAAGTTGGATTGTTAGATTTTGGATGCGGTTTTGCTTTTGTGAGTTTTTTTGTGGATGGTAGAACATTTGGGATTTTTCGAGATCCCACAAGCCATGGGAGCCTTTAATCGAATCTGACTCCGAATTTTTCCGAATTGTTGAGTCTAAATATGACAAAGAAATTTTTGGGCTCAAAATTTAGGCTATGGTCTTGAAAATTACACATTTTTTAAAATTTTCAGCTGAAAATCTAGAGATTTCTAATTTTTCTGTTGAAAATTCTGAAATTTGATAATAATTTTGGATAAATCCAAATTTTTTGATATTTAAGATGAAAAATCTGAAACTTGATTGCAGGCTAATCTAGACTTTTGAATTTTGAAAATTTAACAATTTCATAACAATTCATCAAAATTTGTGAACGTTTCTAATTTTCTACAAAATATGAAAATGTGAAAAATGTTAAGAATTGAGCAAGATTTGAGTTGTTTTTAGAGACTAAATTTGACTGGGATTTGAATTTGAAAATAAATAAGATTTGGCTGAACAAATCCACGTGTTTTTACCGTATTTAATACAAATCCTAAACCAAAAAACATATCCTTTTTTCTATTTGTTAAAAGACCCGAAACGACAAATCTTATGAATTATATTTGAAAAAGTGGATAGTGTTCAAAATGATTTCCAAAATTTTATGAAACTTTATGAGATTTATCAAAAATGCTGAATTTTAGCGACAAAAAACTCTCTATTTTGCAGTAATTGACAATCAACAACAAAATGGAAAATTCCAAAAGAAATATCCGAAATTATTTTTCTTCTTTCAACATGGATTTTTTATTAGGTCAGTTTTCTCATGTATTTTTCCGTAAATACAATTTACCGTAGTGTTTTTCATGAACTTTTTTGCAGAAACTTCACTCAGAATTCGGCGATTTTGAAGGAGGAAAAGAAAATCAAACGATGATCAGGTTGGTTTTTGTTTTTTTGAACATTTTGGCGCCAAACTTTTGTGTAGGATTTTTTTAAAGCTTAGGCTTTTTAGGCATCGAGAATACTGCAAAAACATTTCAGCTTTTTTTCATAAATCACAAAATTCTTACCTTCTTTGAATTTTCATTTTTCATTTTCTCCAATAAGCTTTAAAAAATTCAAATTTTTCACCATTCGAAATTTTTAGAGCAACATTGTTGGGATTTCGAATGTTTTGAAACTTTAAAAAAATTACAAATTTTGAAACCTGCGATTTGTTCTGCAAAAATCGGAATTTCCGCGATTTTTCTCATTTTTCAAATGTATTTTTCCAGATTTCCCGAATCGCCCACACAACAATCAACGAATTTTTCAGTATTTTATTGCAATTTTTCTTTGAATTTTTAAAAATTAATTAATATTCTTTTTTTCATTTTTCTGAAATTTCGTATTTTTGTAGATTTTAAACTTTTGAAAAAAATGATCACAAAAGTGTAGAATTGACATAGTAACCGATTTTACATCAATCATGTACGCGGTGGCATCAAATTCCATATATAATATACCAGGAAACTCCGAACATCTAGAATATACAACTCTATTTGTCGAAAAACACCTGGAATTGAACTCTTGACCTCTCACTTCACTGTGGGATGCTTTACCAACTGAGCTATCAAGGCTTCACGCGTTCACACATTTAATGAAGTAGAAATGGTGAGGAAAACAGATAAAACTACTGTATTTTGAAGAGAGCACTCAATCCATGCTGAATATAAGAGATTCAATTAATTTCAGAATAATATCATGAGTTTTCGAGTGATAAAAAGGATTTGTAAAATGAGAAGCTCTTCTGGATTCACAAATTTTCGACCAAAAAAAATAAAAAAGTATATTTTGATTGGTGAAAATTTGGTCGACTAACCCAAAAAATTTATTTTTTATTTCGTTAGCTTTAAAACATAAAAGGTCTCTCAAAAATACAATACACGAAGAAGAAAATAATGGGGTACTGTAGCAGATGGAGAGGGTAGAATTTGAGTATTTGCAAAATTTTAAAAAATCAAAGGGAGAATACATAAAATGGAGTTGTAGGAAGATGAAATAATCCACAACTCACACTCAATACTTTTGAGATGGAGCATAGTATATTTGGCCTCGAATTGATTTTAGTATTCTTATTTTGCCAGTTAAATAATTCGATACAAAATAATGTAGACTGAATAATTGTGGCAGTTTATAAGGGTATTCTTGATAAAACATGGAATCGCAGACGATATCGTTGTCATCATGTTTTTCAACAATGAACGATAAAATTCGTTTTTGAAGTTGTTCATGATCCATGTGATATGGCGAACACCAATTCATTTTCGGAGAAACTCTGTAAGTTTTTTGTTGTTGGAATAATTACTTTGGAATAATTACCTAGTTGAGGTACTGTTGTTTATTTGATTTTTTGGGAAATTGAAAATTTTAGAAGGGTGTGGAAATTTTGAGAGCACCTTAAAACTAGCAACAATTGAGCCTCGCCCTTGATAAATTTCAAAGATAAACTTACTGACGATGTGCAGATGTTGAATGATGTCTTGAATTAGACCTGTAAACTTTTCGATGTTTTTTATATAAAATATAAATTGAAAACAACTAACCCGCTCTCCAAACTCGTTGAAGGTGATGAAGCATTGCGTTGTCTGTGAGAGTTAAACTAAGCATTATTCTATAAAACTTGCTGTGCATACCTGTTCAACCCAAATTGTCCTGTGATTGGTGGCTCGTAATGACTAAAAATTAAAAAAATGTTGTTCGATATTTTTTGGTGGTAAATCTTACTGTTTATTATAATCTCTTCGCATTTCTTCTTCACACTGCATTTCTAATTCGTGAGCTATTCTAGCTAATTCTGCATCTTCTTCTTCTTGTTTTTTTCTATCTTCTTGTCTTATTTCTTCTAAACATTCCAAAGAATGATAATTTATGATTTTATTTCTAAACGCATCTCTTCTATTACAAATTGGACAATTGGTTGTTCTGAAAAATAAATGAAAAAAAATGGAAATCAATTGAAATCTCCCGGGAAAGTGATTTTTCTTCATTACAATTTGTTGTTCAATTGACAAACCGCTTTTTGAATAAAAATTGTGCTCGTATTTTATTCCCAATGTGTGAAAATTCTTTTTTTTTTTGGTAAGTTGTTATTAAAAATCAAGAAAGTATTGATATTATGAACTTACTCTATGCGCTCTGTGCAATATTCACAAATGGAATGTCCGCATTGTCCAACACACGGACGATGCGATTCCAAGTCATAATCCGAGAAGCAAATTCTACATTCACGTGCGACATTCGATCTACTCATGGTAATCAAGATTTTTTGAAAATTTGATTTATCTGAAAAAAAAAACATTTTTTTTTTATTTTGCTCAAATTGTTTTTCTCTCAATTAGATTTGATCATCAAATAGCCTAAACAAAAAACCCAAAGAAATGTACAGGGTTAGGAAAAAATGGTCAGATAATTTTGGACTAATTTCCTAACTAATTATGTTCATTTTTAGTCCAACAAAAAAGGAATAAAAATTAAAGTAACCGAAGAAGAAAAATAATAGAAAATATATTCAAAATTAGATACAACTACTGACTCCGCCCATGTTTCTTCTGTATTTTATAAAATACTTCGGACATTCTCAAAATTGATCCCAATGAATATCTTGATGATCGAAATTTGAGCCAATAATAATTATCTCACAAACATGTATGTATGTATCATTCTTTTCGAGGTGGCATGAAAAGAACGAGCCTCACAGTCCACGCCCACTCATTGGGTCCAAATTAGGAAGGAACAGATGACTGTCTACATAGTATTCAAAAAAGTTCCAAATATTTTCAATTCAGTTGTTTTCAAACATAACTTTTATTTTTTTGCAGCACCGATACATATTCTAAAAATGGATTGCGTATCAGACGAGCCAGAAAACAAAAAGATGCGTCGAATGGATTCAGAATCGCCTCGATATGCACCAACTTCTCCGGAATATTCACCAGAATCGCCGCGAGTCGAAGGCATATCACCGCATTATTTTTCAAGTTCCCCGGCTGGAATAGAAACTCCACCGCGGTCGTCGAATGTGAGTTTTATTTCCGGTAGATTTTTGAAAGTCTTGAGAAACTTTTTTTCAAATTGATTTTTCACATTTTCGAAAATAAACTTTTTGTTTGAATCTTGAAAAATGTTGGATTTAATTTCAACCATTTAATTTTTCAGAACAAAGAACAAGAGATAATCACTTTGAACAGTGATGAAGAGGAAGAAGAAATTGAAGATGAACAAAATGTTTACGAAATGGATCAAATTTGCGATGTTCGGTTGATAAATAGGCAACTACAATTCAAAATAGCTTGGGTTTCATCAATCGAAACAACATGGGAACCGGAGAGCTCCTTTATAGGAGTTGAATCCAAACAAATGCTCATAGTTTTCAAGAGAGAAAACAAAAATAGAATAGATTCATTTTGGGCTGAAGCAGAGAAACGGAAAAATCATTTGACTGTAGTTGATTTAGAAAATGAAAAATGAAAATTCAAAGAAGGTAAGAATTTTGTGATTTATAAAAAAAAAGCTGAAATTTTTTTGCAGTATTCTCCAACATCTTCACAATATTCGTAATTCTCCCCCAACATTTTTGCCAAGTTCGCCAAAATATGATCTACATTTTTTACTGCCTTTCTTCCTTTCCTCAAAGTTTTTCTCACCCAATTCTTATGCAAACCATTGTTTCCCTCTCATCGAAGTAATTTTTGATACCTGAAAATGTTTTTTAAAAAACTTTTGTTATTCCTCAACCCTTCTCAAAATATACTCAAATGTTTCTCACCTCAATTTTCCTAATTTTCCCTCACAATCAAATTTATATACATACTTTTTCTTTCCAATTTGATGTTTTATTTGAAATATATGAACATGTATTCTAAAATTTATTTTCTCAAACTTCTTTCAACTTATTTTAATTGTCCAGAATAATTTCAGAATTAAAATTAACTTTTTTTTCCTCAAAGCATGTGAAGGGCCATTTCAAGAGTGCAAACCTGAAAACTGGATTACTGTAAACAAAAATTATAAGAAGAATACAATTCGAGGAACATTGGCTGAAATTTTAGAAAGTATTTTGCAATGATCTAGACAATGACAAAATTTAACACAAATGTTTCAGATTTCAAGAAAATTACTATAATTTCGTGACATCTTATTCATTTTCAGAATTGTTTTTTTACATTGATTTTAATATTAAAATTTGAGATGCCTATCTTTTGTTTCATTTTTTTACTTCAATCTATAAGGCGGAGCGTAATTTTGGTTTTTTTTTGAAAATTGCCTGCAATTTTAAAATGTGATAAAAATAGCAGCAATCAAATTTGCGGTCATGTTAACGTTTTCTTTTCATTTTCATATATTTTCTCTGAATTTTTCAATAAATTTCTCGAAGAAAATGAATGAAACAGTGAGTTGTTCAATTTTTTATAGTATCACAATAATTTTTATTTTCAGCAAAATTTCAACTCTGCATTATCTTTCATTGTATCACAAACTGATAAATTTGATAATGGAACAGCGCGAGAATTCCTTGATTGGATTGAAAATATAGGTCGTCTTCTTAGTATAACTGGAATCAAACAACAAAATGGAACAAGAATTTTGCCATTTATATTAACTGGACATAGTTTATCAATATATAAATCATTAAGTCTTTATGAACAAGATGATTGGAAAATGACGACTGGATATATTTTTGAGAATTTGGAAAAAAATCAAGAAACAATTTTGATGGCAAAAATTCGATTGAATAAATTGGAACAAAATGGTAAAAGTTTTGAAGAATTGGCAAATGAAATTCGAAAACTTTCATATATTATTTATCAAAATCTGAAATATGATGAACGCGAAGAAATGGCTACTTTGGATTTTATAACAAAATGTCATCAATCCATCAAAATGCAATTTGTAAGAATGTCTGATGTTCCAAAAAAATTGAATGAAGCTGTTCAAATTGCCGAAAGAGAATATGATTTGATTGAAATGGAAACTAAAATGGGTCAGTGTTCAAATTTAAATAAATATGATTATTTTTTTATTTTTTCAGGAAAAACAAATCTCAATAATTACACCAAAAATGTTGGACAACAAAGAAAACAAGATTCAAAAGATGAGGTGTTAAAAGCTGTGTATTATACTTAATTTATCCATTTTTCATTACTTCAAAACACTTTCGTTATTCCTAAACCCTTTGTCTCCCGTTCAATAATTAATAACCAGATTAAATATACTCATATATGTAGTCTTTACCTCAATTTTTCTTATTTTCCCTCAGACTTACCTTATAATTTTTTTTACAATTTTTTGTAACACATAAATCTGTATTTTTGAACTTCATATTCTAAAACTTTTTTGAATTTTTCAGAATAATTACAGTATTCAAAAATCCTGGTCCAAACTTGTCGATTTTTCCCTCAAATCCCGTCTCAGAGTATTCTAAAACTACAGTAATCAAAAAAAGTTCCGAAAATCTATAGATCAACAAAATTTTTGAAAAACAGTTATTGGTCCCTGAAAATTTTCGTCTATTTCTGGTGTATACAGTAATCCTACACTTACTATAATTATTGCAATTTTTGTCATATTATATTTCACACAATTGTTTTACGACAACATACATACATTTCTAGGAAAATTGCCTGATATTTTCGGAAAATTATTTTCTAAAATTTATGAAGAAAAATAACCAGGAAAAAGGGGGGTTATATTTGGAAATAAAACATGGATGAGAAAAAACGAAGATTGGAAATCACCAAATTTGATGGAACAAAAAAATTCGCATTTCGATTTTCAAGTCAAATTTGTTCTTACTTATTATTAGCTAGGAAAATAAAAAAGAAAGAGCTACAAAATTTTCAAAGAGATCTACTTTTTTCAAAAATAAATGAATCGATTAGATTTTTAGTTTTTTTTTTCTGGAAAAAAACATGTAAAAGAAATTTTATCGACAAAATTTGGTGGAAAATTTTGGTGTTTTGATTTTAAAAAATCCGGATAAAAATTTGAAACTAATGTGTAATTTTATTGATTTTTCAAATTCTCACTTGTCATTTTGAATCGATATTTTTGTTTTTCAATTAAAATTATCCATGAATTTTTCAGAAAATAATATTGAAAATCAAACATTAAGGCTTGTTTTGAAACTGAAAACTGAAAAAGCAAACCTCAAGTTTTGATAATTAATTTATTCGAACATTTTCAAAAATTCATTAAAAAAAAACTCACAGGAATTAAACAAATTGCATTTGGAAGTTGAAGATGTCGATATCGGAAAAGATTGTCGATGGGCTTGGAGTCTTCTCGGAAATCTGAAAAAAATTAATTCCAGCACTCGCATCATGGTGTGATTCTAATATTTTAGGACTTTTTCTTATATTTTTCACATATATTATAATTTTTGCATAATGTAAAAAGTTCTTTTATAAAAGAAAATAAACACGTCACAACACATCAAACATTTTTGTGGTGGGAACCGGGGTTCGAACTTTTTACCTTATGAACGAAAATCTGATGAGTTAACCACTACACTATAAATACACACAATCTGAAATATTTTCGTTGGCAGTAAAAAGAGAAAAATTAAGGCTCCTGAAAGCGAAAAAAAAATGAAATTTCGCGTTTTTCGTGGCGAGACACGAATCAAAATTGTGTTGCGTCTTTTAACACACTACTGTATAAAAATTTCGAAGAAATTCAATATTTCTACTTATTTAAGCTGATTGAGATGTCAAATATCAAGCAAGTCGCAGCTTATAATTGCGAGCCTCGATGTTTATCAAGAAACTTTGAAGTTTGTGCAATGGATGAGCAAAACATCCCATTTTGCTTCAGTTTGATAAAGAAAGCAACAACAGCTCCATCAAATTCAAATATCTTTGAAAGTTCTGGTTTTATTGTTGGTTAGTTTTGTTTTTTAAACACTTCTGAAAAAAATATGATTTTTTTCAGCCATTTCAATTATTCTTTTTTTGGCAATCATCTTCATTGTCTGGTGCTGTTTTTGCCGCAAGAGGAAAACTGTCAAACCCACTGAAATTTGCTAATTTCTAATTTTGAATGAAGTTTTTGTTAAAAACGTGTGTTTTTATTTGAAAACTCCTGCGTATTTTTTCAACTATCAAAATTTGAATTTTTCGGTTCAACCCTCAAACCCCCATGAAAACTCACTCGATTTTTGTTAAAAGTCGACGATGTCGGTATAGAAGTTGGCGAGAGCACGTCTTCCGAATCGGCAACTAGTAAATCGTCCAAATCGGTTAGACTGCTGCAAAGAAAATATGGATTTTCTCAAAAACATTTTTAATTGGGGTTAAATGAGAAAAGATTTTTTGTGTAAAATAAACATTTCCACGTCTGAAATCTTGAAGGTCAAGTTTGAAAAAGACATTTATTAATCAGAAATGAGTCGGATTGCCACGTCACAGGTCACGTTGAAAATTATTCAAATTTTCAAGGAAAACTGCAAGTGCGCCCCAGTGAAAACAAGTCTGAGGTAGATCAAAAATTGGCCCCGGAAACCACGAAAACGAAAATTAAAAATAGACGCCAGAAATCTCAGAAGAAAACTCACAAAAAGCTTTCGAGTTACGAGAACTGAGAAGCTTTGACGATCGGTGAGAAGAGGCTCTAAAAATTTGATAAAATCCACATCTTCTAGGTGATTTACAGAAACTCGACAGACAAAATTTGTATCGAAACGGTTTTTGGAGAGCTTTTCGATGATAATTTCAGTCAGGCTTGAATCGCTTTGCAAGATCTGAAAATAATTGAATTGGGGAGAGAGGATGAGATTTTTGTCTACATATATGTCAAAATGCGTACATTTTTAATAACTTCCATACGCATTTCATTCCTCGACAAATGATCTTTCCGTGCCCAAAACTTTTCAAAATCGAAAATCGCATCTCGGAAAATCTGGCAGAATCGCCTTCAGAATTTCGGGACCATTTTCAAAAAGAAATCCATGAACATGTATATCACTCGATAGAATCCCAGGTAAATAAATGACGATTTGTTGCGAGATTTTTGAGGTGTTTTCAGGGTTTATCCAGGAGACGCTAGATGTTGATAAGGCGGGATGTTTGTCTGAAAATTGACAGATCGTTTTGAAAAAAAAACTTTCGTCAGCATACATTTTCTGATAGATCTTACAAGATCTACTAACTCTTCAATTGATTTTTCTTTCTCTTTCGCATTAAAACTGTCTATGTATTTGATCGAATTTATTTATATCGATGATTTCTTCATGCGGCGATTTTCGATATGGTGTACTTTTCTTAGCCAAATACTTATTCGAGAAATACAACGGTGTTCCAAAGTTTGAGCGACTTCCTTCTGATGTGTTATCATTTTCTTCGCCTTCAAAAATTGATGTGGCAGAGATCTCAATCTTCGAAATGTTTTTCTTGATTTGCAGGTGATTTTCTACGATTTTCCAATCGATATTAGCATACAGCAAATCATTAATCGCACATGGATCCAAGGATGTTACAATTTGGCCTAGCAAACTATCGGGAATATCGAAATTCGATTTTCCTACTCCTGATCGCTCTGTGGCGATTTCATAGACCATTATACCAGTTTTCGAGGTGCTCTGCAATGTGTTCAATTTGATTTACAACTTCAAACCTCAGGAAAACACTCACCGCTTCCATTTTGTTCGAAAAACGCCAAAAAAAAACACTTTTCGAAAAAAATAAATAAAAGTAGAAATGCAAGCGTGCTCCACAGCACACTGCAATTCGTGTACTTCTCCCGGACTTCTTTTTATTTTTTTTCGAAAATTTCCAATTTTCTTCCAAAATCACGCTTTAAGGATTAAATCGCGAGTATTTAGGATATTTAAAGGATTGAGAAAAATGGCCGAACAAGAAATGACTATTATCCAAGAAGGTAAACTAATTTAATCAACCAGGAAGGTGAATTAACTTGGAATTTTCAGGAAAAGCAAAAATCGGTTTCCATGGACCAGTATTCTATAATCCGGTGCAAGAATGACTGTGACAGTTCTCCGACAATTTGACGATGATCGAATGAAAGCGCGAGCAAAAGTTGAAGAATCTGATGAGCCTCCAGTTAAAAAGAACAAACTTCTCACAGAAATGATAACGGTTCGATTAGAATTTTCGATTCTTTGCCTCAGGACTTCGACCGCTCAGATTTTCGCAAGAAGTTGAAAATGTAGAATTCGTGATGGCTAATGATTTCTGGGAAAATGCAGTTGAATCGATCAAAGAGAATGTGAAAATGAATAATGTTGAGGGAAAAGTTAGACCGCATTTTGGAGATGCTATGTGAGTTCTTTGAAATATTTTCCAACTGAAATCAATATAAGTTTTGATTCAGAATGACGATAATGACTCATCGCACATTGGATAAACGTTTTCACGCGGTCGACCTAGATCCATCTTCCTCATTATTTCTGGATTCACCAGTTCAATCAGTCGCAGACAACGAAATTCTAATCATAACTTGCACGGATTTCGCTGTTCTTTATGGAAACACACCAGAAGCTTCTTCTTCACAATTTTTTGGTCAAACTAGTGAAGAGGTTTTTGAGAGGATCAGAAGATCAGAAGAAAATGAGAGAGAGAGACGAGAGAATTGTGCATTTTGAAATGGAAGTTAGACGAAGTCAAAGGAAATCCGAATAGAATGAACGGGATTTCGAAGTAACGAGGAATGCCATGAAGTTCAGAGATTTTTGTTGCGTTCGGCGATCCTAGGAAGAGATTTTGCAGATAAATTTTGAGAAATAATGAAATGTTTTGTTGTTTAAAAATTGTTGTTTCGTGTTTTATTTGAAATATTCCTTGAAGTTTACAAAGATTTGAATTTTTCCAATTTTTTAAAATATAGAATTTGGAGGATCGGTCAAAAAGGTGAGATTTTTGGGGCATAAAAATTAGATAAAATATGTTTTAAAAACTTTTACATTCAAATAATGTGCAGTTGTATAATTTATCAACGACTCCGGTCGAATCGAGTCGACAAGGAAAACAAATCGACTCGACTCAACTTCGGTGTTAAATTTTTTTGTCAAATAATTTTGTTGGAATCTGGAATTTTTCAGATTTTATTTTGTTGCTGAATTCAAAGGTTGATATCGTGTTGAAAGTCAAATTATTGTCATTAGGGAAGTTTGATTCAGAAAAAAACAACTGTGCTGTCTAATTGAGAATTTATGTACAGTTTCAATCACGGAAGGTCTCGTCAGGTGTTTTGTGTATAATTTCTTGCATAAAAAAATTTGGAAAAGTAATTAAATATAGGAAAAGCGCAAGAAACGCAAAACTTGAAGAAAATAGGAAATTTTGTTCAAAACATAAACAAATTTATTCTAACAAATTTTAACATGCGCAGATGTTGTTCTTAATCCATTTGAATAAGCAACAACAGCAACAATTGCAGCCGCTACAGCACCAGCAAAAACATAACAAGATGAAGAAGAGTGCGCAAAACGCTGTAAACATTTTCGTTATGGGATTATTTTAAAAGAAAGACTTACCAAGAAGATACGGCAGATACACCCAAAATGATGATGTTGTTGTTGCTGCTGTTGTTGTTGTTACAATATGTCTTGTGAATTGGTGACAAATTGGAAGTTTTTTCGAATCCAAAATGCAAACTTGCAGCATTTTTGCATTGCAACGTGGATTGCACATAAAATTTGGAACTTGTTGCCCGTTCATTTTTTTAGAAAATGAATATGCGAGTTATTTTTGATTAATTTTAAAAAATAGGAGTACTGTATTTTTTCAAAGGCACAACACACTAAACGTTGTGTGTCTCGCCAAGAAAACTTCAGACATTTTTTAAAGTTGTTTGAATTTTCGGAAAATAATTTCCAGATTTTCAACAAATTTCATTCGATTTTTTTTTGAACAAGCTTATGGGATGAGTCAATTTTATAATTGACAGAAAATGTGAGCCTTTTTGTGCGATGTTTTCACATTTTTCTGCGATTAATTCCATCTTTTTTTTTAAAGAATTAATTTCATAAAAAATAAGAAGTTGCAATTCGAGGGACTTTAACGTGTGCAGACAGCATAACTTTCGAATTGCATAACTCTGAAAATTAACAAAAAATTTTTTTAGAACAAGTCTTATCTACTATATACTAATTGGGAAAATTTTTTTGGCAATAGTGTGTCCGGGTCCCGTTCTCAAAACTGTGCGCATAAAAATTGATGATCAAAAAAAGAAAAAGTTTCTAAATGTTGGCAGCTCGGTGCGCATCTTATTCATTCTTTCTCAAAATGTCTGTGAGTGCGCGGAGAATCAAAAGTTTGAAAATCTCAATGTATTTTTCGGATTTAAAATGTGTCGCTCGACTTTTCTCAATTTCCAGAAGACCATTTTTGATGGGACTTTCACCATTCGATATCAAATTCTTTCCCATCGAGGCGCTAATATTCGATTTTTCAAAAAATGCGCGAGTTTTCACGTGAAAAATCAAAACTTTTTTCATGTAAAAAAGAATGATCACGTTTTTATTCGAAAAAATTATTAGGCCACGTTTCTTATCTGATCGTTCTAATTTCTCCCATAGTCGAATATTTTCAGTCATTTCTACTGTAGATGGCGTTAGCCAGCGAAGCCCTTCTAGTATTCTTCTAAACTACAGCAAACTAATGAGCGTTTAAAAAATTGATATAAAAAATTGAAAAAGAAAAAAAGAAGTTGGAATTGTTAGAACTTTATATTTCAAAAATTTATATGAAAAAATATAACTTTATAAAATAATTCATATAATTCAAGAAATTCAAATATGAATAATATGTACCAAAGTAGAAACAAGTCTCCGCTCATTATGTTTGGTAATTAGTGAAATAATTTACAGAAATGAACATATTTTCATAGTTATAATGAACAAAGTTCCAAAAAACTGTAGATCAATAAATGCTTTTTTTTGAATGTCCGAAAACTGACAAATAATCAAAAAGTTTACAGAAGCCAAACATTTTCTTCAATTTTTCCAGCTAAAATATATCGTGGAAATTATGCTGTAAAAATGAGTTTGTTCGGTAGAGCACATTTTCTATTTCCAGTACCCCAGCATATTTGATTTTAATAAGCATATGTGGCATTCATTTCAGCCCATTGATTTTGCTCAGTCGGGCTATTCAGAAGCTACAATGATCAAAAAATGTTCTAAAAACCCTAACTTTATTTTTTTCATCAGCTCCAATTAAGATGTAGCAGGTAATTAATTAAAAAAAAAAGTTTTTTTTCAATCCTGAAAATAATCTGAAAATTTTAAAGAAAATTTGAGATTATAAGATTTGAAAAATAAATATTTATGAAATACAAAAACATTAAATGAGGAGTAAATATTATGAAAGAATAAGGCAGGAAAAAAGTTGAAAAGATTCGGTTAAAATATGTATGGATTGGTAATTCTTGCATTTAATGGGAAAAAGAGTTTGGAAAAGCGTGTTTTTGAAAAATGAAGGCGTTTAGAAATTTTGGAAGTTCCAAATCCAATTCAAAAATTACATTCAAAAAGTTCAGAATTCTGAGAACATTAGGTTTTTCAATAATACGTAACATGATAACAAATTTGAGTTCAATTTTTATTTTAATTAAAATCAGAAATGAAATTTTGAGAATATGAAACTAAACAAGATCTCGAACTGGATAATTATGATTTTTGATGGATACTTTTTTATTGCGAAAATTGATTTGAAAACCAAGTTGAATCAAAGAATCAAGTCCAAAGATGATAGAATTTGTGATTTTTGAATCATCCACAACTCGGAATTTGTGTGGATAACTTCTCACACCATTAAAACTCATTTGCATCATAGTTGTTCCTAGAAATGACATTTTTGTTCGATTTGCCACAATTCCATCCATCGTTTTCTCATTCAACAATATTCCATTCAATTGCATCATTCTTGATTTTGAAATTATTGATATACTGCTTCCAGTGTCCAACAAAACTCTTACAGGAATTCCATTCAATTTTATATCCAAACCCCATAGTTTTGTAATAGAATTTGTTTGATTCATCAGAACAGGCAGTTCATTTTCATTGTGTTTTCTGTTTGATGTTTGGAAACATCCGCATATCATTCTCCACAAAAATATTCTGCAACAACAACCACAACAACAGAATATTGTAATGATAAAAACAAAAACTGCGATGAGAAAAATGATCAAATTTTTGAGATGTTCCATATATTTTGGGAAATCTGCCCGAAATTGATCGAATTTCTTCTTCCGATCTTTTATATCTTCAACAATATCTTTCACTTTATTCCAATAATTTGAAACATCATTGAATACATCTCGTTTTTCTCTTTTTTCATTTTCAGTTATTTCTGATCCGCTCAATTTTTCCAAATAATATTGATTTTTTTGGTTTCTTATACAATTTATATAATCAAGCAGTAAAATGAACACAAGAATAAAACCTAAAAATTTAATTCCATTTGAAAAAATTTCCCACATTATCTGACATTTTTCAACTTACTTGTTTTCAAAATGAGCATATCCAGATTTTTATACAGCGATTAGATTGTAGTCCGATGAAATATTTACCAAGAAAAGATATTATAAATGTGAACAAAAAGGCTTATCAGCTCTTTTTTACTAAAAATGAATTGGCACCATTTTATTTTGAAAAATATTGTGCTCTTTTTTTTTCTAGATTCTTAAAATTTCAGGCAATTATTTTCAGAAATGCAGGATTCGAATGAAACATATTTGTTCAGGGACTTTTCCATATATTTTTGGATTACTGTAGCTTTTGAATGATCCAGCACGGTCTTCAAAAAATTGAATAATTGCGTCAGAGAACCTAATCTCTATTCAGACGAAAAAGTTGACAAAAAGTGCGATTAATTTGACGTTTTTTTCCCAATTTTTTGCATTTATTTCTAAAAAATTTCAATAAATTGACAAAAACGTGAAATTAATTGCATTATTTTTGTCAACTTTTTCGTGTGAATCAACTCATAAGAAACCATTTCTGGAAATTTGAGCTAATAACAATTTTGTTGACTGGCTCTCACAATTCATTTTTTCTTTTCATTTTCATAATTTCAAGATGAACATTCCAATTTTTCTACTATTATTCTTCAAATTGTCAATATCTTATCAAATTTGTGGTTTCAAAAAAAATGATCGATTTTTCGAAATCCCTTCTGTTCCAAGATGCGATGCTTCAAAAACCTTCAATGTTACACAAACAACGGTGAATGTTTTTAAATTGAAAGATCCGGATACTGTGAGAACAACAAAATGTTGGAATGTTATTCAAACCATCCATCAGTATTCGTATTTCTTATTTTACACCAATGAGCCAAAAATTGTAAATCAACGTGAAGAATCTGTAAATCTCGAAGATTGCAAAAAAGATTTTGAGAATGCAATCGAAGTTTCGCCAAACATCTGGAAATCGGAAAAAATATCAGATGAAGTGGAAAGCCCATTTTTTTATGGAGAGATTATTTATACAATCACTGAAAAATGGAAAGAAAATGGAACTATCAAAACATTCGATGGAATTAATGTTATATCTGGTATCGAAATTATGGATAATTGTAGTTTTTTGAATGAATATTGTGAAACACCAAATGTCACCATTTTTTGGAATATTCCCGAAGGTATGAAGGAAACTTGTAGATATGAATTATCAGTTCAAACTGATATAGTCATCACAGATAACCAAGTGATAATCCCTCAATTGAATATTTTTACCGAACATGAAATTGATGGTACAATTTTTGAAAAATTGAACAATAAAGAATGCCAATTTTCCAATCCATATTTACTGAAAAATGGTTATGTTATTGATTTTATCAATAATTTATCTCTACATTTAGGAGATTTAGTTTATGATGATGAAAATGATCAGGAATTTGAAATATTCCGAAAAAAACGAGAGTTACCGGAAAGAGAATATGAAATTATGTTATCAATGGTAGCACCTCCTTTCAAATTTGAATCAATGATAATGAAATTATTCAATAAGACCAAAATAGAAGATATTCCAAGATTCGAAACAAATCCTATAAAAAATACTGATGTTCTTCAAGAATTGAAATTTTGGAATGTTAATCGAAGTTGTTTGGATATGCGTCAAGCTTATTATAAAAATGAAGGAAATTCTAAATTGGGACCACAATTGATCGTATTGAAATGCATTCGAATTGCACAATATGAACAAAGAGAAAGAAAACGATTAGATTCAAAAAAAAGGCTCAGCAATACTGAAAAAATGTTTCGGTTTGAAGTTAGAACAGCTTCTTTCAGTTTATTTGATCGTTTGTTGGAGGAAGAATTTGGAAAAGCTGAAAAAGATTTAAGTGAATATGCTGGCTCTTCTTATCCTAATTTCAATGATAAGGATATCGAAAATGTTCAAAACAAAACAAAATTTGTAGAAGAGTTTTATGAAATTGAACGATCAGTCATTCCGTCAATGAAAATTGCAAAGGTGATTGTTTTGGGAGAGTTTTTTATGCTGAGTTTTAGAAAGCTTCAAACTTTTCGAAAACTTTATTTCATGAACATTTTTCAATATAAAACGATCAGATTGAAATTTTTATTTTAAAAAAGTTTGAGATATAATTTCATCTCTGGACTTTTCGAGAAAATTTCCGTTTGGGGTGTAAGATAGATTTTGCAGCTATTGAAATTTTTAATGTTATTATTTCAGACTCGAACTGAAAAACTTGACAAATATCTTCAAAACTTGGACGAAGAGTGCGAAGAGATAGCTCAAGAATACAGAATCTTCCACAGACTTTTGTCTGACGATGAAACATCAGCGCTTAGATATTTTTATAAAACCGATGATCTCGTTGCCAGATGGTTTGGAGATTTATTAAGTTTGGGTGAGTGCAATGAGGTGAAGCCAAAACATATATATTGGGATCACAAAGTGAATGGATCTTGCTGGAAAAATTTGCCGGTCTTATTGGAGAACAATGAAATTTGGTACAAGCTACCGGGAAAAGTTAAAGATCTGATGCAACAAGGACAACAGGTTACTTGCGAGAGTGTGAGAAATAATGTTTATTTTAAAAATGGAAGATGGGAAACATCTGATGGAAAACGTGTTGCATTACAAAAAATGCCAATTATGCAATTTCAAGAAACATCGAGAGATTTCAAATTGTTTGAAACAAATCTCGAAGATGGAATATCGTTCACACCATTTCTCAAACAAAAATATTCAATTATGTTCGACTCAAAACTCTTAGAGTATGTTATGAAGAAAGATGCCGCAAGTATTCAAGATTTGAAGTCACAAATCAAAAAAAATATATATCGTGCAGATCAAAAGTGGCCTTTTGTGGTTGGATTCTTGTGCTTCTGTCTCATTATTGTCATCTTGATTGTTTTGGTTTGCTGGATTAAAATATGCATAAATCGAAGAAAACAATCTCAAGGAGATTCTAGAATTTTTCAAGTGACTCAAGAAATGGAGACAATTGAGAGAAATGATATTTTCGATGAATATCCACTTCCAGGCCCAAGAAGATGATTTCATAAATGGTACGTTGATTTTCAGGATTAATTTTTCAAAAAATTGATTTTTTACAGCAATTCTACACAATATCTATCGTTGTCATCACACATAACTCAGTCTTCTCCGCTTTTATTTATCTCGCTTCAATTAATTTAATATTTTTTTCTTCTTGATTAAAGGAGGGTAAGACTAACAATCTCATCATTTTCAAAAAGTAGGAGAAAAATCCTGATTAACATTCTCTCGGTAAGCCCAAATAAAATGTTCCATAAAATCAGTTCAAAGTTGAGTTCAAATTTTATGATAGTTTTTCTCAAGAAACAATGAATAAATAAAAAAAAAGTTCAATTTTTTGAATTTTTGAAAAGTTTTTGGCTTTTGAGAAAAAATAATCCAAAATATTATGTTTATAAAGTACCCTAACTTTTTGATATTAAACAATTTTTGTAGTCTTACCCTTCCACTCTCTTTAATCCTATACTCTTAACAATAAAATGCATATTACTTTTCAAATAAATTATCTAATAATTAAAACATATTTTCTGTTTTCATAAAATTCAGGAAAATTGCATCAATTTTCAGGTTCCGTTTGAAATGTTTGGTGAATGGTTTTAGATTTCAATCAATTTTCTAGTTATTTATTTGTGCCACCCAAAAGTTCATCAAAGGTGGAGTCTGATGTGAGGAAAAAAATGTGTGTCTTCCATCCAAGTAGCAACTTGCTAAATGCTCCACAAAAATTAATACATTATTCAGTGAAAAATTGAAACTTCAGTCGTTCAAAGATAATTTTTTGAGCTAGAATGTTACGGTTCAAATTATCTACGGGATGAAAAGTTGAAGAATTGGTGAAGATTTTGTTGAGCTACAGTAACCCAGAAAATCCACGTGGCACTTGACTTTTTGGGCGTTTTCTCATCTATTTTTTTCATTTTGAAACATAAACCCTTTTTTCCTCGTTATGTTTCTTCATAAATTGTAGAATATAAATTTTCAAAAATATCAGGCAATTTTCAAAAATGTATGTTGCGCAAAAACAATTGTGTGAAATATAAAATGACAAAAATTGGAGGTATTTTCTGTGCTTTGTTGTTGAATAAATTATTGTTTGAAATAAGTGCACAAGATTATTTTTAACAAATTTTGACAAAATGGAGCCAATGAGAAAGGATCGAATGTGCCACCAAAGTGGAGCCAATAAAATGAGTATAAAATGGAATATAATATAGAATTTTCTTATTCTTATTGTTAAGTATTATAATTGAACACAGTGTTCTATATTTTTGACTCAAAATGGCCAAGTCAAAAAAAACCGTGAGTTTGTATTTGATGTGAGGGGGTTTTTCATGTTTTATTTTTCTAGAAAAAAAAGTTGGCTTTTTTTGCAAAAAAGAATTCACAACGAAGTTTGGAAAATGTACCAATAAATGATGAAAGACAAGATGAAACTGTGGATCATGAAACTTCAGAATCTGAAGGAGAGAAGGAAGAAACAGCAGCATTAGCAATAGCGGAAGAAGAAGAAGAAGAGGCAGAAAAATCAGAAGAATCAGACGAATCCGAAGAATTTTTTGAACAAAACACGCCAACATCTCGTAAAAGAATTTCTCAGAAGTTAGTTTAGTTTGGGCTTTTGTGGATTTTGAGGCATTGCTAATATTAACTGACACGTTCAGGAAAATGCCATTTTGTGGTTATTTTTTAAAACTATTCATCAAGTTAGATGAAAGTTAAGAAACATTGTATTTTTAAGCTCAGATTCATAAAAAATGAGAATCGTAGTTTTTGACTGATTTTCAGAGATTCCCCACAAGGTTCAAAATTAGGCGAGTTAAAGTCAGATGCTTCGTGGGTGGTTTCGACCAACCGGACATGACTGCCCTAACAGAATTTTACGACAAAGTTTTTCTGATTTGTTGTTCTTCTAGAAGACTGAAATTAAGGTTTACGTTGTTTCGAAATCTCTTTTCGAATTTTTTTCATGGAACAATTTCTAATAAAAACCCTTCCGAAGCCGAAAATTAATATAACTTTCTCTGAGCCCTACCACTAAGCTCTAAAGTTGAACACTTGTTTTTGTTGTTGCCATTTTCAATTGTGTGATTTCACCAATTACAGAACTCTTCGCCAAAATGATGAAGCAATGCTCACTCCCAAATCTCGTTTCCACAAAAACAAAACAGAAGCAAAACAGGGAACACCATCTTTCATAAATAAATTGTCGGATAGAAGTTCTGCAAAAAGAAGGTTTGGTTTAAATTAGTTATTTAAAAAATTACGTTATTTTAGAAGTTGGCCAATAAGAAATCGAGACCAAGCTGTAGATGATGGAACAGAAAACATTGATGAAAATTTGGAAGACTTGTTCAAAATTTTGGAAAAGTATTTCAAAAAAGAAATTAAACTTTTGAAAAAACATATTAGTTCAAAAATTAAGCGACCTTTTGATATAAGTGATGAACAACATATGGTTCGCCAATATGGAAGAATGAAGTTCCATGTTTTTAATAAACATAGTGATGACCAAGAGTCACAAGACTTTTACCCGATTGATGCTCTTTTCCCCCGAATTTATTATGAATTTATGAATGATCAAGGTAAAAGCTTTTCTAAAATAAAATTAGGAATTTATTGAAATTATTGATAACTTTAAGATAAATTGGAACATATCCAAAACAATATGAAAATTCACGAAAGTCAAATTCAAGAAAATAGGCATCATTTTGAGTTAGATGATTCTGAGGTAAGCTTTTAAGAAACACTCATTTTACAACGCAATTCTTCTAGATCTATGACCAATATGTTGAATATGAGAATGTTGATGATGTTCAGTTTAAAGAACAAGAATTATCAAATGAAATCAGATTAGAAGTTACTGAATGTATGGATGATATTATTGAATCACCTATGAAGTCAACTGAAGAGTATCAAAATGATTATATAAGATCTGTCACCAAGATTAGAAAATGTGATGAACATTGTGAGAAAATTCCAGAACAGTTAGTTATTACATTAAATATTAATAAAAATTCATCATTTTCAGAACATTGAAAGATGTAGACAAACATATTCGTTTATTTTTGGAAAAAGATTTTGAATCAATTGAAGAACAACGAGATCATTTTCATAATATTTTCAAAGTTGAAAAATATGATTGCGATGTCACACACCTAACAATGTTTGAAATATTTTTCAAATACAGTATTTGTTATCAAGGATTCAGAACTTTGATAAAACGATGCAATCGACTTCATTCACTGTTGAAAAAAATGACACAAACAGCTCTGGCACAAAAATCGAACGACATCGAGAAAAAACATGAAGTGCTTCAAACTGATGATCTTCCTTATGATGTGAAATTCGAATTTTTGAACATAACCGTTTGTGCACGTGATGATACCAAGTTATCCGAAGACTATGTTCGTAGAAAATACAGGAATCATATTTTGGAGTTTAATAATGAGATTAAACAAATGGATAGTGTTTATTGTAAAATTTGTAGACAATTTCGGTTGAAGTCTTTGTTGATCAAAAAATCTGGGAAAATAATTAAAGATTTTGTCGACTTCATAGCCGATGAAAAGAAAACTTATCAAATTTGTCGCATCTGCTCAAAATCACTCTCCAAGAAAACTGCCCATGAAAAATTACCATCTATGGCCATTAAAAACGGATTGGAAGTTGATGAAACTCCGGAAGTTCTGAAAAAATTGAACATTATTGAACGATGCCTTATTCAAAAATCGAGATTTGTTGCAAATATCTTTCGATTGAATGATGCATCAAATCGAAACATTAGCGTTCCCGCTACCCAAGGATGTTCAGCAATTATTCCTGTGGTTTTAGAAAATGTAGACGAAGAAAAATTTATCAAATTACCTGATGCTTCAAACATGATTATCAACATTGATGATCTTCACGAGAAAACACATATTGTGTCAATGAAACGAATTGTTGATGCTTTGAAATGGTTGCAAAAAAATAATCCAGAATATTTTGATATCACGATAGATTCGAAATTTGGATTTGAATTGAACAAACATGTGTTCAGTAACAATCAGGATTTGACAGAACAAGATGTTCAAAATTTGGTTAATTATAATTTGAATTCAGATAGTAATACAATGTTACCTGATAATTTTCACATAGAAACATTACAATCCAATGTGACACAATCGATTGATAAAAATTTAATGTGGAATCAATATGTGCAAAAGGTATACCAGAAAATTGATTGCATCAGAGAAAAATTATGATATTTTTACAGAACAAGAAAAGGCCTTCAATACTACTGGACATTGAGAATATTGACATCAAGATTTTTCCATATTTATATCCATATGGAAAAAATGGTTTCAATCATCAAAGAAAAGTGTATTTGAAAAATACGGCAATTTGTCGTGCAAAACTTCTAAGTGAAAATAGGATGTTTGCTAACAACTCAGAGTGGATCACTTTTTCTTATACACTTGCATTACAAAAGGTACTGTTGAGAGCGGATGTAAGATTAGAAATCGAACATAGTTCAAAAAATGAAACCTATCGGTTTTTGGTTTGAAGGCGTTTAGAGAAAATAAAGGGTTCTACATTAGATTACAGAAAAAACCTTGAGATCTTTCTTTATCTGAAAACCACTTCATGTTCTGAAAAATTATTTTTTTTCCTTCTGAAATTCTCTATTCTTTTCAGAATCTTAAGGCAAGATTCCAATTTTAAGGCGTTATCACAGTAACTTTCTAATATTTGAGAAAAACCAACATTAAATGAAAGTAGAATTACCGTTGATTTTCTTCACTCCAAAAACTCAATCATAAGAAAGCGACGTTGAGTTTTTTGTTTTTTTTGCCTGTTGAGGATTACTGTAGGAGTTCCGAACTAACAAGGGAAGTGCATAGGGTTAGGTGTTGAACTTTTGATGAAACGTTCAAAATAAACCAAATCGACCATGCTGATCACGAATCCGAAGTCAAAAATTGCCACAAATGCCTGTGAGCACTTTTCTGGAGCTCCAAAGTTGAAATTGAGTTTTGGTTTTCGTCAATTTTCACCATGTTCCTGGGTGGAAAATCAATTTCTATAACATGAATAAGGTTGTTCTTCACATTCGAAAACCTATCCGCTTTTCAGTTCTTCGAAAAATATGAAAAACCAGCTGAAAACTGTAATTTTCGAAAATGCACGAAAAACTTTGAAAAACGTGTGTATTTACGTTTGATTGTGTGTATTTTCAGGATATTCTTAAAAGTTGCAGTTTTCAGCTGGTTTTTCATATTTTTCGAAGAACTGAAAAGCGGATATGTTTTTGAATGTGGTGAGCAACCTTATTCATGTTATAAAAATCTATTTTCCACCCAGAAACAAGGTGAAAATGGGCAAAAACCAAAACTCAATTCTAACTTTGGAGCTCCAGAAAAGTGCTCACAGGCATTTGTGGCAATTTTTGACTTCGGAATCGTAATCAGCATGTTCGATTTGGTTTATTTTGAACGTTTCATCAAAAGTTCAACACCTAACCCTATGCACTTCCCTTGTAAAGTGTTTTTCCAAAATTTTAGATACAATTCGAAAATGTCAAGATTATAGAAAAGTCCAGAAGTAAAATTGTTTAAGTTACTGAAATTTTATCATTCAATTTCAATCTAAATTTCTCAGGGTTACTGTGAATTCCTAGAACTCTTGTCTGAGGTTTTATTTTTCAAAAATCTTGAGAATAAAAAAATAACTTCAGTATTACTGTAGATACACACAAGTTTCTAGTTTTTCAAAAAACATGTTGTTGGAAGATTAATAATTCCAACTTTCAAGATAAATTATTTTTTGATCTTACTACTATTTTGATTTGCCATTGAAACAAAAATGAATTTTTATAGTGTTTAACAACACGAATGGGAATTCAAGCTAGATGTTCTTCAAAAATTACTGGAAGTGAAGCAATTTCTGCGGCAAACGAAGGTGAACATTTTTTCATTTAAACAATTTCAAATAACACATTTCAGATATTGATTTCCAGTCATCGATGACAGGAGTTCTTTCAAAAATTAAAGGAACAGACGATTTCTGGAATCAGCGGAAATTTATGTTGAGAGCTCATTGTTATTCTTTTGGTCCACCTACAATATTTTTGACATTGAATCCAAACTTGACCACATGGTTTGATTTGTTTGAATTATATTCGGACATTTATAAATGTGTTGTGGATTCTAATAACATACGGTAAACCTTTTATTTGAATCACGAATCAGTTAAAATCTTACAGAGAATTCATATCATTGGATCCGGTAATTTTTTCGAGATACTTCAAGAAAAGAGTTGATTCATTTTTCAAATCTGTTATTCTGAAAAATGACGGACCGTTTGGAAAAGTTATACATTATTATAAACGTATAGAATATCAGGCTCGAGGAACACAACATTGTCATTGTTTGTTATGGCTAGAAAACAGGTAAATTTTAACCAAATTAATAAAACAAATCAAATTTTTGGAGACCTTCAAAAGAGAGCACAGATGAATATAAAACTGAGTTTGTGAATTCGATTATGTGTGCAAGAGAACCGGATGAAAAAAAAGAGAAGAAGTTGTATGAAATCATAAAACAACATCAAAAACATTCTGCTCATACAAAATATTGCAGTCGGATCGTCAAACATAATTCGAGAAGCATTTTCAGATGTCATTTCAACTTTCCGCAACCGCGTATGTTTTTTTTTGATCTTCGAATCGCCTAATATTTAATTTTTATAGAACTTGCCTTCACAATGTTCAAAAAACATCAAGTATCTCATTTTGTTCCTGGAATGTCAAGAAAATCTTATATGCTCGCTAGAAAAAAAAACGAAAACGTAAGAAAATTTTATTTTGAAATAAGACAACTTAAATTCTAAAATATGAGTTGAGGATATCAATGATTACAACCCGATTTTATCGTTAATTTGGAATGGAAACATTGATGTACAATATTTGGATAAATTATCAATCAATGTAATCGAATATGTAACCAGCGATTTTTTCAAGGTCAGTTTTACAAATAAATAACTAAAAAGTAGTAGTTGCAGTTTGAACAACCCTTTTCGGGGGATGTTTTGACAACAAAAGAAGAAGTTAATCAAAAAATGATGGAAGTGTTCCGGAAATATCTTAATAGTCGACCAGTTGGAACTTTGGAAATGGTTGATGTTCTTCTTTCGCATCCTGTATATAAATTTGATTGTAGTCACATATTTATTAATACGGTAAGTTGAATGAATTGATTGAAAAATATTTATTCTGGTTTAATTTTTAAGGATAAGACAAGAACTCGTATTTTGAAACCATTGAAAAATCTTCGAAGTGATGAACTTGCCACAATGTCAAATATGGTTGATGATTATTATCCAAACCGTCCGAAAACTTTAAAAAACTTCAGTTACATCAATATTTGCATGAATTTTGATGTTGTCGATAAATCTAGAGTTGGTATGTTATTTATGCAGATATGTATAGAACTACAGTATGTTGTTTATGAATCAGAAAATTTTGAAAATCTGGACCAAAAAATTGAAATTTCTTATAATGTTTTGAAACTAGAAAAAATTGATTTCTGATCATCGGTTCAGAAAACTTCAAAAATCAAGATGATTTCATATGAATTAGAGCATATAGTCAGAATTGACATGAAAAACAATGACCGTTGAAAGATGTTCACACAATTTTCAGGATTTTGGCGCCGAAAATGAAAAAAAACTGAAATTGAATTGAAAAAACCTTTTTCTAGGAAATTTAATGAGAAGAAAGCATGTTTCGAGATATTTTGATGATACGAATAAAAATATGGAAAATGATGAGCAAACTGATGGTGAAGATGAGATCGATGATATTGTTGAGCATTTTTCGGATGATGAAAGTTCAGATAATGAAGAAAAAGAGGAAGAGGGAGTGGAAGAAGTTACAAACGATTATGAAGTTGTTGATTCAAACCCATTCTCAACACACTATTCGATACAATGTGAAAAAAGTATTTTCTATTGTCATCCATATATTAAAAAAGGACAATGTTTGACTTTTGGAAATGAGGATAAAGTATTCATAAAAAGAAGAGCAAAAGTAAACAAAGGTTGTACACGTTGAATTTAATAAATATGTGATTTCAGGTCCCACGATTTTTCATTCCACACCTTAATGATTTTGATCATGAAAAAGCTGATGATTTTTATCGACGATGGGTTATGCTTGTTGTTCCGTGGAATTCTGAAAAAGACATTCTGAAATTGTCTTCATTCAATTCTTACCAAGAACTATTCGAGAACTGGTTGAATGGTTTGAAAAATGATTCTGAAAAAGGATACATAGATATAAAACAGTATATGGAAAATATTTATGGATTGCAAGAGGAAGAACAAGATGTTAAGCTTCGGAATGCAGAAATTCGAGTGAGTCAACTGATTTTGCTTGAAAATTATGGGAGTATTATTTTTTTTTAGAAAACTTCCAAAGAAGCTAATCTTTTTTATGAGGATGATGAAGAGTTTGAAGTTACAAGTAGAGATGTTGATATCGATGAACATATTGAACGAGTTGGTAAAATGAATGATGAGCAGAGGAAATTATTTGATTTGATAATGGAAAAAATTGAGAAACAAGCAATGGTTTGACTTATTTTTGTTTTTCCTAATTCTAAATATTATTTAGGATTCAAATGAACCACAAATAAAAATGATGGTTTCTGGTTATGGAGGTGTTGGAAAAAGTTTTTTGATTCATTCTCTGGCTAATGAACTGACTTTGAGAACTAAAAAAGACGAAAGAAAACACAAACCCGCTGTTTTGTTAGCTGCACCAACTGGAAGAGCAGCTGCCCAAATTTCAGGATCCACCATCCATTCTCTACTTAGTATTGGGATTGATAAGGAAAATAGAAAGAAGCTTCTTCCTTTGAGTGCCGAAAAACGTGAACTTCGTCATTTTCAGTTTTCCAATCTCAAATTATTAATTGTAGATGAAATAAGTATGGTTGGCAATGAAACACTTCTGAAAATGGATAGTCGGCTTAGAGAAATTACTGGAAATAATTCTAATTTTGGTGGAATCAATATTTGTTTCTTTGGTGATCTCCTCCAACTGCCTCCAGTTAAACAACCAAAAGTATTCGAAAGTAAGTGCCTCGAAAAGTTTTTTAAAACACATTTAAAAAAATGTTTTTCTAAAGAAAGAGGAAGGAAGACCAAAATAACATATTTATTCAAAAAAGTATTTTTCAGATGTAACACGGAGCCAACTGCAAAAAATATTTGGATATGCAACTATGGAAACTAATCTGTGGCATGGGATTCAATATTTTGAGCTTCATCAAAATATGAGACAAGAAGATGATAAATTTTCTAATATATTGGGTAAGATCAAAAAATATATTGTTTGAAATGTGTTTTTCATTTCAGCTAATGTTCGTACCCAGCAAATGACAGATACAGACATTCATGATTTAGAAAATCGATTGGTTGAAGATAAAGAAGATTTAGAAGAGTTCTTTCGAATTCAGAAAGAAGATCCAAGAGTAATGGCATTGTTTCCTCTAAATGCTGAATGTGGATTATTCAATAGCAAGGTTTCGTATATTTCAAAATTTTAGTTTTCAAAATGAATTTTAGTTCTGAAATCTGAAATTTTTAGATCATCAAGTTATTGAAAAACAATGCGAAACTAGTGAAAATTGAATCTCGTGACATTAAATGTGATCAAACACTGGAGAAGTCTAATCGAATATGGCAACGGCGAGGTTATATTTTTTGTCTCTTTAACATTTTCAATTTTAATTCAAACTCTTTATTTTTACAGAATTCAGCAAAATTTCTTCCAATGAACCAACAATTAATCGTATACCATTGTTAGTAAATGGTTTACCAAAAACACTGGAACTGTTTCAATTTTGCCGTGTAATGTTGCGTAGAAATATTGATATCGAAAAAGGTTTGGTGAATGGAATGTGTGGAGTTGTTGAAGAATTCAATCTAACAGACAATGGTTCTTTGGCATCTCTAGGAATAAGGTTGGCTGAAATAATTATTTCATAGCTTAACTTCAATTTACAGATTTGATCATAATCCCACAAGATTGTTTGCCGTCGAAAGATCATCAGTGAGATATAAAGTTGCATCAAACGAATACCGCGAAAGATCACAATTTCCGGTAGTTCCTGCGTATGGCGTGACAATACACAAAGCGCAGGGTTTGACTCTTAATAATGTTTTTATATCAACAAAGTATGTTCAGTTGATATATGAAAAAACGCACATAATTGATTTTCAGAAATATCTTTGCAAAGTGTCAATTGTATGTTGCTGTCAGCCGAGTGAAAACAATGACCGGTCTACATTTTTTCGATTTTGATAAAGAAAAAATCATGGTCGACATACCATCGCTGGAAGAGGTCAATCGTTTGAGATCAACAATTAATCTTCCACAAATTAAGACTCCAAAGAATGGAAAAATGCCAAACTCAGGACCTTCAGAAATATCTCTGCAGTTGACACCATCGCCATACCATAGAAAACCTTCTAAAAAATCGTGAGTGTTCATAAAATTATTGAAATTATCGAACAACTTTCAGCTTCAAACGAAAATCGGTGAATACGCCAGAAACTGGATCAAAAAGAAGACCTCGAAATCGATTGGACAGCGAATCGTCAGATTTCGATTTTGATCTCACATTGAGTGACCGTAGAAATAAATAACAGAAACGTTTTTATAATTATATCTTGTTTGAATGATCCTGGGTGAACTATCTGGGGTCCTGAGCTACTGTTTGACTATCTGATGCTCCCAAACTTCCATCTCAACCTTCAGAAGCTCCAGGGCAGATCTGTGATTCATAGGGTCTGTACCTCCAGCTGAACCTGGATTAGCTATAGATTCTTCTGCAACAAGCTCTAGCTTGTCCACCAAAATTTCCTGCATACAGTTGAGATCCATATATAGGATCTGAAATTCTATCTGAACCTGATTAAGCTCCAGATTGTCCAACTTGATCATCCAAGATGTTTTGAATCAGAGCATCATATCTTTCTGGATTCTCTTGAGATTTACATATATCTAGGGTTTAAACTTTTATTTAAAGTTCATAGATATCCAGCTAGACCATCAGATCTTCCCAAACTTCCATCTTGATCTTCATAACAATATCTAGAATCTGATCCTCCAGCATGACCTCCAGATGTTTATTGATATCGATGGTATGCTCCAGGTTGCACTTCGGATTGTTCTGATGTTTCAGCTCGATGAACCATACCTAACAACAGGAACATCATCATCTTCTTTTTGTCCGGATTGTCCTTCAGAGATGGTATACCTTGAGACAGAGGCTCTAGCTTGACCATCAGAAGTTCCAGATTTTCGAGGTGCAGAAATGAAATATCTTTCTCTAGTTTCGACCCATCAACATTTCTTGGGCCAGGAATTAGAATCCGATGCTGGCTGATATCCAACACCTGGCTTAACAATGGGTCCGGCTTGAATTTGAGGCACACCTGACGAGACGTGTCCAAAATGGACACTGTACAAAAAATTTCAGAAGCCACACTGTACATTTTTTTCACGAAAACAGTGTAGTTTTCATTGATTTTCAGCCGATTTTGATGAAAAAATTCAAAATTCAAAATTACACGCTGCACAATTTTTTTTTGCAAAAATTTCCACGCTGCACAAAAATTTTGGGACACTCTCTCGTCAGGTGTGATTTGAGGTGAGTTAAGCTTTTGCGAAGCCTGAAGTTCGTACTGTCTTCGGAGCCAAGTAGCATAATCTGATGGGATTTTGAAGATTTTTAGTTTTAAAACCGGTTCCAGATTTACAAATGATCATCAAAAAAAGTTGAGCTCAAGAGCATGATTCGAAAAATACTATAATTCTAAAATGGTAATTTAAACATGTTCATTGAACAAATTATCGATCCGAAACTGAACTAATGAATTTCAAATGAAACCTGAAGATTTGTAATTGTGGAGCCGCTTCCAAATTTGAAATCTGAAAATTACAAGCAGAATCTAAAACTTTCAAAATGTAATTTTCCTGAATTTTGTGAAAATAAAACATGTGTTTTCATTATTAGTTAATTTATTTCAAAAGTAGTATATCATCGTTGAGAGTATAGGATTGAAGGGAAGGAGAGAAAACAGTTATATTTAAGATGATTTTTTCTTATTTTCTATCGGATTTTTTCGAAAATCTCTTGAATTTTCACTTTGCTTGAAAAAACAATCAGAAAATTTGAACTTAATTTTGAACTTATGGAACTTGGCTTATTGAGAAAGAAGACTGAGTTATGTGTGATGAAAACGATAGATATTGTGTAGAATTGCTGTAAAAAATCAACTTTCTGAAAAATTAATCAAAAAAAATCAATGTACCATTTATGAAATCATCTTCATCTATCTTCTTAGGCCTGGAAGTGGATATTCATCGAAAATATCATTTCTCTCAATTGTCTCCATTTCCAAGTTGACTTGATTTATTCTTGGAGTTTTCACTCGAGATATGACTTTGGCAATATTTTCTTGATTTCGTAATTTTGTGATTCCATTCAGACATTTTCTAATGAGCCATAGTGTAACAGTAACAAAAAATAAACAGATAACCGCCAGCCCAATCAAAAATGGAACTTCTTTGTTTGTTTCTGATTTCCATTCCATTATTAAATCTTGAAGCTTTGCCGCATCTATCTCCAAAATGTGATCGATAATTTTAGCACTGAACATAGTTGAGTATTTTTGTTTCAATATGGGTGTATATGATATTTCATCCTCGAGATATGTTTTAAATGGTCCAGAAAAAGATGAGGGTTTTTGAATATTTTTATTTAGAAAATATCCAGCTTCTACATATTTACCACCAGAATTTTCCCATCTCCCATTTTTCTTATAAACTTCTCTGATAACTTTGCAGTTTTTAGTTTTTGCATGTTTAATCAAATCTTCACTTCCGGGTAGTTTATACCATATTTGCTCATTTTCCAATTTCATCGGTAGGTGTTCATAACACGTGTTATTGACTTGGTGATTCCAATAGATTTTTGTTGGTTTGACTTGTTGACATGCAGTAATGCTCAAAGAATCTCCTATCCATCTTGCAACTATATTATTACTATTCAAATGAGATCGAATGGCTGCAGTTTCATCTATAGGTAGCATTATTTCGAAAAGTTGATGTTTCCTTTTTGCTTTTTTATATACGCTTTTTGACACATCTAGCAGTTCATATTTTTGATAAACAGTCTGTAAAAATGCAGTAGTTTCATTGATTTTAGGTTTATTCATAGAGAATTTAAAGATTTTATACCTTCTGTTGGATGATCTTCTCATTTTCCTTGATTTCTTTTGATGTGAAGGACATTGCGGTAGTCGTTGTTATTGCTGTGTTCAAAGTTGTTTTGGTTTGTTTTTGAATTTTCCCACTGGTTGATGTTAAAACAGACTCCTGGAAAAAATGTTTAATTTAAAAAAAAACAAATGTAGAAATACCACTTGGTGTTTGCTGCGGAGTGTTTTCTCTTTATCGATTTTGACCAGAGTGTGTGTTGTTGTCGATTTTGGTAAGATGGTTGATAAAAACTCAGGTTTCGGAGAACATTTTGCTGTGGGCTTTGAAGTTGTTTTAGTTTGTTGTTGACGTTTCTGAGCGGTTGGTGTTGGAACAGAAGTCTAGAAATAATTATGTAATTCAAAATTCCATATTACAATAAGGGACTAAAACTTGTCTAAAATATTCAATGAACTTTTTTTAACGTAGGGCCAAACAGTTAAAAAAAATTGTCTAGATTTCTGAATTAAAATTCCCTGGTGGTGTTGAGAACGGCATAATTTTGTTGTTCAGACCCCTCTTTTGTTTTGACTAACCGTTTGGTGTATGCTATGAGTTTCATTGAGCTTCACTGAAGGTTGTGTAGTGGTTGTTGGGATAGATTTTTGTGAGACTGTAGACAAAAAAGCAGATTTTGACAATGTGCTTGTTGTATGTTTCATTGTTTTTGTCAAATGAATTGGATATATTTCAGTAGTCGGCATTGAAGAAGTCTGGAAAACATCATAAAAATTGAGAAATTCGAGATTCACAAAAAAAATTACCGTATAACTAATTGGAGTTGTTGTAAATCCATATCTTGTTATCTCATCTTGCTCATACGAAAACATTGTTAAACTCATCACATTTGTCACGTTTTGTTCATTGAAAAATGGAATTTCTATCGAAGCAGGATTGAAATTTGAACTAAGAATTTTTTCAACTTTTCCAAACTCTTTTTCCAATAAAGCATCGAATAAACTGAAAGATGCTTTATCAATCTCCTCTTTAAATTTTTCTTCAATTTTGTCGAGTTTACTTTTTGATTTCAACCGTTCTCTCTCACGTGCCTCATATTGTGCAATTCGTATACATTTCAATACAATCAACTGGTTTCCAAATGTATGATTTCCTTCGTATTGGTACATGAGGCTTCGCATTTTGAAACATTCTTGACTAACATTCCAATAATAGATTTCTTGAAGAATAGTAATATTTTGAATAGGATTTGTCTGGAATTTTTCAATATCAGATATTTTATCAGCGTCAAATAATGTTTTAATCATTGGTTTAGTCATGAATGGAGGTCCGACCATTGATAGAATTGTTTCATATTCATAATGTGCATCCCTTTTTGATCGATATTTTTCTACATTTTTCTGATTGAATGCTTCATTGTTTACAAAATCGATAACAAGACCATTTTTAAGTAACAATGGTTTTGTGAAAGCACAACGATGTTTGTTCATTGTTTCCAACATCAAATCATCAAGATCCGTTTCAGTGAAAATTTCAAGCTCGGGAATTATTACTTGATTATTTGCGATGAGGATAGTTGTAGACATTATATTTTCATATCTACAAAGTTCAATTTTTTTGCCAAAAACATCCCAAAATACTGTAGAAGTTGTTTTTTTACAAAAACCTTTTGAGAACTCACAATTATCCATAGATTCCATATCAGATAAAATAGTTATTCCATCAAATGTTTCAATAGTTCCGATTTCTTTCCAATATTCAATCACTGCATACAAGTTTTTCTTGTAATCTATCGAAGAAGCCTCATAATATGTTTCGTTGGTTTTCCAGATATTTGGAGAGATTTCGATCATATTTTTATCTGATTTTTTGCATTCATCGATATCCACGGAGACTTCATTGATAAACTTGATGTCTCTGATCGAATCTGTATCGATTAAATTTCTTTTGACATATGTCTCTCTTTTCCAACATTTTGTAGCCTTCACAATTTCAGGATTTTTTGTTCTAAAAACTTTTCCAATTTGTTGTGTAATTTTTGTGGATTCAGTGATAAGAAATTCTGGAAATTTCGGGATTTCGAATATTCGATCAGTCCTACCAAAACCACATATTTGATATGAAATGCACCATTGGATGAAAAATAAAAAAAATAGTAGCAGTATAGCAAAATTCATCAAAAAATACAGAATAATGAATAGGACACATGTTTCTCTTAGATCATGAAAATTGGCTCAAATTTCGATGTTAAATACACAGTAAAATTTTAGGCAATAAGAAGGACTTTGTTTTAGCTTGTTTTGCTTTTGAATTTGGTTCATTCAACTGGAAAAAAGTTTTGTATTTTCCCAAAGAACAGTATTTTTACAACGAAATGCGATCAATTTTTTCACGTGACTTTGTTGAATAATTTTTCACTCTCTTTTTTCTCTCAATTTTATTAGAAGAAAAAAAGAGAAACAAAAACCCAAAGAAATAATAAATTTAACGTGTAACAAAACATTGAACTTCCAAAAAATTAGAAAAATTTCGCAGGCTTTTTTCTGTTACACAGCCAATTTCAAATTTTTCTGACTAAAACCATGTGTTTTCGAAAAAGAAGAATTTGTAAAACTGGAAGTTCTTCCAGATTTACAAATTTTTGAAAAAAAAAGTTGATCCTAAAAAAAACGAGTAAATAATCGCTAGAAATTTAAAAAAAAACGATTTAAAAAAATTAAAGAAAAAAGAAAAGTTCGCATGCGGCATCGAACCCGGGACAATAGGATTACTAGTGGAACGCGCTACCACTACTCTAACCGCATCTTCGAATTTCTTCACTTTTTTTCATACACTATTTCGACGGGTACGCCTCCTTTTATGGAGAAAAAGCATGTGGTGATGAAAAAAAGTTTCACAAGGGAAGTGTATAAGGTCCCGGAATAAACTTTTAATGAGACTTGGTACACATATAGATTCGAACTCGCTGATCTCGAATTAGTTTTCAAAAATTGCCACAATTGCACCCGAGACGAGTTTTTCACCATCGAAAATGCGCCATATTTCTCATTGTTTCATATGTCAAACATTTGCGGGCAAGAAAAATAACAGCGGATGGCAGAGTGGTTAGCGATCTCGACTTTAAAATTTTAGGTTTCGGGATCGGTCCCGGCCCGTGGCGAACTTTTTTTTTTTTAATTTTTTTTTTCAAAATTTTTTCGAAACCTGTAAAGATGTCTCCGTACCGACTTTGAATTATAATTTTTTGTCATCATTTTTTTCGTTTTTCAAATTCTCGTTCAAAATGTTACCTTCTGAACAAATTTTGCACTTCGGGGTAATTTCAATGACAATTGCACAATCCCAAGAAAGTATGTTTCCCGCGAGAACTTCAAAAAGTTCCTAACGGAATTATTGATGTTTTTGCGTAGTGTGGACATCAACAAAATTATAGTTGAAAACGATGAAATTCTGAAACGAATTGAAGATGATCCGCCGGATGAAGGTATCTTGGCTAGCTATAAATATGAAAGCTATAAATATAAATATGAAAGATCATCTTCAATGTGTTCTGTTTTTTGAAAAAAAAATAAAAAAATTTGAAAAAAAAGTTCGCCACGGGCCGGGACCGATCCCGAAACCTAAAATTTTAAAGTCGAGATCGCTAACCACTCTGCCATCCGCTGTTATTTTTCTTGCCCGCAAATGTTTGACATATGAAACAATGAGAAATATGGCGCATTTTCGATGGTGAAAAACTCGTCTCGGGTGCAATTGTGGCAATTTTTGAAAACGAATTCGAGATCAGCGAGTTCGAATCTATATGTGTACCAAGTCTCATTAAAAGTTTATTCCGGGACCTTATACACTTCCCTTGTCAGACAAAGCTGATAGTTTGGTTTGTTTTCAGATTTAGGGGTCAATTTTTGGCTCAAACGGTTGAGAGTTATTGTTTTTTGAAAATAAAAGTGAGAATTGTTGACTTCATGTGGGAATTCGAGGTTTTTTGGCGAAATCGAGGTCAGAAAAAATATTCGGTGTTCAGCTTTCCCCGCGCATTTCTAGCTTACTCGTGTTTTTTCATCAAGTTATCCTAATTCCATTCGAAAAATCGATACAAAATTAGTCAGAATCATCTTATAGATATAAAAAATATATAAATCTCACATAGATTTTGGGTTGAAATAGTGGCCTTCATCAGACACAGGCTTTCAGACTGTGTCTATTTGGTTTTGTGTTAAAAATGATAGTCTTAAAAATGGATTTTGATAGGGTAAATCGATATAGGGGAATATTTTAAGAAGATCATTGGGAGCAGAATTTTAATTTTTGGCCTAGAATTGATTTTATGGGGTGTCAAAGTTGAAAAAGTGGACCTACTTTGGGCAGGCAAAACACATTTCTAGGGATGAATTTTTTAATATTTTAAGTTTGTAATTTGTTTAAAAAGAGATTCCCCAGGGGTGTTTTTTTGGGATTAAAAAATAAAGGTTTCTAAAAAATAAAATTTGAGGTCAAAGTTAATAGACGATTTTTAGGTATATTTTTTAGTGTTTTATAGATGATAATTGAAAAAATATCGAAAAAGTTTGTGTATATATGAAAAAATTTAGTGAAAAACATCATTGCGGTTGGAACAAAAAAAAAAGTTAACTTAACTTAAGTAGCGAAACTTTTTTTTTCTTTTTGAAAATTTTCAAAAAATTTTCTAAGTTCTCAATTTTTGTGTCATCGTCCCTACAAACGCTGGTTTTCTCGCAACCACACCAGCCCAACACTTTCCCCTTTTCTTCGCAAGCACTAGAAAAAAATGGGGAGAGAGAAGTATTCTATCCGTCCCCCCTCTCTCAAAAAAAATAGTTTTTCACTTTTTTCCCATTTTCTCATACCCCTTAAGATTTTTTTCGAATGTAGTGCGGGGAAGGGATAGATGCTAGACATTGTTAGGAGAGTGACAAGCAAGCGCGTCTGTTGGATGTGCGTAGCGAAGGGATTGTTGGAATTACTGTTGTTGTTATGAGTTTCTTGATGTATTGTCGTCGGGTGCTTATTCTTCAATGGTGGTTTTTGGCAGCCTTTTGCGGCTTGTGTACACTCAACTTTCTAGTGACAATGCTGGTGGCTGACTGTAGTTGGTTTTCGGCATTGTTGCGTCTTTATGTTTGATGTTTGTTCTAGAACTTAGTTTCTAGGCTTACTAAAACATATTGTTGCATCAGTACTGTGCGAATTGAATTATATTTGGTAACGATTGTTTTCATTGGGACGTTTGCGAGAGTAAAACTTTGTTTTGAAGGGTTAGCTTCTTTGAAGTTAATTTGGATAACATGGTTGATGCTTGATGATGAATTTCGTCAAGTCTCGATTGCTTCGTGTTTTTGAAATGCGATATACCTGATTGATTCTGTCAGCGCGATATGCTCAAGTAAAAGATTAAGCCATGCATGCTTGATTCATCAATGAAATTGCGTACGGCTCATTAGAGCAGATATCATCTCGTTCGGAATTCTAATATGGATAACTGCGGAAATACTGGAGCTAATACATGCAATTAAACCCTGACGCAAGGACGGGTGCAATTATTAGAACAAGCCAGACGTTCTCGGACGTAGTTTGTTGACTCTGAATAAAGCAGTTTAGTGTCAGTTTCGACTGACTCTATCCGAAAAGAGTGTCTGCCCTTTCAACTAGATGGTAGTTCATTGGACTACCATGGTTGTTACGGGTAACGGAGAATAAGGGTTCGACTCCGGAGAGGGAGCCTTAGAAACGGCTACCACGTCCAAGGAAGGCAGCAGGCGCGAAACTTATCCACTGTTGATTATGAGATAGTGACTAAAAATATAAAGACTCATCCTTTTGGATGAGTTATTTCAATGAGTTGAATTTAAACAATTCTTCGAGTAACAAGGAGAGGGCAAGTCTGGTGCCAGCAGCCGCGGTAATTCCAGCTCTCCTAGTGTATCTCGTTATTGCTGCGGTTAAAAAGCTCGTAGTTGGATCTAGGTTACGTACTGTAGTTCGCTTTTAGCGTTAACTTTGGTCGTAGCTTCTATCAGCTGGTTTGAGGGTGGTTCGCCATCAGCTGCCAGCAGGTTTACCTTGAACAAATCAGAGTGCTCAATACAAGCGCTTGCTTGAATAGCTCATCATGGAATAATGAAACAGGACTTCGGTTCTTTTTGTTGGTTCTAGAACTGATTTAATGGTTAAGAGGGACAAACCGGGGGCATTCGTATCATTACGCGAGAGGTGAAATTCGTGGACCGTAGTGAGACGCCCAACAGCGAAAGCATTTGCCAAGAATGTCTTCATTAATCAAGAACGAAAGTCAGAGGTTCGAAGGCGATTAGATACCGCCCTAGTTCTGACCGTAAACGATGCCATCTCGCGATTCGGAGGGTTTTTGCCTTGCCGAGGAGCTATCCGGAAACGAAAGTCTTTCGGTTCCGGGGGTAGTATGGTTGCAAAGCTGAAACTTAAAGAAATTGACGGAAGGGCACCACAAGGCGTGGAGCTTGCGGCTTAATTTGACTCAACACGGGAAAACTCACCCGGTCCGGACACCATTAGGACTGACAGATTGAAAGCTCTTTCTCGATTTGGTGGTTGGTGGTGCATGGCCGTTCTTAGTTGGTGGAGTGATTTGTCTGGTTTATTCCGATAACGAGCGAGACTCTAGCCTGCTAAATAGTGTGCGAATCTTCGGGTTCGTAGTACTTCTTAGAGGGATAAGCGGTTTTTAGCCGCACGAGATTGAGCGATAACAGGTCTGTGATGCCCTTAGATGTCCGGGGCTGCACGCGTGCTACACTGGTGGACTCAGCGGGTCTTTCCTATGCCGAAAGGTATCGGTAAACCGTTGAAATTCTTCCATGTCCGGGATAGGGTATTGTAATTATTGCCCTTAAACGAGGAATGCCTAGTAAGTGTGAGTCATCAGCTCACGTTGATTACGTCCCTGCCCTTTGTACACACCGCCCGTCGCTATCCGGGACTGAACTGATTCGAGAAGAGTGAGGATTGTTGCTTTGAGGCTTCGCGGCTTCTTTGCGATGAAAATCATTTTAATCGCATTGGTTTGAACCGGGTAAAAGTCGTAACAAGGTAGCTGTAGGTGAACCTGCAGCTGGATCATCGCCGAATCTCTCGACGAGAAGTCCATACTTCTTTTACACTATTGAACGTCTTGACAAGATGCCTATAAGTGAATGGTTGTCTCCTGATGTGGCAATATTCCAAACATTCCAGGCTTAATGAAATGTTTTGAAAGCTTTAGCTTGATAAATGTTCGTCTTGTCAACCTTTAACCTAGTATATTTGGTGGCTATACGTGCTCGAGATTGAAATCATTTTAATCGAAGAGTAATAGTCTCAATGAGAATTGTTGCAGTCAACAGCTCCGCCAAATTTACTAAAATCGTTTGCTATGTGATCAGTTACGAGAGTTTGTAGTGCAAGCTACAAATGATCATCGATATTCGTATCGAAACTGTACTAGCTTCAGCGATGGATCGGTTGCATCGAGTATCGATGAAGAACGCAGCTTGCTGCGTTACTTACCACGAATTGCAGACGCTTAGAGTGGTGAAATTTCGAACGCATAGCACCGTCGGGTTCTCCCGTCGGTACGTCTGGTTCAGGGTTGTTTAATCTATTGCCTGAAGCTATCTTTATTGATAGCTTCTAGGTTTGTCGGATAGCATTAGTCTGCAAAGATTAATCCTATCTTAGCCTCGAATCTCTCATCACAAGTATTTGTCTCGTTGAGACAAATTAATGTGACGCCTAGTTTTGGTCAATGATCATTGCTAATCGCCTGAGCTGCCTCCGGCGTCGTCCACCGAAGATGTGTAATTTTATATATTTCTTCAATGGTTGGTATGATGCTGCTCAATTAGATATAAGCAATGAGACTAGAACATCCAAAATTTGTCTTCTGACATATTTTGGTGGTGTTTTGTTGATTCAACCTGAAC